CATTGAAATTACTATAATATCCACAAAACCCATCTGATATTAATCAACGTATGCTCACTAGTGACTGGCTTCAAAAGGTATATCCTGGAGTTCTAGTGAGAAGCAGTGACCAATGGAATTCAACCGGGTCAGTTGTGAGATAGTAACTCACTGAAGACAATGGTGGATGTGTCGCTCAATGACGTGGATTAGTTGAAGTTATACATTAACACCGTTGGGTGCCTGCTCAGTGGTCTAGTGATTAAGTGCTCACGTGAGAAACCAGTAGGTCCTGGGTTCAAATCTCGCAGGTGGCGAAGTTGTGGATGCGCACTGCCGAGGAGTTCCACAATAAGGCGAAATTGCTGTCCAGTGCTTCCAGGTTTTCTATGGTGGTCTAGCTCCAACTGACTCATGATCTTAACCATTGAAATTACTATAATATCCACAAAACCTATCAAATAATAATAATAATCGTATATGTATGTAAGTATTATGTGTTGTGTCTTGTTATAGTCAAAAGTTCAATTTATACTTACACCTCCGGAGGTCGAATGCTGTAACCATATTGTGCTACAGAACCAATTATAGGCAAGTTAATAACTTCTAGCTAGTAGTTTTTAAAGCAATGTTGAATAGCAAAGATCTTTGAACTCAATCTTTTCACTTCTTGGTATTAATCGGTAAGATGGATCTGAAATCTTTGCTGAGTTATTGCTTACCGTTTGATGTAAACGCATCTGACCTATTGTAAAAATTAGGAGAATTGCAACTTAGCTCAAGTAAACATAATGGTTTTTTAAATAATCTACTAACCATTCTATATCTTGATCAATAAAATTCAGTGAGTATCAAATACTTAACCATATTAGACGGATGACGTTTAACTGATCAAATTGTGTTAACCAAATTCTCCTAAGATGGCTATTCGTGTAGAAGTTACAAATGAGAACAATGTCATTAAAGTTTCATTTCCATATCATTTTCTGTCAATTAAGTAATATGTCCTTATACAGAACAGTCAATATAATCTCTAAATTGGGTACATAACACTTTCTTTTACCTACATATGGTCATCTCGTTGATTTATGAACAAATGTTGTTGTAAAAATAAATTACCCACGTCAGTATTAGTTTTAAATTATACTACTACTTAACTATATAATAAAGGACATTTCATTGACCTTAACAAAATATTTATCGATTTTCGGCATAATCATAACTGACTGACTATTGTTATTTTAATTTTTACGATAATGTAATTTTTCTTTTTTGAAAAAAAAATATTGAAAATGTAAATGCACGTAATAATTTGGATTGACTTATTTCGTATAATCTGTACTGTTTAAAATGTTGATTATTCAATATTGATTAATTATTTACTTTTTGTTTTTACTTTTAAAGTAAACAATGGGTTCTTTTTAAATTTAAAATGAAACATTTCTATTTCTTTCCCGCACAAACTGAAATTTATTTGCCCATTAATTTGTATTATTAACGTTGTTAACAATTCTTATAAGTTTTCTTATTTTTCCTCAGTTTACATACAATAAGTTTTTCTATTTTGTATTTATAAAAACAATTAACCACTTTCTTTCTTTATGTATCCAAATAAATGAGAATCAACCACCTTAATATATATCCTCTATTAGATAATACATTTTGCGGGAAAACAATTAATTCATCTTAACAGTCAGTATCTATTGTATATATAAGAAAACAAGGTCATTTCTTTATATAATACAATGATAAACATCGTTTTCAACTGGGTAGGAATGCAGTGAACAAGAACATAAGTGGGGACAAGCAAATGCGCTTGAATACAAAGTTATAGAATCTTTTAGTAAAATCTGAGAACCATACAGTAATAATTCATTTGTGAAATATTCATCAATTGTCTCAGACTTTATTATTCTTTCATTTCCATATCAATCACTCTCTGTTCTCGTTCTTTTCTCTTCGATCTTCTCAAATTTCTGTTGCTAGGTATTCAACTTTCGATAGGTGATACATGCTACTTATATATGTTGATATCAGTAGCACACACCACAGCAGACATATCTGTTTTGAGCGTAAGAACAGATGTACCAAATGAAGACATGAATTATTTTTACTGATCATCATTCAATTAACGTATACCAAATAAGACACATTTTGATCATGTAAAATAACTGCTATCCAGTTTTTATCTGTTAGTTGAAAAAATTCAATCAATTCTGAATTATGAAATCGTAGACTTTTTTAAATGATTCAGTTTCTTAATGGATAAATTGTTATCAGAACAATTCACCAATAGAATAGCTTTTATCTATTGATCTTTAATGATGAGTGTAAAATCTAGGAGAGGTCAGTAGGATTGATACATCTTCAGACGCTTATCACTTTTGTTCGGAGTTGATAATAATTTTTTGATATAGAAAGGGAATATTTATACAGCCGTAAAATGTCATGGAGCTAAACGGTGATATGTCTGTTACTTTGAAATAGTTATTTTACACTACTTGTTTAAAATTCTCAGTAATAAATTTATAATTTTTGCCCGACTTAATAATACTTAGGGATTTCATGATAAATGGATTATTTTTGAAAATTAGTAAAACTAATGTTAAAATGATTAAAGAAATTTCATAATTTATAAAATCAACAGAAGACTAAATATAGAGTCCTTTTTAATTTGTTTCCCCTTGAGAAAATCACTTTGTTAAGCTTTCACAGTGAAGGGCAAAACTGCTACACTTCGTCAAAATAGTTAAATTCTACTTTAAATTTCTAGCATTTCTTAAGACATTTTGAATAAGTGAAGTACAGGGAAATTTGTAATACAGTGATGCTCATACTGATTCGTTTACACGAATTTCTTTAATAAAAAAACAATACATCAAGTGCTATTTAACTAATCAGCACCATCGTTAACAAGTGACACAAACCTCAACTTAAAGCAAAACTTGGAGTTCAAAATTCAAACTTATGTTTTGACAAACAATATTCGTTGACAGTTACATTTGGTTACAGGATATTCATTGATATATGATTCTGTAGACTTATAGAAATAATCATAAAATTTTATTAATAATCTCCAGGTTTTAGTGTATATTCAGGAAGTTATTTCTGAAAATATGAATCGATGTTTCCACTGACGCTTTAGTTTGAATTTATATATATATATATATATATATATATATATATATATATATAAGTAAATTTACAACAGGTGTACTTGGTATAATGCACTCCAATATATGTTCATGAGAACAAGAGCTTCGAATTTCAGTATTATACGAGTTGAGTGGACGTACATCAGGAATAACATTAATATAGTTTGTTAAATCTTGTCTTTATTAATTGGATCAATCAGCTGTAATTTACTACCGAACCAATCAGATTCGAAACAGAGACATATTGATATCATGAATGGATCAATGTTAGACCACCATTCAATACCTGGAAGCACTAGACGGTCGTTTCGTCCCAGTATGGGACTCCCCGGCAGGGCGCATACACGATCCCGCACCTCGGACCCAGGACCTTCAGTTTCGTGCGCGAACGCCCAACCTCTATACCAATGAGCCGGCATCCAGCGATGTTAATGTCTAACTTCAACCAATCCACGATATTACGCTTCCGTTCGCCATTGTCTTCAGTGAGTAACTGCCTCACAACAGACATGGTTGAAGTCAACTGGTCACGGCTCCTCACTAGAACTTCATTTTGAAGCTAGGCACTAGCGTCCGAGCGCGAGACCGAAGGTCCTTGGTTCGAGGTCCGCGTTCGGAATCGTGGATGCACACTGCTGGGGAGTCCCATACTATGACAGGACGACCGTTCAGTGCTTGAAGTTTTTCAATGGTGGCTTAACATTGATCCGTTCATGATATCAGTCTAAAGTCAACAATCTTCACAACTCTATACTGAGAGATATATTGGTTTTTGAGATTTTACCCTTTCAAAATGTGTTGTCTTGTTCTGATCTAAGGCAACAATCAGAAAATACTGAACAATTTTTTACAAGCAGATACAATTAGTTCAACTGTTATTCTAATGAATTATAACTTAGAACCATGTTAAATAAGGATTTTCAAATTTAGTTACAGAAGTTAAGAGAATCATTCAGTAGGGAGTTTTTATAGATATCGAAACAAGTTATATTATCTATCTATCCATATTAAAATGATCTGGGGTTCAGTACAACTATTTTATCACTTATGACAATAATTTCCAAATGAATTAAAAAATAACTGAAAACATTTGAATCATTTGTATAAAGATTTGTTGAAGTTTGAATATTCAGTTCGAAAGATATTTAAGGTGAGTCCATACAAGACATTATATGTAAAAATTATATTTGAAATAATTTCAGTCACAGAAATTTTTTATCCATCAAAATGGTATAACTTCTCAAGGGAAACAGCCAAAATTATCAAAAATACTTTTATTGATTGCCAGATGAAACGTTGGAATTATTTGTATTTCAGTCGCTGAAATTATTTCACGTATAATTTTTACGTATAATATTTGGTCGTTGTAATAGAATTTAAGATTGTACCAAGTTACATATCTATTGAATTCTTACTACTCAATGTATAGAAGACATAAGTATTTCGTCCAGAATATAATTTTATTCAATAAGTTGATTACTAATTAGTAAATTATAAAAAAGTCTTTGCCCAGTGTTTTTAATTGTAGTATTCTTGTTTCCTTCTACGACATGAGAGGTTGAATAAACCTCGGTTTGATGATATCTTCACTAGCATTAAGCATTGAGGACTGTACTGAACTATAATTTTCAATTCGGCAACCTGTTAATAACAAATACAATATATGTGTGTCAGTAGTTATTTCAAGATGTTCCGAGAAGGTGATGATTTTATCGTCTATACTTAATTTCTCTTTCAATTCGTCATTGTCAATGTTATAGTTATCATTTTCAGTATCTTTTGAATTCTCCTCATTATATTTATCGATATCCCATTTTATATTTGAATGGCAGGATTTCTTCGGTGCATCATGGTTTACTGTCTGTTTTAGTCCTCGGTCATCAATCTGTTGGTTAGATGGTAGCTTTCCAGTCGGTCCTGACGTTGATTCGATACTTCAATTGTTAATCGACGAGTTAAGCCTATTAAAAATGGAAAATATTTTGGGATAATAAGTTTAGATATATCTGACATAAGTATCAAAACAAGGTTTATTATTTATATATGGTCAGTAGTATTTTAAGTCTCAAATCTCACCTTCTTTCCGGTCAGGGACCGTTTATGTAATTGTCTCAATAGATAAATATGGCAATGAGTGCTGTAGAAATATATTATTATAAGACTTTAAAATATATCTGTTCATGCTTCTAAAGTTACTATTCGAAAAAAACCAAAGTTTCAATTTTAGTCAAAAATAATCTCATGTAATTCAATAGTGAGAAAGACTTAGATAAAGAACAATCAAAGAATTTAAAGCTCAGTTACATAATCAAGCAGGGATTTCGGGTATATTCACGATGTTTTATATACGCGAAATAAAGTGTTCTTGAAACTGAAACGAGGGAAATTATTTTTAATAAGCTGATTATAAATAATTAGTTCACTTATTCTTTTAGATAAAATATTGTAAAATGGGAATAAAAAGATATAAATGTGAAGACGATTTATTTGAAGACACTTCTATAAAAGTAAGGTTCAATCAGTTTTACAGAGTTATTGAAAGACGAGTCAATAAAAGTGAAATGGAGTAGAAAATATGAAGAAATTCCTAAATTACACAAGATGATCTGAAATATGATCTGTTTGTCGGTTAAATGGATACATAAAAGATTGATTATCGGGCATGGAAACTTACCTGCTGGAATTGGTCCCGGAGTATAAAAAACACGTATCCCACTTTGAATTGGTAGTTGTTTAATTTTAAAATATGCTGTTTCCGGACCCCAATTTACTAATTTCACTGAAAATCTACGGGTTACACCGTATGGTAGCACACCAACATTAATGCGACTTGGTGTTAGACGTAAACCACGCATTCGCCTAAGTGAAAATTGGCCAAACGGTGGACCGCCAATAATACTTGTAAATAAGGCTCGACGACGTACAGGATCTTCAATAAGTGCTTGTTTTACATTGAAATTTGTGGTATGGCTAATTCCATTTACCCCGTTATTGCATTTAGGCAAACTGGGTCTTTTAGCATATAGATACTTTGGCACTCGAAGTTGCTTTCGTTTAGCCAAGGCAACAGCATCCAAAGGCACATGAGTACTGTGATTGTCTTCAGGTAATAAATAAAAATACATCGTTCTTCTATATCATTTTTGAAGAGTTTTAATCGCGAAAAATGGGAAATTATAATTGTAACATAGCGTAATGTGCCAAGTAGTACATGAGAAAGATTATGGCAACACAGTTTTGAGTAAGCATCACTTCTAGCACTTTTTATCCTTCATTATGTAACAAATGTGGTCTTACTATTCACTGTTTCTATATTGCTAAAAGGAGTTTAAATCCAATTAGTTCATAATTAAAAATATAATAACTGGGTAAATTATGAATATATTACACACTTCAGTAATGACAGAATCTTTTCACCAGACCTGAAGGATTTATTATTGAATGACTTCTAACTTACATCCTCAGTCGATCCCATCATTTTAATAACTAGATTTATCTAAGCTATATATGTACTGAAAACCTGTAAATACGCTACACGATTCAGCTTTCTCACCTACAGTTTCCTTTAAATATGGTTATCCAGTTATCATAAAAATTCTTACATATTTTTATTGTTTCACCACTAGCTTCGTATTTATCATACACCATTCATATAATTTAATATTAACCCTCATTCAAAGTCAATTAGAACGACAAATCCTTCTAACGTGTCCGTAATAATGGTCTCATTTTAGTCAGGGATAATTAATACCATTTGAAAACATTATAGAGTTAAAACTATCGTGAAGTGAAATACTCCGATAGTTCTGAAATCTATAAGTTAACATCGGAATTAATAATTCTAATAATCATTAATATAGCTTATATGATGAATTGATTTATGCAAGAAAATTACTGAAACTCTTTTATTACATTATTGAATCTCTTCAGAAATTTGTACTCACGATTCTACAAGGAATCAAGCCGAAGGTAATCAAATCTCGGCTTCATAGCACTACTTTCAGATCACTAGTTTTGGATGTGATAGTCCATATTTTAAAATTCAATTTCATTCTAAGACAAAGACGTTGTTCAGTAGTTCCTGGCTTTCAGTAATTGTTCAGTTAAGATGAGTCCCTTATATATATGCTAATCTTTAGTGAACTCATATCAGTTGATGCTAATTGATTGCTGAAGAGAACATGACTTTTTTGTTTTCAAAAATCAATTACAGCTTGAATACAATTAAGAAATTACTTTATTTTGGTATTATAAAGTAATGTATTATATTTTTATATATCATCTATCTACATTATCATCATAATACTTAAATCCTCAATAAAGTCACAATATATCTTCAAATGATGATGAACAACAACAGTACGGTAATCAATATCAATGTAGTTTTTTATTTAATAAAGAAATTCTGTGAATGCTTAATTTACACAAGCTAATTATTTGGACTAATTAGACCATTTTTATTTTAAAATATACTAATTAGGTTCGTTTATTCAATCATGAGATAGTGATTTTGTTATTGATTACAGAGAGAAGAGATTAGGAAAATAATTATTGATTTTTAATTGTACTCATGAATTTGGTTTATACAAGTATGCTTGATTAAATATATTATACATGAACAAATATATATATATATATATATATATATATATATATATATATATATAATTACTTCACTTACCAATTATTTAATTTGCGACGGGTCAATATCATAATAATAAAAACATTTTTTTGTTGTTTCTCTAGTTGACATTTTCATTCCAGTTTTATAACTGTCATTATAGATAAGTTTATTCATAGTTAAATGGCTATTATTTGTATTTCCTGTTATTTTCTCTGTGATTAACTCATTATCATTCTCTGTTGATCTTAATAATGGACTGGGTATATTTGGTGGAGAATCACTAAGAATTAGAGTCGATTGTTCTGTTAAGGCTAATAATATATAAATAAATAAATAAATATTGGAAGCATCGAACAAATTTAAGTTTAAAATGGTCATATTGAGTTTCGAACCGATGATTATTTCGTTTGAATAACAAGAAAAAAGGATCGAAGATGTATCTATTTTAAAAAATTTAGTACGACACTTTTCAGTATATTGAATGTATATGTATATATAACAAGTAGAAAAATATTGTTTCTGCTTTGTTCATGTATAGAACTCATAAAGAAGTTACCTCAGAAACGGATGGATAATTTTTTGAATAACATGGGTGAAAGACATTTTTTAAATCTCTGCTAGTTACTAAGATAGGTTTAAGGATTTCGAATCCACTATTTACATATTTTTTAAAAATGGATTCCACTAATTAAACACAATGAGGGAAGTAGCATACTTGAAATAAAAATCGCTAAACTTTCATTGGATAGTAACTTATATCACCTCACTCAGTATTTAGTATTTCAGGAAGTTTGGTATTTGAATACAGATTAATGTGGTGGTCATTGTTTAGTTATCTTGTAGTAGCAATAACAACCGCAGAATCACCGACCTCAGTCGAGTACTTTAAAACATTCGACATAAAAGTTCTTGGACAAAACGTTTTACTATTCTCGAAGGCATGTGATTATGGCTACAGATATTCAGGAATATGTTTTAATCAGTCCTTGTCGACACATATCGACCATGAAGAAATCCATTGATATTGCCTATAATTGTAAATTTTATTCTTTTTATTTTGAGATCAGCAACAAAATTCAGAACTGGTGTTTCGTTGTACTTGATATTTATCATTTAGATGCGCCTGCTTAATCAATACCTGAATAATAATTACTATACCTTTCTGAATACGCTTGTGTTTACTTGGAATCAGCAGCTTAGGTGACGGCAAGTTGACGTTTGGGGAAAGAAGTACTTATTCTGGGTCTCATTGTAAGTACCAAAGCTAGGAGGCAGGTACATTCAGCTTACAAGTCCCATATAGAAAGAAAAGCAAATTCTCTACTCAATCGCTGGGGACAGTCTAATAAATAATATATGTTCGTGAATTTCTTGAAGTACTTCAACCGAAAGCTACAATTCACTCTTTGTTATTTGACGTGTTGAAGATATCATATTTCTGTCCAACAAATGAAAACGCAGGTTACTGGCAACTAATTTAACATGCAAATCTCACAGCATATTCTTAAAAATAATAAGCCTTTTTATATGGTATAAAATGAATTTAAATAGCTTTTCACCAGAGGAATAATGAATATTCAGCAAATGACTCAAGGAGTATGTCGTTTTTCCAACCTATTACAAGTCCTAAACGTAGCGAATTAATCTTTATTGGTCACCGAAATTATTTCAGTGGAATCCGTCAATCATAAAAATTATGCATAGACTGAATCTACCAGTTTTTATTAATGAATGGATAAAACATACTATGATTTTAGGGTATTTCATTAGGTCGGTAAGTGTACTACATTTTGTATAATTGTAGTGAATGAGCTCATACCATTAACAGAATATAATCTTTTAACGCAAGATCAGTGAAACGTAAGTTTATGAAATTATGAAATTATAATATTCTTATTACTTACTTGATTTATCATTTTGTTTAGGATTTCGACTTGGCAGATTACTTAATTCTGGCACTAATTTAGACAATTTTTTCACATCGGGGATCTAGAAATAAAGGTTGTTTTGTATTTCAAACTAAATTTTAAAAAAATTATGTGCACCATATTTCGACTCAAATAAATAACTATCAGAAATCAGAAAACATAAGGGTTGTTTCGTCCTAGTCTGGGACTCTATATTAATGCTCACTCGATATATCAAGAAGTTGAGCCTAGAACCATTGAACTCTGTGGCTAACGGTGCAACTTTAAACTTGTTTTCCAAAATGCAGTAGTCTACATTTTTTACAGCAGTCAGTTCAACAGAATATTCCACCTATACTTCATTTAGGAATTTTTACCACATATGTTAATGACAACAAATAGGAGTTGCATTCTGCATCCTGTTAAGTCAAGGAACCGACAGAAGACAGAGAGATAGTTGAACAGTAATTTCTGATTATTATTGAATTTATCAAATGACCCTGATTAGCCTAAGGAAATTTAGAAATCATCTGACAGCTTTGCAGTATGCTGGTAATATCTGACTATTGAACATGTACGACTCCCTGTCTGAGTTAGAGTTTCTAATAGTGTTAGTGAAAAATTTAAGAACTTATTTAAATGACTATCACAAGTTATTACGTAACCTACATTTGACAACCAATCCCATTTTGATCACAAAACTGAAAGGCTATGTCAGTAATATTTTTGTGAAACTTACTTGTGACAGCAAAAATCCGATTCCTTCCTGTGACCGAAAGTAGTTAGGTGTATGAGTACTCCTAAGTGCTGCTCTATCTCTCATTGCTTTCTCAATCTCTTGACGCAATAGTTTGAATGCTTCTTGTCTAGCTGGCGAATATTTGTTAGTTGCTGCAATATATATGAGAAAAAGAATAGTTGCTCAGCAAGTAGATGAGTTAATTTGGAGGAGAAAAATAATAACTTATTTTAAATCAATATCAAATTACAAACATCTTATGTGTTTTTGTTAACACCTTTAATAACCAACACTAAGTGCTTCACATCAAACTTCTGTCTCTAAGTTTTAGAAATACCTCTCTACCCCCAAAAAGTAACATATTTGTCATAACTATACAAATTTTCCTGTGATTGATGAAAACATTTTGTTGTACAATCCTTTTATTTCATCTATTTGTTAACTGTGGCAAAATCGATGGAGCAAGTCCTTTGGCTCAAGCATATGCTATCTGTTTGTATGAACATAGATGAGTTTTTGTACTTAATAAATATTAAATGAAAAGATATGTGAAGATCAGTTTTTGCCCAATTTATGATAGTTACCATACTATGACACTAAATATATCTAAGAAAGCTCAATTGTTATTTATTTTGCATTTTTTATAAATACGTACAACGTGATGTTAATTATTTGTAATATTCTAATTTTGAACACAAGAAAATTCCTTTTGAATTGTGAAAATAAATATTGTCCTATTCTTATGGTTGCTGCAGATAAACATTCTGAAATATACCTAGTTTTTACATTGAATGCAACACATTACCAATTCACTTTGAATAGTGTAAGACAATATACAATATATGTCTGTTGAAAGATAGATATTCAAACTTTTTCACCTTATGTGTATCTTAATATACAAAGTCTTTTAATGTATACATACATATATATGCATACAAACAGATATACACAGATAGATTTGTATGAATAAAGATAGTATTGAATTTAATGCTAAAAATATTGTCATAGTTTTTTAGTTTATTTGAAAGCAAAGAACAATAATAATGACCTAAAGACTTTTTTATAGATTATCATTTCCATATTATCAAAGTTTGATTTGATTAATTCTCTTTGTATAAAAATAAGGTTACTCAGTATTTCCTACATCTTTATTTACCTACTTTTTAGCGGTTAAATTGTTTTATTTGTATTTAACTTTAGAAAAAGAAGTAATTCATTATTTCACTTTGATTTTTCTCTTTTTTAAATGTTGGTCAAAGTAGTTTTATGAATTATCACGTAACAGATTCATGGGTCACAATTGATAATAATAGAAATAGTTATGTGGAATGAACAATAGTTTAACATTTAGATATGGATTATTTTTTGTATTGAAGTGAACATAAAATAAGTGTGGTTTTGATACGTAGTTGAAAATTATATTTTTTTAATTGTAAAAATCAAATAATATTATGAACGAATAATTGAAACAATCTTTTTATTGTATCATTAAAAAAATATATTGAATCGATGTGATAACATTCTTAAAGACTCTACTGTTGAAACTAATGGAAGGATTCAGAGTGATGAATACACTTCGTCGATTTATCCATACTAGCTATTAAATGGGTGGTAAGTTCATGGTAAATGTTTTATTTTAATCATTTTGAAAGAAGCTTAGTAACAGTGTCGTGGGAGTATTAAAGTTCAGTTACCGTTTAGTCTCCTTCACGCGAATGCTTACTGTTCAGCGTTGATATTGCTAGTTTTATATAACTCGTACAAGCCAAGACCTGTTGGTTAGTGAACAAACTTTAGAAATATAGATTTGAATAACAAAAAAATTTAACATGTCTAGGATTGGAGTAAAATTCACTTGTCAGCGGTCAGACGGAATATTTAGTTACTCGTAACTACTGATTAACTCACAGTCCACAAAATAATCCAAGATTTCATTCTTAACACAAGCTTACGTTGAGATATTTCTTGACTGACAGTGGTTTGTTGACTAGGGGAGCTGGATACATCTGTTATATTCTCATTTTCAATTGGATCTGATATCTGCTTATTTCTAGATAATACACTTGATACAGTTGGTATTGGATCCAAGAACAATCTTAATTCAGATTGCATAATTTCTGATAATCTTGTTGGTTGTTGACTGCACCATTCATTTAAACGATTGAGGTAGTATTCTGTGTAAGCGCACAGTACACTTAAAAACCTGATTAAATAATAACATATGATGAAGTAAAATTGTAAAACTATGTTTGTATAGTAGTTTAATGTTCAACAATGAAAACAAGCAAAATCCTCCTGAAATTCACAGCTATTCAGTCAGATTAGCATAATGTAGAAATGCTCTTTTGTCCGACTATTTTAAAAATGTTAAATAATTGATGGACAAACAAATAGTCTTGAAAGCACTAGATTAATATTTGCAAAAAGCCAGATTTTCATTAAATATTACTTAGCACGATTATTTTTTGTGGTAGGTTGCTAACTTGGTACTTTGTTATAGTTTGGTTAAACCGCATGACCACAAACTCACTTATATTACCTAGTAACTACCAACGAAATTCGAACAACACTGAGAGAATTGATACAGTGCACAGGCTGCGATTGCAGGTTGTGCAATTTACATAACTAGTTATATTATTATGACTTATATGTGTTCAAACCATAATTGGGACTAAGTAAATTGAATAAAAGCGAACGAATGCTGTACGTAGAATCTCACTCATTGGTCTGCTATGCGTGACATTTTCATCATTAAGATATGGAGAGGATTTATCCAACATAATGCTTTTAAACTAAGTATATATAACTTTTTGTTATTTTGCATGTAATCAAGTACCGGTTATAATCTAGGGTGGAGCCGTAATGCACTGCTTTTGATATCATGTATGTAAACTGATTACAATTAGACTTACCTTTGATTAATTTCGGATGTAATTAATGGGAATTCAGTAAAGCGTCTTACATTTGCATGAAGAGCTTGATAATAAGCATTAAATTTATGATTCTCGCGTTTTATCGATTTGCCTTTTTGTGCCGGTAGAAGGTTGACGTTTGTTTCTGGAAGCTTTAAACCAAGATATTCCAAAGATGGCATAATGATATCTAGACCTTTACCGGCTCTTTCACCTAATTTTCGAATATCTGAATGCGGGTTTGAATTTGATGAATGTGTTATAGTCTGGAAATCCCGACTGCTCAAACCCTCAGGAATAATATTTTCTTGAACGTAGTATTTTCCTGTTTCATTGGTGGATATTGACTTCATCAGCGTCAGGCCGAAGACCTAAAGGGTAATGATATTTGATCTATCAGTTTTATTCATGAGAAATAAATTTTTTACCTTATATTTGAAATTAGTCAAAGTTGAAAACCGAATGGAAACAAGCATTCATACTTGAGTATGTCGGCGGCCTTCTTGAATATCTGGGCTACCTGTTCCTGCCATCTAGATATTTCAACAAGTTATCTGTATTCTTATTTGTTTTAACACATAATTTTGTCTATTGAGCGCACAATCTATTCGGGCGCGTTTATGAAAAGTTTACAACATTTCGCTGTACAGGTTACGGAAAGGTACAATCAGCGGCATCATGATGGCTGGCAATATGCATTGAAAAGAACGAACATTATTCAGGTGTCAATACCCGAACTGCTAACACATAACTGGCAATCACTCAATATTTATTGTCAGGATCGATCAAGAAATAAGAAAAGGAAAGTTTTTGAAATACTTTGCGCTGAGAATCCTATGTTTCACCAAAAATATAATATTGAATAAAGCTAATGATAATAATGTTTTATTCTTTTATTCACATGTTTAATTTCATAAAATGTCATCACGATCCAACTGACTGAGAGTTCTAAAGATTTATTGTAGATCTAATTTCTCAATGACACGTGATATGGAACAATATGATTACTGTGAAAATGCAACTACAAACGATTTGTTTAATTCCGTTACTAAATGATTATGATTAGAAACACGAGATTGGAAGCATCGAATTAAAATTCTTAATTGTTTATTATGATATTTGTCTACGAGTTCTAGTTTGTGATCTTCAGATTCGATCAGGTAGAAAATATTAGTAATGGTTTTAAGATCTGTTCATTTGTGAATATAATTCGTCAAATTAAATAGCATCAAATAGCTATAAAAAATGTTTAAAATCTATACTGTTTAATTACAAATGTACTAATACCTTGGGATTATTTTGCATTGGTTCTCTTAAGTATAAACCTTCATAAAAATCACTATCTGATGTTGAAGTGTTTTGACTTTTCGCATTCATATACATCAACTTTTCTTCCATTGTCAATTTATTTATGTGATGACGAGGTGATTGAATATTATGAGCTCTTCGAAGCAAGCACTTATATTCTTCATGATGTATGAGTTCAATAGCTATTCTTTTAATTGGATCAAAATAAAATAATCTCGGTATGTGTTCATCATATAAACAACAACCATCATTTGATATTTCATTATTATGGGGTTCATTAATTTCATTATTGTCAGCATTGTCTTTGTTTTGTAAAACAGTGTGAAATGAATCTTCAATTTGTTGATTGTTTTCATTTGTTAATTCAGTGGAATAAATTTGATTGACTTCAGTATTTGAGTCTTCATCAACAGTATGTTTTTTATTACCTACTGAAAATATTAAAATAAAAAGTATTAGCCATTTAATAGCCATTTGATTTTTAAAAAAACTTGGCCTTTCCCAGTTTTTTTAAACATAACTAATTTTAGAAATTGGACTGCCTCTAAACCAATTAAGTCTTGATAATGCATTGATAATGCTTGATAATCATTGTAGTTCTTATGATTGTATCTTAAAGATAATTATAAATAACTATAGTAAATAATTAAAGTCGCTATTCATTTCAGATAAATGAATGTAGAAATATATGGTAGTGGGTAATTATTTATAGCATATGTCATATGACAAACTTCACGAAAAAAGCTAATGGTTTAAATTTAATGAATTAGCTTAAGTTTTGAAACAACTGGAATTCAGCCAACTGATCATATAAACGACTCCCCTCGATTTATTTCAGTTTGGGGACCAGGATAGAATCACTAATTTCTACATATGTCCTATGACTTAACACCAATTTCACAAGGTCTAAATCGGTAATGCAACATATTATCATTAATTATGAAGTGCAAAACACTTCGTTAAATCTCACGTTGTCGTATAGAACCGATTTAGAGAGTATGTGTCAACATATTTTAAGAAACAACAATTCGCTGTAAAGTTTAACGGCATGAAGTTTAGTATTCTATGTCAAATAATTCAGCAGAACGAAAAATATGTGTTAAATTGAGTTATTTTTGAATATCAATTCTTAAACAAAATAAATACATATCTTGCCTAGGTTTTATCCTCACTATAATCTGAATAGCTTGCTACAGTCGAATGAGTTAAATGTTGTTTCGGTTAACCGTATTACTTTAAAACATTAGCTTATTATTATGAGATGAATTACTAAATTCTTATAATACTAACCAGTTAAAAGAACATTACAATTTGCCCAGTTGTCAACTGTGTACACATTTTTGTGTGGATCAGTGCACTCCAACAAACTTTCCGTGTCTTTAGATCGCATTTCATAAACAGTTGGTTCATTGAGATTGACTATCTCCAGAGATTGGCTAGTGTAATATACTGAACTGTCTGGATTTATATTTAACTGGCCACCATTGAAATGCTACAATGTAAATTAAAACTAGCAATTATCCGACGGTAAAATAATGAAGAATTATCCTTATTATGATTTTGTTGTTGTGTTAGACGGACTTCAGATTCTGGCACTGATATACGCGCTTCCCATATTCGAGCTTAAGCTGCTACTTGAGTGTTAGCGGGACATAGATTGGATTAAATAATGTTCAATACACGCTTGCGTTGGCGTACGCTGATTGGCTAATTCTTATCTATTCAGCGTTAGTCAATACTTAGTGAACACTCTAGAAATCTCATGTGAAAACTATAAATATACTAACTTTTTCTCTATTGTGCCTCTTACTTCCATCTAACCTTGTTATTTGAAATATAATCTCTTTTCCTGTTCAACCGTGTTCTGATTTGGGGGACTTGTCGAGTGAATTGGTGTCCGAGAATACTAAACAATAGGAATAGCTGTGTCGTAATAAAAGAGAGAATTATAACATTGAGCGAGGAGAAAGAGAATAAATAGGCTGTTTATTAGCTGACCGGATCAAAATCCTATCAGACTCGTTTGTACATATATGAAAGTGTCCCCAGGATAATTCAGTTAAATCATGGTCAACAGGGTCCATCGGTACGATTCTCTCTCTTGAATCTTGGAATCGTGTGTCCGATTGCCTATTTAATCGTTTATCAACCGAAAACTGTACTTCATCTCAGTTACCAATCGATTTCCTTAATCTCTGTATTAAAGACGAAGTTCGCATGTGTACAAGTCATGTAACAATCACGGAACTTAGTTACTGTTATTTATTAATGGATTTTTTGAAACAGAAATTTAAATTGCAAATTTAATCAACTCTGAAATCCCTAAAAGTAGGTAGTACCGGATTGGTGTTCGGATCATCTTTTGGAATACTTAACAATTAACCTATCAAAAACAGGCTTTCAGATGGATTTCTAAAGAAAAAGGATGTGGACGATAGAAGCAGCCCAATCAGGAGTGGGTCAGAATGCAGTTTAAACTACGGAGAAACGACCATTCAGCCCTACCAGAATTTCAACGATTTACCAACTGAAGCTATTTTGTGGTGAAAATCGTCTTCAAATTGTTGTTTATTGATCTCATCATCATAAAATGTATAACGGAATTGTTGAATCAACTGATAAATGTTTCCATTTATCTCATAATGTATTTCATACAAAATAAACTTGGATATTAAAATTAATGTAACTATCTAATTTAGTAAACCAGTTCATAAGCTTCATTCCATCAGTTAATCATCCATTGCCAAAGTTGGTCATGCGACCGATACATATTAACTAGAGCAATCATAGATTCCATCACAGTGAGGTAAATTTTTTAAGATAAATGTCGAAACAATTAAAATATCTGTACTTGTGGTATTACAATGTTAAAAGTACTAGAGAATCTGGTTCAAGAATAGAATACGTAATATTATTGATCAAGATTTAGGGGAAGATAAAAAACAAATGCATTTATAACATTATGATTGGTTGTAAGTTGGGTCACGAAAAATCTTTAACTATCGATCGATATGCGGACCTGAAACAAGTGATCTTCACCCATATGCTTTGATCACCAATATTATGAATACTTATAACAAGAGTCACCATATTTTTGATAGTCAAAACACTGATGGTTTTTTGACGATTGCTATCAAGGAACTCTGAAGACTTGGTATCATTACTAAAAAAGAAACGATTATAGAAATTTCGTCTAGTGACAGTTTTATCAGGACATTATTACTTATCTAGCAATATTTAGTCATTAAGTGTAAAGTGATTAAGTGTAAATAGCGTATATAGATTAGCAACAAGCTTAATATCCGAACTATAATAGAAAATTTGATCTCTTGAATTGAATTTTAGAGCTTATACCCTCTTGTTTTCCAAGAATTAAAACATCCTCCAATGCCCAATAAATTGTAATCCGAAAATAAAAGTAATGGCAATGGTATTGCATAAAGACGAAGTCTAAATTACTTGAAAACAACATGTATACAAAGGAACCACGTATTTAAGTCATGTATTTAGTTTCAATATAAAGAGAAACCCCTTCAACTAGACATCCGTAAGTAGCATTATAACAGGGCGATCTATCTAATCAAATAAACTCAACTTTAATATTTATAAGTACACAAATATTTCTATGATTGGCTCTTATTTCTGAAGATGAAATTTTACTTGCCTAATAATATTTCTTACCTGTAATATATGATGACCTTTCGGAGTGAAGTGAAATGTTGATGAAAACTGACTTTTACCAAATAAAGATATTTCAAACTCGCCGGTTGATTTATTTAATATTACAGCAGGAAATCCGACACACTCTGTACGAATGAACATTTGAGGTTTGTTGGCATTTGAATTTAAATCTACAGAATTGCATTCATCATTCAGCTTCTCACTTGCCTGTACAGTAAGAAATGAAAAGTAACAAGCAATTATTTCATATCAAAACCTTGCTACGATGTCCATCTGGAAACAATCAGTGGCAAAATAGGCATGTGTAACACCGTTAAACGAAGCTCCTATTTCTAAAGTTTTATTTCATCCACAAATCGATGTCATAGGTTTTATTATTGCAGATTTGTCATTTGCTGATTATTTCCCTACTACTTTCGTCCTGTATAACTTGTAATCAATTTAATTACACATTGTAATTTTCTATTTGGTAGGAAATTTCAGGCGTATTATTGTATCGGTCTTGGTTAAATCCAGTGAAATGGAGAACTGTTCTATTTTTCATCTTCGTCCTCTGATCGGTCATCGGTTTGGGAGAAGCTTGAGAGTCAATTAGTGTTAAAGTTCTAGCTATTATTAGTAGATCACTATGTCAATTGGTAATTGAAAGGTCACCGATCCTGGTGGCAATATAAGTGAAATAATAGATGACAGATTTCCTGTTATTATTTCCCGGTCACATGGACTCTATACAACATAATCAAACTGTTTTCCTTGACGTAACGAATGATATTTAAAACAAATAAAACCTATAATCATTAAAAAGGTCTACTGGAAACGTTCTATAGTCCTAAACACCCCTAGACTATTAAGATGAACAAATAACCGTAGAATCAATGAATCAGAATACATGATGATATGCATACATAACATTTTATAAACTGAGGTACATTTAAAGATGTAGAATATTATGAAGTCTTCCGTAATTAACAATTACGGTTTGATTGATATTAATTCATGAAATAAACGTCCCTTTTCAACTTGGTTAAACTTGTTAAATTGAGATCATCTTGAGCGGAAATGACTGCTTTCCGAAAAATAGAATGTTTTTGATTCCAACAAAGACAGTTACATTTAAATAAATTGAAAAACGTAAAAATTCTGATTGCAATGTTCACTACCATAAACCATAAAATATAAAGTTAATTATAGAAAAATAATTGTACGTGAAAAGATATATCATATAAGATTAAACAGATACAAAGTTTGCCTAACTACCGATGAATAAATTATTCATTACAGTTAGGTCAATTAGTTTTTAGTCTATCCACAACTAACTGAATTTTTTACAGTAATCACAGCACACAAATAATCAAAACAGAATTAACAAGATGAATCAGTACAGTAGAGTTTATGGATTGAAAAAACAAGTTACTTTGAAATGATCAACTCATGATATATTCAGGTTTAGTTGTCATACTAGAATTGGAATGAAAGTAAGAAAAAGAAAACAGTCACCCGTTATTAATATTCCTATTATTAATTGATATTCTATTAAAGCATGATGTATATAAAATAAACGAGACCTTTCTAAATGATGACTACGTGAAATTATATTTTGTCATGGAATGTAAAAGTATGATACTTCAACCATGTAACATAAATGAATAATTTAGATGTAATTAATGAATACGAAATGAATGCGGAGAAAAATTGTTCACTGTTAAGACAATAGCAAATATGAATCTTAAAAATGATAAATGGAAGAATTGGGTCTTGACAATTACTGGAGTACACATAATATGAAAAAAAATCTTATATGGTAGAGCTTGATTAATGAAGCTTCTGTTCATCCATTTATACGAAATTTATAAACTGTTACATAGGGACCGAATGTTGGTGATGATCAGGCTAAAAATCTCTATTTCTCTGCGTCCTTATTGAAACAATACATTTACAATCTGTTAATCATAGCTTAGGATGATAATAAAGATCAGAATCGAAAATTAAAATTAGTTTCAGGAACGTCACTGATAAAAGTAAACCCTGAACTATGTAGATTAAACAAGTAGAAAAATCAATAATATCGTACTTAATTTTAGGCTTTCAATATTCGATTCGGTATATACCAAATAAGTAATTATAAATACAGTAAACGTTTCAACACCTGATTAAAATGTGTGACATGGTTTTGATATATTATGCCTTATATTGCCTATCTTAGGTAGTGTTTATTTGATTAATAAAAGTTACCTTAATTCAAAATGTTATAATTACGCTAGCTTTAGAATAGAATAAAGCAATTACTCAACAATGAAACATTAACATACCAGTAAGATTTGCGTTAATCGTGTACCATCTGCATGTTGTACTATCAACTTGAATGGACTATCTGGATGAGGTTCAACAGCAATTAAATTGTCTTCAGGCCGTGTATATAATGTTTCTCCAGTGGCTGGATCATAGGCTCGGAACGATTCCATTGGTTTACTCGGATATGTTTCATATTTCATTGCATCATTTAAGCGTTTAGAACTTAGAGTATCTAAGTTCACTGACTCATGTGATACACTGTCTGACGCATTTGTTGTTGGAGTATCTTCAACTGAACTACTGATATTTGTAAGTGGTTTGATTAACTTGAACCAAAACCGCTCACCAGACAGAAGGGTAATTAACCAAGGTAAATTATCGTCTGAATCATTAGTTGCTGATCTCGGTGTGCTGGATGGAGTCAAAGCGGTTGCGATGTCAGTAGAAACTAGGCCTGTCTCATTCCGAGCATCGTCTTCGGCTGAAAAGAATTCAGTCATAATTACATATTTACACTGCTATCTATAAGCTAATTGTTTTGGAAGGTTGTTTTACCTGAATTTATTCATTTTGTTTTTCGATTAACTTTCTAAAATTATCCGAGTCTTTTTATCAATTCAAAAAGCTTTAAATGAATCTTATCACATACGAGATATCAATTCATTTCATATGACTGATAGATAAACTTTAAAGCCTCAGTGAAGTCAAAATCGTCATGGCTTTCCATATCAATCTAGTCTGATGTAGATTAATAAATTTTTCAAGAGAGTTTACAAACGTCTTCAAAATAAAAATAAAAACAGACGGGATCAGCATCAATTTTCAAAAAAAAAATGCTGTTTTGAATGTTATCCGCTTTCATTGATACAAATAGCCTTAAAACTTGTACTCTTTACTACAAACACAATTTGTAGTTTGAACTTGTTATCTGTCATTAACACTTTGTGCATAAAACAATAAAAAAAGAACTTGTAATAATTTGTCATCAATTATCAGATGTTCTTGTTTACAAAAGCGAATAATGTTAAATTCACTTGCTATAAATAACTTTGTGCAAAAGATTTAGATGTTATTTCAAATGATTTATATATTGTTATTCTGTTTTCCTATATTATTTCTATCTGTTTATGTGTGCTCGGGGGTAGAATGACAGAAGGTTTTATTAGTGTGTATGTGCGATATATATAAACTTGAATCGGACACTTATTGATAGTGTATGACATGATCATGTATTCGAAACTACAAAGAAAAGTGATTACATAGTTTTGAGTGTTTTATGGTGAAAAGCGAGAAGTTCTGAACCTATGCTTGTAATTATTAGCAGCTGTTACCATGGAGTTTCTGCAATCTTGATGGGACTGTTAATTTCAGTCATATTTCATTCAAAATTACCTAGTACTTAATTTTCATAGCGACTGGCTCTCATCTAATAATTCCAAACAAAATGTATTATCACGTAGAATATTGGCCGCATTACAAATTGATCAGTATAGATTGATCAGCATATATGACATTAATTGTTGGACATTGATAAATCAGTCCAATCCAAAATGTGTGTAAACAAACATGTGCCATTTCTGCAAGAATTTTTGTTTCTCTGTTTTACAATTTCATTAAAAACTAACGTAAATTTTCATGGTGGATGTAAAAAGTATAAAACAGATGAATCATTCATCACATTCGTTAACATCCTAGTGACTTAATGTGTTTGTTTCATCTCAGTAGGTTTACTAGGCAAGTAAAAAGATGTTAAATGTTACATTAGACTTGAAAACTGAGACTGATAATATCAAGAAGAAATGAAGTAGTTCATGAATCAACTGCTTGTCAGCTTAAGACATGAAAAGCTATAAATTTGATGACAGATATTACCTAAGATTACATACAACCGAAGTACGACATTTCCTTCATCGTTCTTAGGTGGAGTTTCTTATTTCTTCTCCATAGAATTGAGTCAATCATTTTTAAACTATTTCGTTCGTTTTTACACTTTGTTGTTCTAACTGTTAACTATTTAAAGTGATTTCTCGGAATTTTGAATAAAATAGGGTGTGAATAGTCAGAGAAATATATTGTTAGCAAATAACAAATCATTTAAAAGTACTCTATTTCTGATGACTGAGGTGTTTAGTATACGGTTAACAATGACTGTGATTTCTACTTCCCTACAAGTCATCGATAGTTAATTATAATAAAGGTCCAATGGTAATTTCGTAATCATTATCAAATGTTTTTATTTACTTTGTATATTAAATAAACTTGACCATTAATATCATCTTTAGTATGTAAAATACTTGCATCAATATTATCACTTTCCTGGTTGATTTAAATGTTGAAGTCTTTAATCGGTAATGCTTACTTATTCCTGTAGCCCCTAGTGAAGAAGCATAGGCCGCCCACCAGCATTCTCCATCCAACCCTGCCCTGAGTAATCCTTTCCAGCTCTTTCTAGTAACTATTCATCCTTTTCATACCTGCTTCCAATTCCCTACTCACTGTGTTCTTCAGCCTTCCTCCTTTCCATATTCCTTCAAAATTCCAAGTTAGTGCTTGCCTCATGATGCAGTTTACTGGTTTCCGTAATGTATGTCCTATCCACGTCCAGAGTCTTTTGCTAATTTCCTCCTCAGCTGGAAGCTGGTTTGTTCTCCCTTACAGTAGGCTCTTGCTGATGGTTTCCGGCCGACTGATATTGAGTATCATGCGTAAAGGACTGTCTATGAATACTTGTACCTTCTTGATGATGGTTGTGATAGTTCTCTACGTTTCAGCTCCGTATAGTAGGACTATTTTTACGATCTTGTTGAAGAATTTGACTTTGATATTGGTTGAAAGCTGTTTTGAGTTCCATATGTTTTTCAACTATAGGAAAGCTGCCTTCGCTTTGCCAATAATAAAACTAGAGAAATAATTTATTTTTAAAATATTTACTGTTAATAACAAAGACGCTTAAATAAAATTGAGTAATTTACTTTTTTTCTCCTCAATTTTTCTCCTGGAACTTTTCCTCTTAGATGATGATTTTCTTGGTTGTATATTAATTACTTGGAGTGCACTTGGCATTGCTGGTTCCGACTGAATATTAATTTCTTGTTGTTTTCCTTCTTGTGGATTACTCAATGTAAATTGCGGATTTTCATTTCTCCTTAATTCTTCGGCAACTGTTGTTCCACGCTCCATAATTGCTCCGTCAGGGTAAAGAATCTACAATTTAAGTTCATGTTTTAAAAATGACGACTGTTAACAAATCATGAATACACAGAATGTGTATTGAAAAAAACTTTTGATAAACAATGATATTCAGATAATTTGTAAACAAAATAGAAATACAAATAATTTAGGTACTTGACATTAAATGTTGCTTTGTTACAATACAAACTGGAACCATAAATTTAAAGGAAACTAGTCTGTCCATAAAACAACATACTACACGTAATCAAGGAATAGTCATAATAACAGGAACATATTACTTCATTATAACTCTCATAGAAATAAACATTAGGATATTAGAATTTCATAACTGTTTCGTTCAGAGATCATTACCTGTTTGGTTTTAGGCAAGGCAATAAACTAAGAATTAAATCTCTTTTTTAACATCTAACTTCTTGTTGTGCAGATTTATTTTAATCTGACCAAGTCGTCTCAAATGAACTTAAAGAAATATGATTACATAAAATGTCTGAAATATGGATGAGTAGGGTCTGGTAATGCCGGATTTAGATTAAGCTAAATCTATAGTTATTTTTAGTTGCTTTGTAAATCCTGAGCTAATATACAGAATAATAATTTATTTGTAAAAACAGATCAAAATAATCCTAATATGGTTTAAACTGACAATAAAACTATAAAAGTCTTTTCCATATATCCGGGTCTACGGTTACAGGGAAATGCTTGACTGTACCAGCGTAATAATTTTGATACAGTTAGTTTGATTAAATACGATCATTTCAATGTACCAATTGTAAAACTGGATAGCACTTTTAGATAACTCGGAGATGTTTAAGGTCAGCTTCATGTGTATTTGACTGCTGATATGACGTATTTCTGAACATTTAGTAGTACTAGGATGACAGTGTTTGAACTTTAATATGACTAAATAGTATTCCATTTCAATGAAGACATTAATTGGTGAATATTTGCAACCTTTAATTCAGCTCTCTCTAACTGCAATTTCCACACTATAAGAGAAACATAGATATTAGATATTTTGTGGCACTACATGGCACTGGTTAAATCCTTAAAATCTCATATCTATACAAATAATGCTTAAAATGCGTTGCTATAATACATTATGGTCATATAAATTTATAAAATAAAAAATAATTTCCACTGACCCTGATAGCGCATGAGGCAGATGATGTGCAACTGGGCATTAAAATTTGTATCACTATACCGTCGGATGTGATAAATCGTGTAACTTCGTATTCTTTATCAGACCTTTTTTCAGGTCATCGATGTTGATACTATCATTGATACAAGTTCTGGCTGACGATAACTTCAATAATATACTATGTTGTGAGTTTAAAAGTGCATTATTTTGCCCATCGTTTGTTTGACATTTACTTTCTGGATTAATTAATGCTTCTTTTGAAGGGATATTTTCTTCTGCACACTCATCAATGGCACGATTTGAAACTTCATCTAAGGTAATATAATGTTACATCAAGTGAAACAATTTTGAAAATAACTGCTGTTCGGCAGTATTTAAGAAACGAATTCAGTTGTGTATCCAAACCAAGTCAAAGGCTATATAGTATTTGATCAATATGTAAACCTTCACATTGACCCTTCTAACTGTCGTATTACATTACTACTACTTTAATGTCAGAATATAATATTTGAATTCGCTTTTCACTTGCTTTCAACTCCCATCAAACTAACATAAAACGAAGGTATTCAATATATAGGTACACCCTATCTAACTTCATAGTTGACTAACTATGTGCAAATGATTTTCTTATTATCATGAATAAAAGTATGACATTTAGACTACGTCATGTTAAAGAAAAGGTGAATATTTTCTGAATAAACAAATGCGTGAAACATTATTATTTTATCTCGAAGAAACATAATATTTTGATATTTATAAACGTTTGTATACACACGCTATTCATCAATAGTTTTTAAACTACATAAATGTCTTCAAAACATTGATTGATAAATCCTAACTAGTACTGAAAGTGGATAGCAAATTGTCATTAAGAAACTTTTATAATCGTACATAAGTAAATCGATGTTGTTCAAAATTTTACTTGTTAGTAGTAATTTAAATTGAATAACGGTTGCGGATGTAGTTTGAGAAGATGAAACATTATGTGGAAGAGAAGATTACGTGTAAAAAATTTCGATTATCTACAATCATTAAGACAACTCTATCGAATGACTGAAAGTTATCATTTTCCATGTCATTGACATATATTTGATAAATTATCAGAATGATAAATTCAAGCTAATTAAATATCACAAAAATATTCGTTAAAATTAAGTATGAATCTTCTCATTGAATTTTGATCACTCTCTTTTTGGTATGTGTACATAATGGATGACAGCTAGCGGTGGAATTCAACTGACGAGTTCCAAATATGAGCAAACACCCTTCCTAGATCCTATGACCAGCTACTTTTCATCTTTACTTAAATATTCTATTAAAATGATTATAATCTTTTAAGTATTAAAATGGTGAGGTTTCAAAACTTCTAGTTTTATAATGTGAATTGGCATGTTATTTAATATTGGATCGACATTTAAGCATTTTAATACACTACCTCTATAAAACAATTAACATGTCTCTATAGCGTTTTCGTATTTATATTCTAGTAGCATATTTGATCTATACATGGATAAATTATTCGGCTTATCAATAGTTTAACATCACATTCTGTAATGCATTCAAATAGTTTACTTACCAATTGAAACCGTATTACAGTAGAAAAGTAATAGGTGATCATGTGAATTTCATCAAATCCGAATAACTATCAGTGGCGTAAAACAAATGTTAACTACATCTACTTCATGATTTGGTTGATTATATGAAACCTATACAAATTTTAGATTTACTGCTAGTCAGTTTCAATACAATAATAATGGTTTAAAATTTCCACTTTATTTTAAAACGAAACAACTTGGAAGGAAGACACCAATTTGTCTGGTAAATTTGTATTTTTGTAATTTTTGACCAATTAGTAGTAATCGATACCATGTTATTCTAGTCCTTAGTTTTATTCAAATTGCAATGTTGCTACTAGTCTAGGTGATTTTACGTCGCGTATACTATGTTTTAATGTTAGATGGTTGGGTACCGTTGGCAGAAAACCCTAGACGTAGGCTTCTTGTTAGTTAGCCCTTAATAAAAGGGTATACATACAATATTGAAAGAAACGATGTTCCCTGTAGGATTCCAATTTACGCTAACGCGCTTCATTAAGTGAGATGATTCGATCATCACCAGGGAATGGACAAACATGATATTGGATACTACATGGTAGTAACTACAGATATATCACCCCTACCAAAGGCCAGTCGTAGCCTCGAAATCTCACTGATAACGTTCAAATCCCATGGAGAGAATCAGTTCCTTTAAGACTGTAGATGAGGAATATCTTCCTAATGTAGGTATGAATTGCAGTTTAGTCACACAAAACACGTCAATTTACACGGTTTAAACTTGAATGTGATATTTTTTCTTGAATTTATCAACTTCACATTTCAGGAAAACGTGCTGAATTCATAAATACATTGTGAATATGACTGCTTGTTACACGACTTTATACGATACACTGATTATAAATGACCTACAGTTCATACTAATCATACTTTAAACAATATTAGTGCTGTGTGTTCATATTTCTCCTTTCTTCATGCATTATTGAACTTCTTGTGAAAAATGTTCTCGATATTATGCCTAGTACACTATTCAGAATGTAAATAACAATGTATTGACGACAAAACTAGCACAAATTGACTTACTGACACAATGATAAACAGCTACTTGTGCACCGTCAGGTGTGGAGAGATGTATGAAATGTTGAAATGGTTTATTTTGTGTAGTTTCACTGTTATCATTCAAACTGACAGAATTTGGCCTGATTCGGCAGTCATTGTTATAATCACTATCACTATTTTTGTTAAATTTATTCAGTTGATTAGATTCTATTTGATAATTCGGATTAGGTTGCTATAAAAGAAGACAAATCTAATAACTAGTGGTCTTCGAGACATAAAAACTATTTCAAAAAATAAGCTTTAGATATGCTTACATAGATTCATTTAGCCTTATGTTACATTTAATGGCACTGGGGTGTGTGCTATTTATGTTAACATAAGTAGTGTATAACGTTAGTCAGGAAGAGAATGTCTGGCAGCAGAAAGTCGAGGAGGAAAGAGCAGGAACAGAAAGCAATTGGTATGGAAATGCAGGAACAATGAAGTCTAAGATTATTAATGAACACTGCAAATGAAGTATTTACTGTATGGACCTCAGATCTTACTAGGGCGTCCTGTAATTTTGTGTTCAAATGTATTCGATTGTCCCCTCTTGTGTTCTTGTTCACTGCAGTTTATTTAAAAATAAAACTTCACATTTCAGAGCGACATTCGGATATTTTATCCCAAGCGTTCTCGATATTGATTACGGTAGGAATAGAAATATCTTTGGAATTTCTTATCAATAAGCATGAAATTTATGAACAGTATCTATAATAGTCAATTCACCAGCGGATCACGACTTAGCTAGTATTAAAAGATATTACCCTCAAATGCCCTGTTATAACCGAGGGTGGGGAGATTGAGCTCTCCCTGTCGAAAGGCTCTCACATGGCCATGCCTATGCGGACACTACGATTGAAGTCCTACTCACTGCTTCTTCACGGCGGGGATGTTGTTTACGAAATTGAGAGGACGAAAAGCGAATGTCCAGCCCTTCAACCGGTTTAGTGGACACGGAGGGTCCACCTAATGAAGTTGGAAAACCCTAGTTCCAAGCCAGTGGTGTACATGGGCTTTTAGTGGGGCCCTTAATTTTTTCGTCATTTAGATCAAACGATGTTGTCGAAAGGGCTCTCCATTTTAGTGACCCGAGTTCTGACTTTAATTCGATCGTATGAATGATTGTTATTGAAATATATATGTTGCCTATCCTCGTATATAATCATCGACTTAAATCACATTAGTCAATAACGGAATTACATAAGTCAAATAACGAGAATGAACTTTTGAATACATATATTTCGCATATAGAGTGAATGGCATAGAGAGAAGAGAAACGACGCAGAGTGGAGATGGCTGGTAAGCCGACTCCCCTTTAACCAAGCGTTAATCGATATTTATAGTTACACAAAAATAAGTTACAGACATGTGATAAGAAATGTACACTCACCTACGCGCTCATATAAAAACAGTCAAGATAAATAACAAGGTCAAAATGTGACTCAAGTAGAATGAATAGAATGGGCTGTCCAAAAGCTGGAATAAGGTATATGGGCTTAACATAATAACCGACACTACAGGCTTCAGGATCCTGAAGGAACAAATCGCACATGAACCAATCGTTGGTCACTGACTTTCATAAGACTGCATCTCCTTACGTTGCTCCACTGCCTTGTGGACCAGACATTTAGGTCGAAGGCCCCGAGTGTGGCCCCTAAGAAAACCTCCTGCCTCGGTCTGGGCAGCCGGACAGTATCTCAGCCCATATACAAATCAAGTGAGTTGTGTAGCGCTTATGTATTCGGTGCCGATTTGTACCAATATTTATGTGTTCAAATAAATAATAAACAATAATTGACATCCATCATGTGTTATTTAACAAAGCATTGATGACCTTGGAAACATTTGTATATTTCAAATCAGTCCGCAGATACTTCATCATACGATTTGCATTTTTTCCGAATGACAGTAATTTAAAGCATTATGTTCTATAACACGTTACTTATTTCTTTTACTTCTCATGTGGGGGGGGGGTAGATATAAATGTTGAATGTTTAAGATTTTAGAGGAAATATACTGTCTTACCTAAGATTGTTTAACAGCTAGTTAAGTATAATTGTTTATCTGGGCAAGTTAGAATTCAGAGTAAACATATCTTTATAGAGGTAAGGATAACTAATACCGATCTAAGACGATAATAATATAATACTTGGGATGGGCATGAGAAAAAGTAATTTATTCGAAGAGAATTGTGAGTTGATTACATCACGGTCAAAATATAACACCAAATTTACATTTTATTTCATATAGCATAAGGTTTGGATAAAAATAATAATCAGACAGGTTACGCTTTATTCAATGGCTAATCGGTGATTTATATAAGTAGTTCAAGCCTAATACACATATGAATTTTCTGACCTTGAGATTCAGTTTAAATGAAGCGATCTGATAAATCTGCAGTAAATTGGTTACTTCTGTAAGTATCAGATACCGATCTGTTTGAGGCGTTAAGTAATCTTTTCACCCTTATACTTGCATACACGTCATAACATTCAATGCAAAAATAAGCTCGGAAAGTTTGTCAAGCAGTTGACCGGTCAATATATTATCGAAGAACTAATTAATTAAAGAAGGAATGAATAAAGCAAAGAAATTTCTTTTCAATTATTTCTTCATTATGGCTCTACACTAATATATACGTAATAATTACATAATTACATTTTGATTATAAATTAACATTGAGTAATTGGAAGAATGAAGATTAATAATGATCAAAGTAATTATTCGAAAATCAAGAAGTTACTTCGTTGCATGATATATGAAAAAGAGAAGGAATGGGAGTTTTAACTAATTAATTATTGATTTCTTTTAATCTGGTTTGGATTACTGAGAACATTTTATCAATTAGTTTTCAATATGTAAAAATGTAATGAAGTTAAGTTCTTGATGTATCGTATTCAATATTTATTACTAGCTATTTTTCTATCAAAATGAACTAATCCATCGTTAGATCTCAATTTAAGAAAGCATACAAACTTGAATAAGCTTTAAATAACACAGAAATTCTCAATTATTTATTTAATCATATACTATTTAAGACAAGTATATGTACTAATAACCACAGAATTTAGATATCCAAAGTATAGTAATTTGAGATTTACTGATGACAGTAGTATCATATTTACTGGTCAGAATATATGAAAATTTCAAAAACATTTCATTACATTTAATACATCGTGAATTTTCTTTCCATTTTTCGTGAGGACAAAAGTTGTTTTTACACTGATATGTTGAAATTCAAATCGAAGTTCATATTTTTTCAACTTATAGAATTCTAACCATGAATAAACACAAACACTGGCTATGACAGCCTAAAACATTTAGTAAACTATTGAAAGTGATGTAATTAGCATGAATTTCAGAAATGTTCCTCATCAGTAAGTTTGAATAAACAGGTGATCAAGTTGAAAGATATATTTTGATGTGTGCTACTGATGTCAACAGTATGTACCACTAATCAAAAGGGGGTAACCTGGCAGCAGAAGGTTGAGGAAATCGAAAAGAAGAGAACGAGAACAGAGAGTAATTGGTAGTAAAATGAAGATTTAAAAAAGTCTGAGACAACTTTTGGATATTTTGCAAATGAAGTATTACTGTATGGTTCTCAGATTTTAGTAAGAGATTCTGTAATCTAGTTGTCCAGCACTTGTGTTCTCGTACACCACAATAATACTGATGATCTATGAAACTCTACTTTTAAGTGAATGTATGAAGTATCAGATAAACCAAATGAAATGTGTAAAATAATTGAGAAAATATTACTTACTGGATCAATTTTGTTCACTCTAGACACAGCCAAACAGATGCCATCAGAAAAACAAGCTGTAATCGAGCTGAATAATTCTGGTGATGAAAACATTTTTAAGCCATCACATCCCTCCTGTACAAAATCACAAAATTTTACACTTAATTTAACATGATACTAAGAGTTTACTTTATGATATAAACAAATCTATATTATTGTCAGAATGGGAGTTTGTGAAGATTATAGTTTTTCAATAGTTGAACTCATTAGTCGATCTGAGTTGGACCACAATTGGAAACCTGGAAACACTAGACGGCCGTTTCTTCTTATTATGTGACTTCTCAGGAGTGCACATTCACGATCTCGCACGCAGGACTCGAGCCCAGGACCTTCGGTCTCGTGTGTGGATGCTTAACCTATTGACCACGGAGCCAGTATCCAACGGTGATATTGTCTAACTTCAATCGATCCATGATCTTGCGTAACCATTCATTGTCTGACGTAGATACCTGTCTCTACCCGACACAAGTCGTGGATGTGCACTGCTAAAACGTCCTAGACTAGGACGACACGACCGTCCAGTGCTTCCAGGTTTCCAATGATGGTTTAACTTTGGTCGACTCATGAATTCAACTATTATAATTTATATTACATAAAGTGAAATCTTGTCACATTATTGATTGATGAATTATCAGCAATTTAATAGTGACTTTAAAGTTTCGACCCAATTTTTCGTGTAGATGAACTTCAAATTATAATGAGACAGAGCGATCGGCATCAGTTTCCAAATGGCACAAACATCTCTTTTCAACACAGTGTACACCTTGGCTCGATATCAGCCGAGAAACTATCAAAGGCAAGTGATCAATGAGCAGTTATCTGATCAATGTTTTCAGTTTCTTAGAGCTCTGCTCGTAATATTTAGTAAGGGAATTGAAAACTTTCAAGTTTCCTAACAAAAAAGATATAACCTAATTATTAGTTTAGAATCCAATGTAACCATCATGTTATTTGGTTGGTAGTCTTCCATATGAATTCTCATTAGGTTAAATCTGTTAGTTGAAGATCTTTACTAAACATTTATGACACTAATCTCAAAGTAAATTATCAATAAACACTGTCCATTATCAGTTTGAAACCGCCGAACTGGAAAGACATCTTTTCATCAAAAACAAAACCAAAAAATTATAAGTACTTGTATGTAAACATTTTCATTTGGCTAAAAATCTTTGCTGGTGATTTCATATGGATTCTATTACAACACTTAAAATACACTCCATTATTGTCTTCATTTGTATTGCTGAATACTTCTATTTGTTATCTCTGAACGCATTTATCATGCTTAATATTATTTAATTTTTATTTCAACAATCAAACACTTTGCATTTGTTTCTATATGACTATTGTGATAGAATAAGTTTGATGAAATACTAAAAGCTGACGATTATATGATTCTAAATTTCAAAGCAGTTATTTATTCCTGAAAGTGTTAAAAATGAATTAATTCATATTTGGTGTTTGAGTAGCAATTATTATACCACTAAACACTGCCCAACATAATTTTCTTTACTAGTATAGGGGTTGTGGAGATTATTAAGTTTTTGATTGAGATCATGAACCGATTGATGTTAGACCACCACAATTGAAAACCTGGAAGCACTGGACGGCCGTTTCGTCCTATTGTGGGACTCCTCAGCAGTGCGCATCCACGATCCCGCGAGCGGGATTCGAACCCAGGGCCTTCGGTCTTTTTTGATTTAAGAATAGTTGAACTCCAATTGTATTTTTAAGAATAAAGATGTAATGTGTAACGTTAAATCTTGTAAAACGTGTTACATAACCATTTCTAACAATAATATCATCTAATTGCGATTAAATCTTACCTCATTTTCTTGATCATTTAATTTAATTTCATTAGGATTTTCATATGGAATATTCGGCTCCGGTGGACCATCAATTTTATGAATTGTAAACACATGGCCATCTTTCATAAGGCTTACTCGTAAATTTGCTTGACCTAAGTAGATTTAAATGGATTAAGTGAAGATTTAATAAAGTTAAATCGATTGATTTTAGTGCAAACTGTTTATTCAAATGGGATTAGAGTCAATGTGGTTTAAATGATACATTTGTGAAGAAAATTTATTTTATTGTTCATTGTTCACTTGAATACATGAACATTGGTAGAAGTAGGCACCAAAATATATATGCGCCACACAATAACCACAAGGTTGTGAAGAAATAGGGAAGAGAGGGTGAATGTGGTAAAAGAAGAGTAATAATAAAAGAATTCTCTCAGTTAATGAAATTACTCTCGCTTTTATGAAGAAAGTATAAGAAAGTTACAGCAGTATAGCCATTGGCTTTTATTCTGAGCTATGTCTGATAATGTCTCAACCCACTATGTTGTACCATCTCTACGAACCCAACAAGGGAGTCGTGAAGGACCAACAGGAACCAGACCTGCATATCACTCACACCTCGAAACCATGACTTACATAGACCAACTCTCTTCTTTTTCCAACCGATCTCAATGTCGGAAAATAGTGCAGGATATGGGGCGACATTCGTAAGACATGTTCAAGCCACCGAAATCGGTGTTTCATGATGGTGAAACCAATTGAATTATCGTCACTGTGCCCAAACACACGTAGCCGAGTCTCTGCATTACAAACACGATGTTGCCACTGAATGTCAGCGATCCTTTGGAGACAACGATGATCAAACACAGAGAGTCATCTAACATCCTGAACTCGGAGAGATCAGGTTTCACAAGCATAAGACAAAACCGGTCTAACCAACCTTTTTTAGTTAGGTCAACGTCTAGAAGGCTCCGTAAATCCCAGATTAGCACAAGCTACCCTAGCTTTCACCCTACCACTGGATCTTATGCTGCCCCTCAGATACATGAGATTCTTGACCACTTCTAACAGTACCCAAGGTGAGTGCAGGTTCATTGTCTTGCCAGTCTTGTAAAATTACTTTTTAATTGGAAGATGAAAAGCACATGCAATACTTACGGACATCGATCTTTGACAGATTAAGTGCTCATAACCCAGTCTTTCCGCTAAGTCTTAAGCGATTTCACTTGCTATCTTATGTCGTCATACAGTTGCAGCCAATGTTCATTTATAAGTTTTGATCCATTGATAGCCAGTCTTGAACTTATCTCGGTTTAATATTTAGTTGCAAGATAAGCTGAAAACAATTCGACGACATCGATCCGTTTAGGGAGATGAATTTATTGGTCACTGAAGCATAAAATACTAGTGGCGCAGACGAGGACATGATCAGAGTCCAAATACGTACCACAAAGGTAGCGGCAGTCTTGTACTCAACCATTCCAGCGGCAGTTGATTGAAACGTGGTCAATCTGAATCCAGGTTTAAGATGCAGAGGTAGGACGCCATGCTGTACATTGTCGATAACTGTACCGGTAGTTAGTACACGTCAGAAACAGGTTGTAGTCCTCGCACGGTCACAGTAGACGATCACTGTTATCTAACCTGCCACCAAAAATCCCTATCAACCACTTAAACAACTCTGTTATGTGCCTAGACGCCGAACCTGAGTATCAAAGTCTCTGGCTAGTGCTAAAATAACGCACTTCCTGAAGATTAGTTAAGTAATGGTAGAACTCGTCCTTGATCGCATCCAGCCTACAATCTGACGTGGCGTATATAGATATGACGAAAAGTCGTTGTTTCTCATATTGAGTCCCTCTCACTTTGGTGGAGATTTCTAGTCTGACAGCATATAGATAAGAATCTGATCAGCTCTACTTCCTATAGCGATACCAACGCCAGCAAAACCAGATTTGTCACTGGGTCCCCGGATAAACACACGTGAAACAAGTTTTTTCGGGCAACAGATGGAGAGCGAATTTGTGATACTTCACTAAAGCCTTGAATACGGGTCTCAGACAGGCAACAGATACTAATATCAAGACTTTCTAACGACATTGCCAACCCTATCTGTTGTCCGATCTGTATTAGTGTACCAACGTTGAAGGAAGCGTGTTTGAATGAGGTGTCTGGTTTCAGAAAGGCTGGTTCAGAATTCGTATTCAGTGGTAGCATTGAACTTTCAACTAGTTGGTGACTTCAGATTGATTATATAGGACAGGATTTCTACCATAGGTATGATACTGTAGAAGTCGAAAAATAGATGGATATACAAAACGGGAATGAAGGGGTAGATACGTGATACAATGTAAAATAAAAACGGCTACTAACACATAGCTGTGAGTATGATTTGCGAGTATGAGAATTAATAAGTGGACATTTTTGCTTGTTGTTGTCAACGTTTGGGTTGTGTGTAGGGTAGGATAATACTCAGATGCCAAAACAGAAGAATGTGGTTTTCTTAAGAGAGGACTCCCCGAACCTTTAACCTAGAGGTCTAATTTACAGTTCAGTGGAGCAACGTTGTGAAATGAAGTCTCATAGTAGCAGGTGATTAGCATTAGACTAATACGCCATTTGTTCCCTCAGGATTCTGCAGCTCACATGCAACATTGTTTTGAAATCAGGGTTTTCTAATTCTCACCAACCCGGTTAAAACACAATTTTTCAAGCTCGGAATATCACATGCTGATATGATCGGTAGAAAAATTTAACAACAATTCAATATTACTTTTCAACATAGACTTTTGATTTTAAGTTTTTCTAAACAAACAAAGTGTCGAAAATGGTAAAATTCAACTCTATGGACAATCGTTATTATGAGCTTGAGTGGCACAGAAACACCAGCAGAGCACATAACAACGATTGTGAAAAACCATGTATCAATGAAATGATATATGTAGTAATGTTGTTAAGATTACAGAAAGCTATTTAGAAATTAAAGACGGAAGCTATGAGAAACCTAACAAGAGCATTACAGTCAGTCAGTGCTAGAAAGTATACAACCTAGGAAACATGTGCATCGGCCTAAATTGTTACGTCACACCGATTCAGTAAGATGAAATTATGATTATGAATACCAAATGAGTAGTTGTAGTTGTAGTTACAGTATCGGTGATTATATGAATGGGATCATAAATGTTTGCAGACTCAATAGTTAAGATAATCTAATGTTAGCTTGACTTATACAATAGAAGCGAATAGAAAAAATGATTTACAGTAAAATTAGAAGTATTGAGTACACAGTGATGCAGTTTTTATCAGTAACCTTGTAAGGTTTTGCGGTCTGTGAATCTTTGAAATTTTATCAATAACTATCAAATCAAACTATAAAACCAGATTGTAGGTTTGGTTACGTAATGCTCTGTTATCCTGAATGTTTCTACGTTATAATATACATGAAGTTTTATTTATCTAGTCATTTTGTTACACTAAAATAATCAATAAGCAAATAAAAGCACTACAGAAAATTCCATATGAGTATCCCAGTTATTTATTTAAAGCCTGAAATAATCAATCGATGGCATTAAGCAGAAATGCAACTCATTTTCTTACCTGTTGGAATTTCATTTCTCTGTGTTTTAATTGTACCTCCATCAGTTGGGAACATATGAGTAACTTCCCCAGTTATATGTGGTAGCAAGTTGGAAATATCGTAACCGGTAAACTGTAACCGAAATATATAATAACGAATGACTAAATTTTTATCAGTCATTCAAAAAACAAGATATATTAACTAAATTAACAGCAATCTTTTCCACCTGTTACTGTTGTTCATTGATGCGTTAGAGTTTTTGACATTTTAAATCTTTTAACCAACAACATTCTTTCAAGACAATCGAGTAGGATTTTCGTTAATTAATGACGGCTTTCTTAAACTCTTGAAGAAAAGCTGTGAACATATAGACAATACTTATTGTGGTAAAACATCTATGGCTTGGTCTCTTCACTCACTCTTGTTTCACAACTCACACACTCAACAATATAAAATACTATAAAAGGTGATAGTTAGGAATGGATTAGGAGGGTACTGAAATTGTTTTTCATTTATATAAAACAGTTCTATTAACTAACCATACTGCATTATTGCATAAGTGACCCTTCAGTCACATACCAACAATATCTTAAAGAAAGGAATCGCCAAATATTTGTATCCAGTGTGGAGCTTCTAATTTCAGAAACGTTTTGATAATTATGAATTGATATTGCAGATTGATATGCGAAATCTCCCATTTTTAACCGGCATTCTTACTTAAGGCGCTCAAAGGATCTAGTTTATATGACAGCTCACTGTTAGCTCTACTTATAGTTAGTGTTCCAGTTCTCAGTAAGATAATGGGCATTTTCGGCAGACCTTTAAATGATGAATTGTTACAGCGTCTGTTGACATAAAGTGCTAAGATATAACCTCTAGTCCAAGAGTTCAGGCTACAGTACGTATTATTCCATCCAAAAAATGTCGCTGAATAATAGTCTAATCTATTTGTTTGTCACCAAGCATAAAATGTATCTAGTTTTGAGGAGTCTGATGTTCTAAAGTTTTTATCAAGCAGTATTTAAATGCTTTAATCCTATAAACTAATCTAAAGACTGGTTTACTTACCTTTTCCACTTGTGGAGTTTTCAACTTTTTATAAACTGAAATAGTTTATGACTGAAGTTGTTCAGAAAGGATCGTGCTTGTCTTTTCAGCCAGGATTATTATCTTTCGAAGTTTAGACTACAAACGCTTACTTCTGCTTTACAGAAGCGCTGAACTCTTTCTTTCAGAGGTTACTGACATTTACCACTTTGTGACCGTGGAAAAATTATCAAAATCCCTGAGAAATCTTAGATATAAACTGTGGCCACATAGATAGCAAAACCTTTTAACTGATAAACCACTTGGTATGAACCTTAAAATTTTTGTGCATCTTGCTTGAAAAGCAGTTTCAGGAAACTAGAAACACTATTACATGTGTGTAAAACTGTAGCATATTCTGCTAGGATGAAAAGGTTGATAATAGGAACATTAGAAATCAATAAGTCACAAAGAGACAGAGGATGTTTGGTGAGAAAAACATACTAAAATTTTTTTTGAATTTGTACTGATAGTTACGGAAATGCGAACTTCAGTATTACATATATGGAGCAGTGGTTAAAGTTAACATGTGGAAAAGAAAACAGTAGTGGTTTGAGTGACTCTGATCATTTTAAAATTATGGTAACAAAAGCAGGATTTTTGAGTTTGCACAAATAACCTATGAATCTAATACATCATACCTAGTGCTTATATTTCTCCTCTACATAACATTTGGTAATAATCGTTACTGAATAAATCATAAATTCTAACATCTCGAATTTTATACCTCCTGTTGAACGTATTACCTGGAAATCGAATAAGATTTTTAACCATTTTAGCTTTGATCTGATAATGAAATATCTGGTATCCAAAACAATGTTTATAAAAACAGACATGTTTTGAAAAGGTTGGACAGCTGATATTATATGTTCTTATTTTACTGCTGTTCAGTCTGTAAGATTAGATTTTACTTACAGACACGTAAACAAACTATCTCAGGTTTTTTGGATGAAATGTTTATTATTCACTACCATTTTGATGTCAATCGTTTTCTACCTAATGTACAGAATGGATATTGCTTTAAATTAACTAACCGGCCAAAATTCATTACTTGTTCTCTTGGTTCTGAGCTGTTGTGGTTGGATCAACTCATCATCTTGATCGTTCTTCTGAACAGGTGACTTGGGATGCGGCGATTTATTGCGCTTACCAGAAGTTTTTCTCTTCTCTGTAAGAGGAATTTCTTTTTCTGTAGGCTTTTTGGCTGATTTGACACGTTTAGTTTCTTTTTGACGTTCTTCTAAATCTTTTTTCAATTTAGCCCGTTCCTTGACATAAAAGAGTGATGAATACTTTGTATGAATGAGTTTGATGCATATGTATACAAATATATATAAATAGCCACTTTGGTGACGAAAAAACAATTGTGTGGTAAAATTTCGAAAAAAATAGAAATTACATGGATTTTATTAAACTATGTAACATTTAAACACTTTAACAATCGATTGATGTTTTATTTTTGCAATTATCACTAGTTTGAACAGTAACCAAGCAATTTATGTATCTATATTATTTACTGATATCACCATATCTAGACTATTTACTATCATCTCTCATTGAAACTAATCTGTGAAGTTGAGTAGCCCAGTACATTCTATAAAGGCTAATTATCTTAGTAATTAATTCAACGATTCAGCTTCATTGACTCCTCATTTTGTGAATAGATATCGACAATATGTGATATGGTGAAGATATTTCAAACATTTGTTTTCGAGTTTTCAAAATATTTCTCATAATCAAAAGAAACCTGATCCAACATTATGATCTAGCACATATTTTGTAGAAAATGTTAGAACGAACTCACTTGTATCATATGTGAGCTAAGAATACCCACACAAGTTGTTAACAATCTTGTACGAACTTAAAAACAGGAAACTGTCATTTATAACAGCAAAATAATACTTAAAATCAATGCTTCATTCAAAACAAGCTAAGTATTAATTTCTTTTGCCTAAGCGAGGCTGAAATAGCTAGAGACATTCAGTCAAACACCTATGCCATCTAATGCTTCGTCATGATATGTTGTACGGCTCGAACACATTCTTTACCCTAATGTTTTATTCAACCTATTTTAGACCACTTTAGAAAATAATCCTCATATATTTTTGCTGATTTTTATTCAGTCAATCAGCTACAACGTAGGACCAGGCACATATGTGCATCGGTCCAGGTTGCCATACCTCATTAGCACAGCAAGATGAACACCGGATTCATAGGAGTGGTTAATTCAGAGGTGGTAATATATAGGAGAAAGATTGCAATAAGGATATAGTACAGGAAGAAAGAATTAGTTTGTAGAAAGAGATATGAAGCGATTTTAATCTCTTAGTTTAAGGAAAGACAGAGATTGTGTACACCGACGCCATTGCGATCGATTCTGAACCATGTCAACAAGAGTCTCCAACCATTGGTTACGAAAGTCACGCGGACCCCAACCAAGTAGTCTGCATGGATCAGATTAGAAGTTAGTGACTTCAAGCACTGATGCCACGTTTTGGTTTGGCCGCCCGTAACTTTCTTTCAACCATGCCGAACACCGTTCAGCATTGCACGTCGTGGTAATCGGTGTTCAGGTATACGTAACACTTGGCCCAACCATCTCAGTCGATGATGATTCACAACCTTATCAACTGATTTACCATCATTCTCTAATACCTTGCGTCTAACCTCACTATTACTTACCCGGTGATCCAGCAGACGCCAGCAATATTTCTAAGGCATCTGTGGTAATGTTAAATCATGTAGTGGATTTAGACCTTTTTTTAATTAATCTGTTTTAAATTAGCTGATAAGTAAATAAATATTCCCTTATCATAAATGTATTTCACTATCGTTTACAATGACCTAATTTACTTCACTCTAAAAATATACTGAACCTATACTCATGACATAGCAGACAAACAGAGACTAGTACAGTTCATAAAAGTACATATAAAATGAAATTAACAATACAATTGACGCATTAAAATTGTAAAGAAATCCGACTGATAATTGTGAATAAAAGTAATGAAATAAAATATGGTAAATGAAACAGAAATGAAAATGTCTACCTGATCTCTCTGTGCAGCTTTCAATGATCCAGGTAAAATAAATTCATTTGGATCGCCTAATAATGACTTTATTTCATTTTGTACTATACTTTCTTCTGACTCTGATCCACTGATTGAACGATTACGTTTAGATTTTGCACCTTTTTGAGATTTAGGAGAATTTTTCTTAATTGGTTTTGTAGGAGATTGTTCAGTTGATGAACCATTCTGTACAGATTTATAATTCATTTTACAAAGAAAAACATAATATGAACTAAATCAATCGATTGTTTTAGAAAAAAAGATATTAGTTAGGTTCAAATCCTGTTATTTGCTTCTAACCAGTTTCTTCCCGTTACTAAATATTAGATATTAATTTTTCCATAGAAATATTTATGATATCGTACTGTTTGTACTTCATTATTCATTAAATTATTCATAATAAAAAATGTATTTCAATCAATAACATACATGTGAGTATATACTAAACTGAATAATGTATAAACTTACAATATCATCAGTTTGTAATATTTCAGCGCTTAATTTAGCCGCTTCATAAATTGCCTCTTGTTCTCTTGTCCAATTTCGAATATGTCCTTCAATCAATTGTAGATATGGTCTAAAAGCTATTTTATTCACATGGAACCAACTACACCACGTGTAATGATTTGAACGAATAGTCCGATCAAATGGATGATGTGATATAATAAACAAACTATCATCATACAAACGTTTATAAACATCCAAATAAGGTTTTTCATAATTTAATGAATGTAATCTCTAAAATAAATATTCACAAAAAATCTACGAGCAATCATATAATTGAACATAACTGTAGGATAATAAAACAAATTAAGTAATTTAATGAAAATTACTTTTGGATTTTTATATTCCATCACTTATGAATGAAAACAAAACTTCTCATCAACCGAAATTTCTATAAAATATTGGATTAAATGTTTTGTGGATATAAGTTAGTAACTGTGAAAGCATTTAAAATAGCTAGAAAGTAGTTAATGACACTTTTGCTCAGATCTAGTTAGGCGATTATTACCATACACTTATAATCTGACCTCTACACCCAAAAAGAGAAAGTGTGATAAACCCCTTATTACCATGGTGAATTAGTTACAGTGATATAAGTATGTTTATAATAAAAGTCTTTGTTTTATTTATTATTTTAACCATTTCATTGATATCAACTTGTGATCTTAATTTATATAACATTTTTTGGTTGATAATATAATCACTCATTTGCTAATTTTTGAAGTTCATTTGCTAATCACTATTTATGAAATTAACCCCTTCCCTATATAGTTTTATTGTTAAAGTATCAATAATCACAAGTGTTAACCATGATGTAAAATATTTTGTATCTTCTTTTTATTTTAAAAATTTTCTATTCTGTTTTAAATTTAGCTTCACTGACCAAAATGGATAAAAATAGATTTACAATAACACTATTATTATGATCAGCCAACAAGAATCCTCGAAATATAACGAAGTCAGGACGCGCGTTTCGCCTTATTTTGGACTCGTCAGCTGGATGCGCCTGCATTTCAGAGTTGATGTTCACTCTGGGACTCGAATCCAATACTGCTCGCTTGAAAACTCCGTCGCGTTATCCACTTAGCTACTGAGTCCTGATTGCACAAGCAAGTGACTGATGAGTCACAAATAGGAAGAAACGCGCGCCCTGGATTCCACTCCAAGCCACTATCCATCTTTGCCTATAATGCTTGTGAATTAAAGCAATATCGGGCCAATACTCACAGGATGCACATATGACAATGAGAGACTGATCAATTGCAGTCCTAAACGTCAATGGGAAAATTCAAGTAAACAATACCAAGTGAATGTAACGAATTCATTTTGCTTTGTAGATTTTTTTTCTTTATGTATATATATTGGATTATTTAGAGTAGATGGATCAGTAATAATTTCATGTACATCAATTGAGTCATGAAATATAAACTTTTAAATAATGTATGTAAGATTAGAATGCCTCTGAATAATATTTAAATCTTGATAGTTTAAACGTGTAGTTAAGCTGAACTAATAATAATTCATCTGACTATATCATTTTTTGACTTTCCTTGATAATATCAACATGTTTATCGATTAAACCAATGTCTAAATGTGAACACTTGATCTAATTACCTATTTGGTAATACAAGAAGTGACAAGGATCCATTTACTTGATTATAAGTATATAATTACTGTTAAAACAGATATTTCACCTGAATATTCAGCTAATTCTAATTTCACTATTGCACTAATAAACTTAAACCAGAAAGACTTTTGAATTATGCTAGTATTGATACCAAACAACAATTACTTGTGTGTATTTAAAGACGTTATTGTTATTTCAATGTATTTTAAATACGAAAAACAGTATCTGGTAGCATTTATTGTTCAGATTAATAAAGTTTGTTGTCGAGACTATAATTTATGGGCGAACCAATCAGATATAAGCTAACAGGACTTAAATTTTGGCGCGAAATTCATTCATCCACTTGGTGTAATAGCGTTTTGGGACTTTAGCTGATGTCGATTTATGATGAAAACCCTAAATCTAATTCCTAACCCTAACTATCAACTGCAAATCATAATTCTAATTCCTTACACTGATTTTCAACCCTCATTTAGTCATAGTCAGTAGGTGGACATTCTTGAGGTCATTTTGCATCTCTCAAAGGTCGTCTATAAGTTATTGTCGCCCTAGTTTGTTTTATCTTGCTTGGAGCCAATATTTTTTACCTTGCCTTCTGACGTACTTCTTGCAAGTCCAATTGCTTTTTGATTACCTACGCGGTTGTTACATTGCTTACATTTGTTGTCAGTGTCACTGTAACGAAAATGATTGATATTTGGATCACATTTGCAATCTTAAAGCTACCTAAGCCAGAAAATGTGGTCAATGATGATGTCATTGAGTTATTCAGCAGTTATCTTATGAAATGATGAAAGTTGGAAATGTAAACCATTTTATTCTGATTCTGTAGTCTCGAAGTTAGGCGTCTGCAGCGAGGACAAGCAGAAGGTTTTGGATTCGACCTTTCGTGGGGCCGTGGATGGGACTGTTGAGTGGATCTAAATTACAACGAAACATATATGTCGAGCGTCCTCATTTCCAACGCTTTTCCGTGAAGTAAAAATACAAGTATCAGATAATTACTTGTGATTAGTGGATCGACCATAATATTGTGTAACTGAATGGAAATATAATTGATCCAAGTCATTAAATACATTTTAAAGTGCTTTGTTTTCTCTGTTTAATCCTGATGCTGAAACTCAGTTGAAATGTTTAAATTAATAATGTATACATGACATCGTGTTGATTACTTTAAAGAGCAACAGACTAATGTAATTAGTACGATTTTCATATAAACCACAAACCTAAAACAGGGGGTACACTTCACTAATTATTCTAAAATGGGTTTTAAAACGAATTCTTGATTAGAAGAATAATGTAGCATTTTACCTGTAATAATACATTCGGTTCTAATTTCTCCTCCACTGACCACTCATTTAGATGGATATTTTTAGCTTTATTTAGAAGTGTACCGAAATTCTCCAGTGATACTTTATACGCTTCAAACGGGTGTTCAGAGCTATTTTTATTTTTTTCTTCATCAAATGAAACCAGTATCTGATTGTTTATATGAAGTTGTTTTAATATTTCTTGTAATTCTTGAGCAAATAAAGTTAATCGACTAAATTTGCTTTTTTGATCTTTAATTTCATGAGTGATGCTTTTACTAGGTACATCAAAATGAACTGCTGATAAACTTCGTCTACTACTAACTGATTTAGATCTGGATGCAGATTCTATTGAAGTTGGAGTAGTATGGGATCCAGTACCTATAAAAAAATCAATCAGATAAGTAGATTGAGATTTATTTGTCGTTTATAGTTTTTGACTTTATAATATTAAACAGATATAGCATTAAAAAGTATGTCAAAAAGAGGAGGGACCTTAAGAAATAAATCTTTGTCAATGTAAATCTTGCTAGATATTTTCAAGGTAATCGCTTTCCAGTCAGCCGGTTTTTACGAAAAGCTGAAATACAATATTTTTTGTGTAAGATGCCGAGTTATATCTGTCTGGAAAGCTTAATCATTATGGGGTCTAAATAATACGCTCTGAGTTGAAGGTGAAGATATGTTAGTTGAATTAACATATTCAGTCTACAGTGATAAAATACTATTTGAACAAAACGTGACGATTACTTAAAATTCCATAGTTGAGACGAAGCTGATTCTTAAAATTTACTGATTTTTACAGCTTCCAAAAAAATCTTTACTCATTCACTTCAAAATTAACTGTCAGTATTGGGTTGTGGAGATTGTTAAATTTTTGATTGAGATCATGATGTTAGACCATCATTGAAAACCTGAAATCACTGGACGGCCGTTTTGTCCTTGTATGGGACCTCTCGGCAGTGCACACCTACGATCCCGCTGGTGGGATTCGAACCTGTGCTCTTCGGTCTCGCGCGCGAACACTTAACATCTAGACCACTGAGCTGGCCAGTATCCAACGGTGTTAATGTCTAAGATCAGCCAATCACAAATTATTCGAACAACTGACGAGAATTCACGAGATATAATAAATCCATGTTGTTCTGCCTCAATCATTTTCATATAGATTTGTTTTATTTTTCTATCCTGCTATTTGTGATCGATTTTCTTTATAACTCCATGGTATAAACTAAGTCAGTGAACTATATATTGTCTAACGGATTAAATCAAACACTTCAAAAACCATAATCATTTAAAATATTACAAGTACTGTGAAAAGAACACATACCACTCTTCTGAATGCGTGTCAAAAATTAACAAAATAGCTAGTTAAAAAACTTAAGGTTTAATATACTTTTAAACAGCATTTATTTTCACTACATATTCCCCATAGATTTAGCTATCAGGACTCAATGGCTAAATAGATAACAAGCGGCGTATAAAGCAAACTGTACTTGGTCCAAGCCCCGGGATGAACATCAACTCTTGGGTGTAGGTAGATTCAGTTGAAGAGTCCCAAATGATACAAAACGTGCATCTTGAATTCCACTGCTATCCACCAATCATTTTTCTCATAGATATTAGTTTTAAAATTAATAACTAGACAAATAGCTATCGTTTATCATTAATTATTCAGTTATTTTTTATTATCAAGTTCAAATAATACATTCTTATCTGTGTTTTTTTAATTGATCATCAGTGTTGTTAATAGTAAGAATGATATATTTTTTGTTATAAAGACTTACATCATAGATATAATATAATATATCATCGAAAATAAAGTTATTAAATGATAGATTACTTTATCCCAGTTGATATAAAACATATTAAATTATATGTATATAGTTAATCATTTACATAATAATTCTAATATTACTTGGCTATTCAAAACAATATTTTATAATATATCAATGTCATTTGTAAAGTTCATTTGGTCAAGAAAGTTTTAAGTAAACATTTTATTCATTTTCCTTGTAAACAATTTTCTTTTTCAAAATACATATTCTATTTACATTAAAATAGAAACATTTAGTTTAATCTTAATTCGGTTATTTTTCATCGAACTTTCTGGAATTTTTTTGTTAATACATAATTTGAATAAAATAAATTTGATTGACTTTAAGTAAATATAATTATTTTCAATATACTTAAACAATATTTATGGGCGACACTCTAATTTATGAACGAGCCAATCAGAAGCGTTTAAGGGATTTCAAGGTCATGGCGCCAATTTCAGTACCTGATACTCGCGTACGATTGGTTTATAGCGGATTTTAGAGAAGATGTGATTATTGCGCGTCTTCAACAGATCGGACTATTAAGAAATTCCTTTCTTTGTGACTGTGGTAATCAAATTACTGCAGTACCGTGTTCAGACTATCATGATGACATTGTCTTTTGATGTTCTTTATGTTGGAGAAAGAAGTCTGCTCGACCGGGTACTTTCTTCGCTCGATCGCGATTGAGACTGAGACAAATCATGATAATTGTCGCAAATTGGATAATAAAAGCACCAGTAACACTGGCTGCAGCGTTTGCAGACGCTAGTGAGACTTCAGCTGCCCAATGGTATGAGTATTACAGGGATATATGTGCAATTAAAATGACACGTTTACACGAGTCGTTCAGAGGCATTGAGAGTCTTGGTGAAATAGATGAAACAGTAGTATGGGAGCGAAAACATAAAAGAGGACGTAATATTAAGGAAGACTGGGTAAGTATCACTTCCGTAAATATGCCTCACAGGTACTTGGAATTTATGTCACATCAACGCAAAAGGGACATTTTCAGTGTTAGAAACCGGCAAGCAATCACAATAATACCAATTATACAGGAATAAGTGCGGCCGAGCACTACGATATATAGATACCTACATAGAATTGGTCATGTGCATCATGTTGTTGTGCACAAGCGCCATTTTGTCGGCCCTATAACTGGAGTTTACAATAATAATATTGAGGCTATGTGGTCCAGGCTACATGAGTTTTTAAGACTCTATCACGGCTCCAGAGGTCGACTATTATGAAGCCATATGGATGAGTTCCTATATCGTATGCACTACGATTTCAAAGCCTCTGAACCTCTTTCAAACCTTAATAAAATTTTGAACCATGTAAAAGAAGAATATCCACTTTAATTCTTTAGTTTTTTACAATATATTTTTACTTCATACTAACTGTCTTCTGATTGGCTACTGCTTCCTAAGGTCACTTAAGATTCGTTCAAAGGTCGTCCATAAATTAGAGTCTCACTCAAATAACGAATTGAAAGATTATAAAAATTAACTTGATATGATTTTACACAATTAAGCCAAGATGGACTTTAGGCTATATCGAAGCAATCCGCACAGGATGCACATAATACCAACATGAGACTGATCAATTTTAGTCCTAAATAGCAATGGGAAGATATAAGTAAAAATAACACCAAGTGAATTTAAAATGAAAGTATTATGTATTATAATTCCCTATCAGTCTACTTATTATTCATATGAAATTCCTTAATTGATATAGTTTAATCATTATTTAGAATGAATACATGAACTTCTACTTTTAAACGGGATATTTAGTTTGTTTTAAATTTATATCATATTTTGAACAGTTTCTACTTTAATAAAATCAAATATTTAACGATTATTCTGTGGGTAAATTTTACCTTTTTGACTTGTTCGTGTACTTTGTCTGGTTGATAATGATGACTTTCGATTTACAGATGATTCTGATGATAATGATCGGCTACGTTGTTGTGCAAATAATAATGATGATGATGAATGAGTTGATAAAGAATTATAAATTGAATTATGTTGATGTTTCTCACTGGTTATTTCATTTTCAAGAGAAAATTTCCGCATTTTATTTATTTCATATTCAATTTGAGTAAATAAAACTGATAAACTTTCATATAATAAGTATGGATCATCGAATGGTATTGTTGTGTTTTTAAGCTGATTATTATCTTTGTTAATATCATCAAGTAATTGATCCATTGTTGGATTAATGTGATTTTTCGGTAATGTCTCCCAAGCGGAATCTAGTGGTTGAATCATATTTAAAGATTGTTGGAACTGTTTCCTTGTTGAATAAGCTTTCCATATCTGTAAACTTTCTAGTTGAAGTTTACTAAAGTAATGCTTAAACTCTGTAACGAAAAATGTAATTTGGATTTTATATTGTACTCACTATTATAGTGGTAACTTATACTACAATGGTTGATTAGAACAAAATGACAGACAGATTCACCCTATTGTACACTTTAGGCTGAAAGGTACATTATGATCAAAACATTTAGAGTTGAACGGTGAAAACTACTGTTAACGGTAGTATTTGTCGAATGAAATAATTTTTGACTTATAGTACCCAGAATTTTAATTTTTTGGACAACTGGTTGATATACAGCTGAAAGTTTAACCTTGGTTAGTAATTTAAATATTCAAGAAAATAGACTTAGTCTTATACATTCAAACAGTTCACCTTAACATCTAGCCACTAACACTCCAATGTAAATCACCATCTGTTCAGAAATTTTCATCCTCATACAAGTTTTCAATAAACCGGCTGAAATGATGATTGAGGCTTACATACCTTGATTTTCGTATATCTAAGTTCAGTTGTTCTAGATGTCTAAACGATCATTAAAGTACCTTAAAATATTTTCAAAGTTGAATTCATTACTCAATTTAAGCTAGACCACGTGCGGGATTTTGGATGAGCACTGCTTTGGAGTCCCGTACTAGAACGAAACGGCCGTTTAGTGCTTTCAGGTTTTCAGGGATGGTCTAGTTTAGATCAACTTGTGAATTCAATTGTGAAAATACTACAATCTCCACAAATCGCCATACTGATAACTTGAAATATTTAACAACCCTAGTGTAATTTAGCGATTGTAACGACTTGAAACAAGACTGATTTGTAATGATCGTGATTTGAGCTAAAAACGAATTCCTGCTACCGATACAGCTGTTATCCATAATTGCAACATACTCCTACCTTTTACTTTTTGGAATGCAATGAAACCGCTTTATCGATGTGGAAAACAAAATACTGTCAAACAAGACTGGTTTATTCGCCAACCATTAACTAAACGATATTTAGAATGATAATAATACTAACATTTTTAAAATCCGGAAATGTTTTCATAGATGGGGTTTTAGAATCATTTTACAATAACAAATGACCTGGATTACTCACAAAACAGATTCTGTAACGTCGAAATAAAATTCTAATTCCCGATACGTCGATAAGATAGATGAAGCCAAAAAACAATATCTGTAATTGTAGCACAGTATAGCTTCGGATAATCATTCTTAGACCGAATACATTTGAAAAATGATTATCATATTGCTTTATAAAAATTATGTCTTACCTTTCCATCAATTAAAATATTGTGTTGACTGGCACTCTAGATAAAAAGTATATTTTTATTATTCCCAAGTGAAATAACATCAAATTTATGAGTTATTAGTTTCTAATTCAAGCCCAAGAGTACAATTCCCGAACTGTAATTATTCGTAAATATCATACTAAAATTAAGTATTCCATTTTTGTACTCAAGTAATTCCCTAGTAAATAAGCTTTGTTAATGTCTGTAAGGATTGAAAGAAAACTAAAATGTCCACATTATACACTTATTTACCTTCTGGTGTAAATCCAAACTTTTCAGCAAACTGCATAATTTGATGAAATCTCAATTCTTTCATTCGCTTAAAACTTTCTTCGATTATTTCATTTCCAATTTTCTCTTTATTACTTTTATCAAGCTGTAATTCTGGTGTCCATTCAAATTTTGTATTTTCTTTACAGGTATTATTAAATATACTTGGAAATAATTGACTGTATAAATTCAATTCAGAATTCATTAACTCTTCATTATTTTGATTATTATGTGCTGTAAACAACGTTTTATATCGATTTTCATCATATGGATGAAGTATAACAAATGGTGATGTATTCAAAGAAGATTTACCTGATTTTTTGTGTAATGGCATTTCTTCACTTAATTCCTATGTTAATTCCAAAATGATCAAATTTAAATATTCAAGTTGACAAAATAAATCATTTTAAAATTATAACATCGTAATGATAATTTAATTGTATTTCTGTATTAACGTGTTTGTAGTTATCTGATCACAATTACTAGAGTTACTTATAATTTAAAGATACTTTACAAGAAAGAATTAGTTTTGACAAAGTATTATAATATTGTACCGTATATTGATTCAAAATAAAGCATTTTCAAAGTAATAATAGGCCATTGTGAAATTCTTAATTAAACTGTCAACACAAATATGCTATGCGAAAAAAGTTTGTGTCAACCATTGCCAATAACACGTGATATATAAGTCTCTATTTGGAAAAATATCCATCTGTAATGATAAATATAAGCTCACGAATACCGAGACAGTGTTTCCTATAAAAAAAGACTATTTGCTATTTGACCAGTAGTAATTCTATTCTGCAAGCTAGCTGTGGATATTTTGTTATTTTTAAGAATTCATGTGAACAATATGTAATTCATTTACAAAATTCAATAAATGACCCGTATAGAAAGGTATTAACTAAGACTAATAGTGCTATTAAAAAGTTACAATAGACCTCTGTCTGGAAATATTGTGGTGGCTGTGAATCAACTTGTTTTTCAAATTCAAGGTATCACAAAATGTAAATTATAATTCTATCGCAATTTATCTTCAAATTTCTAGATTAGCACTTAATGGAAATGCAGTCGAATTTTACATGAATCAGTAGTTTTTTTATATTACTTACATAGGTTTAAGTAATACTGTTTTCCTGTATAAATCTTTTTTGGTAGACTAACAAACATAAAACTAGAGATTACGAACGTATAGAAAAATTGAGAAGTTTTCACGGTGTTGCTACAACTAAAAATGAAACACGCAGAAAATAAGTCCAGTAAAACTATTAAGTAAAACTAAATTAGTCAAGAGTCGATTGTCTAAGCATGAAAGCTCAATTTGTTTACTTCAAAGTTATATGTTATGAGATATAACACTTTCGTGGTGTCATATTCTCTATAAACTGGCGACCTCGATCATTTAGTTCATACATTTCAAGGACATCAGTTAAAATCCATGAACATCCTAGTTCAATGTTTGACTTGAATCAAGAAATTTCAGCTGTTTTGTGTTACGTCCTTATAGCCTGTTAACTATCATGTGATATGATCTCCAATTAGAACACCAACTTAATGAACAGGCCCATAACGCATAAACCAGTGCAAGCAATCCATAGTCAATTCTGAGTTCTTATTGTTTCGCCGAGATAGTAGCTTCTAGTTTAACCCAGCCACTTTAGTCCAGAACACCAATATCAGCCTCCGTTATACGAATCATATATTTTAGACATACTGGGTTTATTTACAAACAAACCAGACCGCATCATATCATAAAATAAAAAAATAACTATTATATAAGATCAGGCCGAGAAGTGGCTATGACTGTGAAGCACTGTAACTAATAAGTTAGGAAGAACTTAAGGATAGTAGGTCGTATAGTAGTAGTTAATAGGTCAAATGGAATCATATAACATGCGAAATATGAGCATACACACAACATAGTTGCTTAATAGTTCTAAAATAAGAATGTATATAATAATAGTCCACAAATAAATTCTAGTGGTTATTATTCCCCTATTCTTTGGTTAGATATAACACGTACAAGCCTTTTAACTGAATTAAACTGCATAATGTATTATGTCGTTTTCATGGTTTAATTACTCTTTAATTTGACTAGCCATTTTGATAGAGGTGGAGTAAAGTTGAGAGAAATGTAAAGCTGATTAGGTGAAAACATTTACTCGATAAATTCGTACCAGTTTCAACATATTAGAAACTAAGTAGAACATGTAAGTGGGTTGGTTGGGTTTTAGAAATGTAAAATGACCATAAAAATTGAATACCATCACTTAAGCATTTTAATAAAATTCACGTTATTTTAATAAACCTATTAAGTAAAAAATAAGTTTATCTAATTATTTTACTCTCACTACGTCAATAGGTGTAGCAACGTGAATTGACTAGCTATTCTTTTTCCTTCCAATATCATTTTAATCACTTCGTCAATCATATCGATTCACTATTATAGTCTCTGTAAAATACCATGGCAATTAGCATTTACAGTCAAAAACAATCTTCTTGGGTGGAAACTATTATATTTAGTCATCTACATTCCAATCCATAAAAATGTCTGTTCATATTTCTATATACTTTTCTCATGTAAATCTTTATGAAAAACTACTACTTTTATGCACATTACAATTTAACTACGATTTAACATCATCCCTTAAAGTTTGCATTATATCTCTCTTAATTGTTCAAATTTTGACAAAAGATAAGCAGTTCAAAACTATAATAAAATTCAACTAGAAACGAAAAACTTGACTGGTAATGAAAATTCTCTTCTAAATGAACACATTCAGAGCTCATCGTCGTGCAAGTTAATGACTGACAATTGTTAGTGAAACTTAAACTATAAGAAAATATCAGTTTAATATAAAATGATTTAAAGTCATTTCTATGATCACTGTCTGTTCGCAATGAAAACTATCTTTCTGATAAACAAATCATCACAAACCAATCAACTAAGCCAATTGTTTTACGTTATATTCTGTCTTTGTTTAATTCTATTTATTTTGCTATAGACTGGGCCACTTCTATGACATATTTCTATGGGTTTTGTTGTTTTATTGTAACATTTTTATTCTTTTCAATTAAATCAGTTTTTAAAATATCAATTTTAGCTCCTATTTCCATGTCATTTTGATTTTCAGACTTTTTCAGGCTTTCTACAGTTTAGCAATATGTTTTAATGTGTTACGTAACTTTTCACAACGACCACAAGAATAAAACAAATGACACCCTTGAAAAAAGTATTTATAAACGTTTTATTACACTTGACATGTCGCTATATTAATCAAGATTTTTTCGTTATTGTGTGGGATGATGTTTTGGAAATAGTGATTCTCAATTTAGAATAGATGGACTGTATTTAGCAGTAGAACTTGAGAAACGCGTTTCATCATGATTGGGACCTGTCAGAAAGAGGTACCCATATTCCAGTATTGGTGCTCATACTGAGACCCGAACCCAATACATATTACTGCGAACGTCAACGCGTCATCATATTCAGTGAGTATGGGATTTATTATTCAGATACTTATAATCCAGATACATTCACCCTACGATATCTCTAATATAATAAAACACACGTCCTGAATTTCACTGCCAGCCAAAATCCATTCATTTAAAATAACTTGTGATAGACACATCAAGTCATTAGGCAAAGGACTCATATATGCCAACAAAAGCCGGTCAAAACTCAGTCCTAAATATTAATATTAAGCCATCTCAAACCCTTAATGTTAATGGTATAAATTATTCTATCGTGGATACGTACTACTAAGGAGTTTCACAACAGGCTAAAACGGCCACCCAGTGCTTCCAGATTTTTCATGGTGGTCTAGCTTCAATTAACTCATGATCTCAACTACTAAAATTATTCTATGATAATTGAAATAATAGTCAGTGTTCAGATTCAACAGTAAAAAGTTGAAATTAATTTTTAAATGAATAAAACCCATTTTTAAGGTATCAAAATCAAGTTATTTAACAATTTTTAAAGTACAAGTAAATTTTATAGAATTAAAAGTAATTTGTTTAAATTAAAATGGCTATGATTTTCTTCACTTTTTCTTCGAATTAATCAATAAAATTTTGTTCAATGTATAATTTGTGTTTTTATTGTATATTATTAAATTAGAAAACATCATACCCTTCAGTTTGTTCACTATGTTGTCTACTATGAAAATAATTTTGGCAATAAATGTATATTCTTCTAATAATTTCACTGGTTGAAATCATGAGTCGATTGAAGCTAGACCACCATGGAAAACTTAGAAGCACTGGACGGCCGTTTCGTCTTAGCATGGGACTCCTCAGCAGTGCGCATCCACGATCCCACCCCCCGCGAGATTCGAACGCAGATTCTGTCAGTCTCGCGCCAGGCGCTTAACCAACTAGACCACTGAGCCGGCATCCGACGGTGTTAATGTCTAATTAGGACGAAACGGCCGTCCAGTGCTTCCAGGTTTTCCATAGTGGTCTAGCTTCAATTGACTCATGATTTCAACCAGTGAAATTTCTAAAAATCTCCACAAAACCCATTCTTCTAATAATTGTTAATAATTAATTTGTATAGTGATATGAACTCGCAAAATAAATATCTATCTTGGTTAGAAGTACTTTATTAAAATAGTTGCTACAGATCACTTTTATTACTAGAAATGAACCCATTACAAAGTTATCCAGTATTATTTAAACATCACTGTTGAGCTTTAAATAATAAGTTAAGTAAAATATAGTGTTTAATTAAAACACGTTTAATACGTTCAGTGATCTGTAATTATGGTATAATATGAAATAATTAGTTGTGAGTTCATTTCCTTGATGACAGTTTGGCGAAGATTTTTAAAGATGCTACAAAACTTGAAGAAAATGTTTGTGTAGTTTTCAAATTTTGTTTGACTTTTTTATAATAGGAGTGTATTTTCTTTACATATTGTAGAATTTTGATGAAAAAACATTCATTTACTTTGTAAGGTGGTTGGAAGTTATCGGTAAGAGACCCTATGCCTAGTTTTTGTGCTCTATAGTACTAGCTAGCACAGTGTACCTGTAGTCTTGAGAAAACTATCAAATTCAATCACGTGTCACTCAAACTGATTGCCAGATTAAAATATGATTAGCAGAATTCGATCAGTACTAGGAAAGGGTTGAAAAAAATAACATTATTCACCACTTGATGATAAATCGATTGTAAATCCATTCAATTTTCATCGAATAAAGTTAGTTTCTAGAATTAGTATTGTCTTATCATATCGTGACGTCAATATTTGTGATCACATAAATAAATGTATGTTGCTGGACGACATAAATTAGTAGTGTAATTTCATTAACAGTAAGTAATCAATATGGTAGTGTAGAAAAATTTACGCTGACGAAAAAATTTCATTTTTATCGTTAATAAGTTAACAGAGAGAAGTGGAATAATGATAGTTTATGATATTAGTTCTCTAAATAACTCATCATACAAATTAGTAATACAGTTTTATGTTAAGTTATGCGACCAAGGCGACTAATTTATAGATATCGCTTAAGAGCATACGATTAGGAATAAGAAATTTACATCTATAGCTTTACTGTAATGTATTAAATGAACGATGATGACATTTACACATTTCAATAAATTTTTAGTGAATATTTTTTGTAGGCTATTATTATAAAATATTAATTGCTTTAATTCAGAAAGAACAATATATCTCCGACAGAACCTAATATCTCATAAGATCACTGGAGTACTGTAAGAGTACCACGCACATACACAAACATAACATTGAGCGTCGCGTTGTCAATTTCAGTCTACACAATACTCATAATCGCGGGTTCGAGATGTTGTATAACATGGTGGAAAACAAGTTTCATTTACACAATTATATTCATTCTCACAAGTTAAACAATATTCTGGAAGTCTTATATGTTTAGCCCATTTGATCCTTTCAAACTGTACTTTTCACTTTTAAACATTCATTGCTTTCGATATTGTTTCCCATCCTATGTTTCTCAGATTATTGATTCCTTTTGACCTCAGTGACGTGAGATGTAACAACCATGACTGAGGAACACTCATTTCAGGAACTTTGTTTATGGTGACTGACTATTTGTCAAAATGAATAACTCAAAGTCATACCTTAAATAGAACTAACATCTCAAAATGAATAATTGGATGATTTTTAAACACAATCTCGTTTGATAATAACCTTGACAACTCTTAAAATAAACCACCTTACAGAATTTTGGTTTTTAGTTTAAAGTTAAAGAATCAAGTATCGAACAGTTTGTCTATGTAGTGACTAAAAGAAAATCATATAGTACATTGACTTACAGCTCTCTCTTCTTCAGTTAAGAACAGTTTATCTACTTCATTTGCAATATTTCTAGAAATATGGGGATCATATCCCTCATTTTTTGCTTTCTCATCAATTAATGCCGCCTGTGGTAAAATCTCATTTTCATTAGCAATAACCTATTAAAAGTTAATAAAATAATAAAGTTCGTTGGTTATAGGTAAAATAACATAATAACTTCATTACAGCTACATATCTAATTTTCTAAAAAGCGATATAAACGATATAAAAGTAATATATATTTAATATCCTAATGAGTAGAAAAATTAGATTTTCTAACATTTCGTGAGTCGGTGTTAGGCACTTCTTCAGACGATAAATTAAATAAACAAATTAAATTAACCCAAGCTCAAATAGTTCAGAGGAACAAAGCACAAAATATTTAGTACAGTCAGTCAAAAACAGATCTGGCCAATTGAATGTTATGTCACTCCGGTCAAGATTATTTTTATGAGAAATGCTTGCATATATGTTTGTGTTGTTAATTTCTCTACACATTGGACGTTATAAATGCATTATTTTTATAACTTAAAAAACTACCGAATACTCAGTTTACTAAAAATCATCAAGTCAAACTTTGGTAATTGTATATATAAACTCATTGGTAATTGAATTCAATCACGCAAGTGTAAATGCAATCGGCATAATCATATAATATTTAATAAACACTATTTACAAGACAAAATCATCCCCAGATCTCTGTTTGTTAAACCACCAGAATGTTACTGATGATCTCTTGAGGTTTCTCAACGCATAATATTTTTACAAGAACGTATTCATAAATGCACAAATTTACAAGAAGAATACCGTGAATGCATCAAAAATACGGGTGATCTGATAAAAATACCCCGACAGGTTCTGGAACTTACTTTTTGATGTCCGACTACAGTTGTATTCCTTAACCTTAAGCTGGCGCCCAACTTCGTTTACCGTGAGGTTCTGTGGCAATCTGTCAATGAAACGCCTGCCAAAGAAACACGTTAACCTTATATATGCTCTCTCTACTCGAACACTAATGGTTAAATAAGAGCTAATAACGATCAGTCATCGGTATTAATGTCTTCAAGTAGTGCTCGTCAGGGTTTTCCGTTTTCCTCATTTTTGTTTAACTTCGTCATACATATGTTTTCAGAGATAACACTTTTATCGTCCGACTTTCCACAGGTTGATGTTCTGCAAGTAGATTCACTAAATGAGTTAGAATGCACAGATGATATAGATGTGTTTGGTGAAGACGCTGGCAAAATGTAGACTTCTAACTACGTTAGGCAACAATGGAATCATGTTTGAAAAGTGGCAACTTTAGCCGATGTACATACAAACAAGATTGAACGCTGTGACTGAGTAAATGACTTGTAAAAGTTGGCAGAAAGAAAATGAATTTCCTTTGAGCTGTGCCCTGGAGTACGAAAATAAGAACCGATATCAAAATTAATTAACCCTCTTAGTCATATGCAGTTGACTAAGCGTAGTCAGAAAATGTTTTTATAAGGCCCACCTGTTCTAATACGGCATGAAGTATTAGCTCAACGCTAGTACTTTCGATTGGCAAACCTTGGAGTATTTCATTATAAAACCTCATATCAACGAAGTCTTCTGCTACAATATCACCACAATCTTCAGATTTTATTGCAGGTTTATCCATATTATCTGGATGTAAACCGATTGCTGGTTTAGACATTTTCAACAGTTGGTTGCTACTTAAGGAATCATTTTCATTCAATAAAGGAGGGCATATAGGTAAATGAATGACTTTTATATGTTCTAAATAATTTTTCCATTGGCGTCTAAAGTCTATCAGATCATACAGAATAGTAGATATTTCATTGAACATCGTGGCTCCAAAAGATGCCTAGAAAGGTGGAAATAAATAAAGCATTATGTCAAGCATTACACAGAATGCCTCAAAATAAAGTGATATTTGAGAAGTTCCACCATAAATATATAATTATTGGATAAGCATTAGGAACTGAAATAGCCTACCTACACCAGCCATTCGTTATCATCGAATTTTTTACTTGACTACTAAACTCTGAACCTAACAACAGATCGGTATGATTTTTCATTTCTGTTTGACATTTTTTTAACGCCAACGAAGGTTAGTTTGTGGATTTTAATGAAGCCTCAGTTTCTAATCAGATGTTGGTATGATTTATTTGGTAATAGGTTAATAAAGATTTCAGTGTTAATGGACCAGTATTTTACTCCTGGCACAAATAATCTTATTAAAGTTATTTTCCAAAGTCCTGTGTGGTATGTGTAGGAAGACAAAATTTGAAGGATTTAAACTCGTGAGATGAATATTATCCGAAGCAGGTTAATTTGCACCTTTACCATCATACAATGGTGAATAGGGCAAATTTTTTAGTATTAGTTTGTTTACAGTTCACGAAGTAAAATAATAACGATGAGAATTCATGTTAAACTTCAGTTTAAGCGTGTTACTAGTTCCGAAACTTGATACTATTGACTGTGTCTCTTTTCTTCGATCCAGATTTGTGAATGGTGGTGTAACTAAATGTCGATACATGTATTCAGCTAATGACAGGTTAGTATTGATAAATGACTACTCAGACTTTGTAGGTGAAGTGTGGTTGGAACCTGAAACCTATTAGTAATCACTTAGTTACATCCACAAATATGCCACCTGTACAAGAAACTGTTGAAGGCAAGTGACCAGAAGTCTGTAACTATAACTTTTTCTGGTTGGCACCTATCAGCAAGATATATCTGTAATCCCTAGGTGTGTAACATTCCACTAATTATCCAAATAAACAAAACTACGTGCTGAGAGAATTGGAGCTATTACAGGGTTATTTTGCGCCCAGACTTGAATTTGCGATAAAGTGTGAATTCCTCCAAAGTAGTAGATATGTAATGGTGTCGAGTCAGCGCGTGCAAGGAACCTAACTCCATTCTATAAGCTTAAAAAATAGATTAAATTATATAAACTACTTATGAGTAGCAACTGTTTTAAAACATAAACAATGGCTTAAAATGTAAGGTTCTTTTTGTTAGTTTTTCTGTTAATCAGTGAATAGAAATACAACTGATGTGAACGAACACTCGGATGTGGAAGAGCAAATTATTGTTTAATACAAAATTACAGAGTGTCTTCGCAAAATATAAAAACCATACATTAACTACTTCATTTACACATCTTCCATCAGTTGTCTCTTAGAAACTTCATTACTCCTTCGTTCCTGTTGTTATCTTGATTGTTTCCAGTTTTCTTCTGTATTCTCTTCACTTCAGTCTTCTCGGTCTTCTGCTCGCAAACATTACCTCCCGATCAGTGCTACATACTACTTATATCTGTCGAAATAAGTAGCATACGCCACACAATGAAATAAGTTGTTACTTTCAAGTTTAAGTTAAAATCTGGTTTACAGGAAGTCAACTTTATCCTTGAGATACTTTTACCCTCCAGAGCTGATTTTTTACATCTTTTCTTCAGACCAGCTATTAAAACGTGAAAGGAGAACGCACTTCGTGAGCATGAATAGTCATGACTTTATCCATACTAGATGAAAAGCAGTGATTGACTTATTCTACTTTTATTCTTGGTTGGTCTCCTGTTTAGATGTAAACTGTTTTCTCTAAACACACATATCCCCATTAGTTTCGTCTTGACTTGTATATTCAAGTTTGTATTATTTGGTTAACCATTATCGTTTGTCTTTGGATTTCACCACATTAATGTCACTTTTACGGATGAGTGGAATATTTATGAGGTATAGGTCGACATGAATTATTTTATGAAGCTTCATCAAAATAAATCCTGGACTTTGATTGATAACCCAAAAACGTTCGTTGTTTTTAAAAAAATTGAGGTTAAAAATACATCTATAACTCAAGTAATATATGTCTATCATCTCATCAAACTGTTTTCGATACCTTCATTGCACTTTTCAAACATTTTTCATATTTTCTTCAGCTAGTAGCCATTAGGTACAATTTAACCCCAAAGTAAATCCCTTTAGATTATCTGCTCATCTTCAAATTATTTTATTTGGTATGCAGATTTTTATTGAGAACCTTCATTTCATCATTTAAACACTTTATGAAAATTGCAAAACATTTGAATTTCACACTCGGACGATATAAAGAAGGCTAGAATCTGACACATTGCAACTTTCTTTAAATAAAGATGACTTTTGTTTCGTGCCAGAATTGAAGTTCTGATTAATACCTGATTCAGTTTTTGACTAACTGTTTAAAAGTCTTTCTTAGATGGATAGTACCCAACAGGAATAAAGAAAACTTATTTTCTGATTAACAAATTATGAATATTTATGGTAAGTAGAAAAACAGTAGAGTACGTTTGACGCATTCACCCCTGGAAAGTTGGAAAACTAACCCTGTTTTCCGCCCCATTAAGGTCATCAGGAAGTAATTCTGTTTTGACATTATAATCTAACGTAGCAATATTTCCTAAACGATCATAAACATGATCTCGCATCAGAATACTAGTTGCACGCCAGTACTGTTTTAATTGTTCTTCTGCTAGTAATAATGCCTCCTCTTCAGATCTCATCTGTTCCAAATCTTGTTCAGCTGGAAATTAAAATAAAAATGTGCATATGAGTTTATGCAAAAATAATTATGTTGGAGAAATGGGGTGATAACATTCAACTTGTTATAGAAAGAAAACACGTACTTTGACTTATAAACATATTCTTGGTACTAATAGTTTTTTTATTTCAGATTTATAAAATTTGATTATGGGTACATACAATGTCATACAATTATCCATTCTAAATTCACTTACTGTCAGCAAAAATATGATAACTAACAAACTAACAGAAGTTTCTCCTGAGAGCCTATAAGCATAAATCAATAATTAGCTCTATATCGGGTTAAATAAATGCAAAAAGTATAACGTACTTTTCATCAGCAACTATTAACTAACAATTGAAAATCAATGAGCATTGGACATCTGTTATGTGATGAGAACTGAATAGCCTCGGTTCTACATCAATAAAATTTTTGTATTTTTTAATCATAAACATTTTCCCTCTTATTTTAAAAATGTTGTGACTGTTTCCCCCAATGAATGAATAGTTTTTAAAGGAAGTAATTGAAAATTATTTTTTAACGAGTGATATAGGGAAAAATAATTCCTTTAATATTTATTATTTCTGCGAGCTTTGCACGTCAATAATTTACTTAACGTCAGCTAAGTGGTTTGCATATCTTAATTAATAGATATAAGTTGATCAATTTCAGAATATTGTTTCCTGAAGCAATAACTAAAGCGGAATTCGAAACTGTTAGACGTCTGCTTACTTCAGAAGTATCAGCCTTTAATGTTATAAGCTTTGTGTACCCATCTTATCGTGAGCAGAGAAATCTTCGGGAAGTTTTCAATGTGTGATACAAGTTGTTCTCACAGTTTAATCTCCCACTTTAAACTGTATATAACTATACGAATGAAATGTAGGGTATAGCAGAAAGCTGTGCATTATGGAATGATGTGAATAACATTAGATGGACATTTAACATTCTTAATAAAAATTTAAAAGTTTCTCAACATGAAGTCACCTTATTTGCTTATTAAAACTCTTTTCTGAAGCAAGATCTAAATCAATAAATAAGAAATTGGCATCAGACTACTTTAATGAGATTCGCCGACTCTTACCGATATATTTATAAACAGATAATATTTTCAATCAAATATGAAAATAGTTTCGGTTTGAACCGAAGAAGCTGTCCTGTATGTTAGCTATGCATCACCCTGGTTACTAATACAAATACTTATTGACTTGAGTCCCTAAAAATGGTCAACGTGTTTGGCATAAAGTATCAACAAATTTGTAACTTGTTTTCTTTATTCTGAAAAACTTCGTTAAGGATTCGGTATAACAGAAAATGATCCTACATACCGCAAACATTAAGTTTTGGCACAATAATAAGTAGGTGAAGGGAAATCAAAATATTCATCTCGTGTTTCTTAATTCAAGACTAAAGCAAATCGCGAAATACTTCAAAATATGTATGGATTTAGTTCGAGTTATTGTATAATTATTTTTAACGGAAATTATTAACACCTTTGATAATAATAAAGCTTTGCTATAACAGGGCGACTGCTGCTAACGTTATAACCTTGTGACCTATCTAATTATTGTAACTTTATGCTCCCCCAATTGTAAGCTCTCGTTTTACTTATGAACGGTTGTTATGTGTTTTACTATCCAACTATTGGGATTAATCAACTGTTCCTCTTTTGCTCTGATTTTGTTTCACTTATAACTTAGCTATGTACATATTTAAGTTCCTAATTTATGTTGCTGTGTAGTGTATATTATCATACGAGTTTCTGGTTAAAGATGACAATAAAACAATGAAGATGTGTGCTCACTAACTATGCCTTTTGATTAGACACTGGTTAATCAAAATTATGGCTCCCCAGTCATTTTTCTCAGCCACTGGTTGATTGGTCAAGAGGTCATTACGTCATTGATTAAACAGGAGATTGTAAAGCGAAAGGCAGCAAGGTGAATAAATAAGCGAACTCAAAAAATCAATCATTCTCATAATTATTAAACTGACTGAGGGCAAAAACAAAAGATCGGAACGTGTTTTGATGATACAGCTAACTTCATTGCTTACATCCTTTGGAACCCCACATTTTTTCAGCCTTCTGTTTGGTGATTAATATTTGAAGTTGTTTTTGATCATTTACGTGCAAACGTATAATACTATGGATGTCTATTTTTAGACGACATAACTCTTCTAAAAGTCCACATTTTTCAAAATTAACAAGAAGAATATATCGACTGATTCCATTATCTGGTTCATCACCTGTTGGATTAATTTGTTAAAAAAATAAGTTTTAAAATGAGAAGACACTTTAAAAAATTCTGATAAAAGTAAACTACGTGGCAGTTTTAATCAATTTTCCTCTTTTATATGAATTCCAGTCGAATCATTTTATCAAAAGTGGACATGCTAAACTATTGTTTATCTAAAGTTGAAATGTCATGTCTAATTATTTGAAACTATCATAAAATTTTCTTTATTAGTTTTAATGGTTTATATTTCCTCTCTTGTTCACATCAAAAGTCAAAATGATTATTTTGCACTGGTACATAAGTCTGTTCAATGTATTTCTTCACATTTCCGGAATCTCAAACAATGCTATATTCAAAAAGGTAAAGTAAATACTGAGTGAATGGAAATTGAATTAAAGTATGTAAATGGGTAATAGTTCATTTGAGTCCTGGCAGTCTAGAGCCATCAACTAAGCGAAGGTAAAGGATCAAATAAATGGTCGTCACTGTAAGGTTTAACATTTATTGTAGAGTTTATCAAGACCACGAATAAAGATATAAATTATGCATTTCACCAAGTTATGTTTATTTAGTGTCGAGTTCTAATTATTCTAGGGTCAGAGTCAAGACCTTCAGGTTTAAAGACGAATATCTTGTAGTAAACCTATGAATAAATTGATGCTAAAAATACCGATCACTTATAACATACCAATAGATTCAAAGAAGATTATTAATTATAAAACCTGTAAGTTTTGAATAAAGTCCCGGAATTATCGACGAAAGCCTGCCAATTCATACTGTTGAATTACACATAACTATCTAGTTTACAGTGTAAGACAAATTACCTTTGTTTTCGTATTATCCTTAAGCAACTCAAGTGCCCGGAAAAGAATATAAGTGAGGAAGGCAACAAACATACAGCTATCTTCAACTTCACATTTAGCCATATTTGCATATATCGTATATAAAATGTATGCCAATCATCACGATGAAATCAAAATAGCCATTTTGGAACCATTATGAATATTAAGTATTTTTTGCTTACAACACTTTCATTAATTGACAAAATTTTATGAATGAAGAAGGTTTGCCCAAACTTTTCGTGGGACAGAGTAGGTATCGTTTTTTACTTAATTCGTTTGTTGTACAAAATCTTGACTCAAAACAACTGCTATAATCGGAGAAATAAGAAGAGTTAAGTAAAGGTTCAGTGACTTAAATTTGACCGTGATACGAAAAAAACATCACGTATACTGAGGACGAAAAGATGCTACAAACAAACTTTCACAAGTTTTTGACCTTTGAAAACACGAAGACCATCATGTATACAACATTCTGTAGTGCAATTATCTGAGAGCTACCCACTTACCTAGGTATTTCTCTTCTAATGCTTCTTCCCCACGTTTATAAAGTTTACTTTTCTCTTTGTTTACTGGTGGCTCTTGTGATTTTATGACTTTGGCACCAGATTTTTTATCTTTTGGGTTTTCTTTCTTCTTAGTATCCTCCATATGGTTAGTCTTCGAAATTGACTGTGAGATAGATGTGAAAAAACCTAGTTATTTGCAACGTACTTCACACGATATAAAACTCAAGATTTACTTTTTTTAAACTGAGATTGGGATTTGCATTGGCATTTTACGAGAAAATTTTCACAAAAATGAATACAAATTCCACCAGGTCCACACACGGTTTTATGGATTGCACTGATTCACGTAGAAAAGATTGTTGTTTTATAAGACATAACTAAAAAGCCGTTAACAAATTACTCGTTACATCATTTTTTAATGCTGATCAAAGTTAGTAAATCAACGGAAACCACTGAAGATTTAGAGCTTGATTCAAGATGCATAAGGTGTATAATAAGATACCAATTAAGGCAGATCTACTTACGCTTTAGAGTTAATGACTCGAAGCTCCAGAAACATTGAGACGATACTCAATCAGCTGAATAAAGACATTATTTGATAAGATGACTATTTAAAATTCGTTCCCGCATTTTATAATTTGAGCATTCCACTTCTCTTTATATTGCACCCTTTCATTAGTATCTCTACTGTTTGTTTAAAAGCCTGTCAGATGTAATAGGTCGTTTTAATCTATGTAGCTTTTGGGTTCATATGTGGATCTGTTTGTCTGTCTTCCATTTCAATTACGAAGTATTTTTAAATCAGCGACCAGATGCACTGATAAATTGATTGTTTTAGTAGTAACACTACTAAGTTTACTTGTTGATTAATCAGTTACCAAGTACCTTAGGTCATCTGTTCTTCAAGTACTCAACACAAAATAAGAATCCATTAAGCTGAAGATCCAGTCATCCAGAACATATTTCAGAAGAGCCAAAACTTCATAAACAACGTACGTATTACCACTGTGCTAGCCGAAATGCAGGGACTAATAAAAAACTTAAATAATAAGCACACACAAAATAAGATCCTTGCGTGGAAATATTTTGAGTTAGACCAGTAACTCTGCGGATAGCAAATCAATATATATATATATATCATTTTAGAATGAAGTTAAGCAATTATATGTTGGTAAATAAACGCTTATAACAAGTCATTTATTCATAAATAAGGATTGCTTCTATATGTTTCCTAACTGCAGACTGAATTAAACCATCCTTTCATCTGGCTTAGTTAAAATATTGCTCAATGTAACAAAGTATTAGTCAAATCATAGTTATTTTCAAAATGCTTATGGTTTTCTATCAACAATCGGTATTCAAAAGTAATAAACTTCCAAAATACTTGGTAAAAGACAATTTCAAACGAAATGTATATTACCGTCAGAAGAACTTTTAACCAATGAAGAACTGGAATTTATTTAGGAGTTAAAATAAATGGACGATGTTATTTACAAATTCAGTGTACACAAAATCGTTACATTTTACCCTGATATTTATTTGATAAGAGACTGATTTTCAGTCAGTTAGTCAGTAGCAACGTAGAACTCCGTACGTACGTACATCAGTTCGAGTTGCCACACCACATTAGCACAGAGATGCAGTTGTCGACTCAAATTCCGTAGTCATAGACGTAGTAAGAGTGTGAGCAGTAATCGGAAACATTAAGGCTTGAAGATGTTATTCATGGAGTATAATACAGTGAAATAAATTTGGAAAGATAAAAAAGGGACATGAAGAATTCAGAAGATTAGAATTTGGGAGCACACAAAGAGTGGATGCACTTGTGCCATCGTAAACCATTTTGAGCCATGTCGTTCAAGGTCTCTAACCACCAACGGTTGCTATCATATCGCGGTCCCCAACCAGGTAGTCTACACCTACCAACATGACTCAGACCACTTGTCATTGACTTCATGGACTTATGCCATGTTTTGGTCTGGCCGCTCCTAGCTTTCTTCCAACCTACTCCTATACCATTTAACATAGCACGTCGAGGCAGTCGGTCGTTGGGCATACGTAACACGTGTCCCAGCCATCTCAACTGATGAAGTTTCATTACTTCACCAATTGATTTGCCATCCTTGCCTAGTACCCGTGTCCTAACAACTGTGTTACTTACTCGATGGTCCCATGATATACGAGCAATGTTTCGAAGACACCTATGATCGAATACTAGTAACCTACGAATATCCTCTACTCTTACCGGCCATGTTTCACTGCCATAAAGTAGGACGGGACGAACTGCTGCGCAGTAAACACGTCCTTTGGTTGATAGACGATATCTCGCCTACGCCATAAATGGCGCAAGTTGGCAAAAGCTAGTCGAGCCTTCTGTATCCGTGCTGAGATTTCTTCACACACCAGACCACAAGGGCTGATGAGACTTCCAAGATAAGTGAAGCGGTCGACACGCTCAACTACTTCATTCTCTATCCTTAGTTCGAGTGTTGACGCAGGCCAGCCCTAAATAAACATTTTGCATTTCGAGGGAGAGAATCGCATCCCGAACATGCTTGCATTGTTGCTTAGAGTGGTCAGAAGACTCTGCATTTTATCAGCGTCTTAACCAAATAAATTTATTCGCTGACTTCATGAATGGGTGGACAGGAAAATAAAACGACGGAATATTCATCCATACTACGATGGTTAATGGAATAAAAATCAAAATACAAATGTTGGCCAGGAAAAGACATAGAGAGTTAAATAACGGATAAGAAGTGAATAGTAAAATTAAATTTAGAACTGTCTTAGCATTTTATGTATTTAACTGTGTATCACTCGGTAAATGATATGAGTGTTGGATACCTATATAGACTAAGTTTATTTGCATACATAACAGCCGATAGTTTTGGATATGCATCTCCATACATTTAACACATTAAGATGAATACACTATGGAAGTGTGAGGAGTTTTATTAAAGCGGCTTAAGTAAAACAGTGCATAATCACTAAACAAAGAACTAAAGGGCTTCGATCGACAACCCATTTAACTCAAATCACATAGGATCTGTTGGTTATTCCTGGGAATAGGTAGCTGATAGCAAACTAATAAAGGGTTTGTTACGTTTAGAAACTTTCGAAAATACAACTTAGCGTTTCCGATCAAAGCAGATTCATCAGACGTAATCACAAATCCTCAATATGCAACCGAAAATCAAAAAACCCACTTCAACTGCAGTTTGGTAAAATATATGCAACCATTCCAAATTCTGGTTTGAGGTAGGGGTCTTATATGTGTAAATTTAAGTTACATATCAGTGTTATACTGCTCTGTTTCTCAATCACCTTCAGTGCGCAAAACGTGACTCGCAAAGGTTGTATTTTAGGACTTTTAATAGTGAAATGCTTCTGAATGAATATTCTACAATATGTTACAAAATAAAGGCAGCCAGCCCACATCTTAGTCGATTGACAGTACTTAGTAACAAGATGGATGTCATGGGTTGTAATGTTGTTGTTCAACTTTGTAGCTTAAGAGACTGCATATATCTGTTAAATCCCTCCTAATATAGCTTTGTTCTGGATGGAATAGTTCAGATTACTACTAAATTGGTGGCTTGTTTAGAGCAAACAAGAATAGCTACACGCTTAGACAATGAACAGCCAAATATAATGTGATAGGCTATCAGGTTTGCGACAAAGTTATCACACTGGCATTCTAACATTGCAATTATCGGCGAAATGTTCGATAAAACATAAAGATATACATGCAATTACTTCGGTATCTACGCCCACCTAGAACACAGCATATCTTTATCTCACGGAAAAATAGCTCTCAAAAGAAATGTGAACTGATAAAATATTTTAATTTGCTCAAAGTTCCCTCATTTTCCATAAACAGGTGGAAACGAGCCCTAATAGGAGTTCACCAATAGACTGAAGTTGAAGTTAGATAAATATACATATCAGATAAGACGGTGATTAATTTCTTTTCGCTAACTTTCTGGCACAATACTGGAATAAAACGAATCTCAGTGAATATTTTCAAGAAACCATTATTAAACTAACCTTTCTTAATGACTGCTGCTTAATGTCCATTGTTTTTATGCTATTGAACATAAACTTCAAAACTTTTGAAAGTAACTGTGGATTTAATGCATCGACGGTTTCAATGGCATTTTTAGCCACATTGCATATCTCAAAAAATTCTGGAGCATCCTTCTGACTTTTGGCTTTACATTGAGTGAAAATTTGATTCAATACATCTTCATATGTTATTACCGTGAATCTTTGACGCTGCCCATTGACGATGCTTGCTGCTAAAATTGATATGATCTCATTTTCCACTAATAGTGATGGTGAAAGAATGGACAGTGACATTTTCCATACTTCCTGAACACTATAAAAATTTCAAAAATCTACATACATCGTCCAAATTGAGATCGCAAAGTTTTGATTCCCAGTCTGAAACGCCTATTGAGGCTCTTGGTGTTTTGCTTTTAACATTTCTAGCACTTCTTGGCATTTTGAAAGTTAAACGTTTTTATTTACATGACGATCACCTCTAAATTGAATTGTCTATTTAGATAAACAAAGCTAGGTGTTCTTCAGACCTTGCATTTTTGAAAATTAAGATACCTGACCCGTCATTTTGATCAAAATACTGAGTTTTAGTTCATGAAAGCATGCTTTAATCTTTTCTTGCAAAAGGGCAGATATTATTCTAGGTTTCGTGGTTTCAGTGCAATGTGTTAGAACTGTTAAATATTACAATTCCTAAATTTTAAATTTTCAAAATGTTCGCCTATAGCCGCCAACAGTCTTATTTTTTCAGTATTGAAAACTAATGAAGCCCGGTGAATGCAAGTTGTTTCGACTTCGGTATCAGGTCGATATAACAAGTTAGTTGAAACAGAACTTTGTGGATAAGTCCAGCAAGACCGAAAACCGACTGGAAGGAATAATATACTTGAGTCATTATTTGCAATAAACATATACTCTATCTCAGTACACATCAGTTATGAGATTTTTATGAATGATCATAGAGTTGTATTGAAAATTATTCATTCTCTAAACACTATGCAAACGAACTATGGAGCTGCAGTAATGTACAAGAGCAGACAGTTCGATCAACGAGCCTGGTAGCGCACTGAAAATTTTACTCAAATTTCACCATAAAATCCTTATTTTACCACAAATAATATTGACGCTGCGCTTTCTGATTTATACCACGACTTGATATATTGCCTTGACTGCAATGACGCATTTGTTGGCCACATGGCTTATAACGCTAACAGGGACCAGAATATTATGAAAACCTTCAAGAAAAAGCTGAGAAAATGTTGACATCTATCCACCAACATCAAGTGGATCTGTCGATCAACTCCAGTCCATTCAATTCATTGTTCGCGCCTTCTCGATTGTTAGGTATTTCTCCGTGTTAAATATTGAATATCTATTTTCTGAGTAGTCTCGTGTTCACAGCTTTGTGGATTGTGTGGCTATTGTCCAATGCCACTACAGGTCATAGCTTCCCTGAAAATTCCTATGACGGTGGGCTTGACGAGATTCCTTCATCATTTGTGAAATGTGGTAGTACAGAATTCCCACTATTATGGAATATGGGACCTACCCATCTGTATGGAAAACACCTCTTATCACTCCCAGATTTGAAACGCGATAACGTCGTGGTATTTCCTACTATAGGTCCATTAATTTGACATCTATGCTATCAAGAACCATGGAGAAAATCGTCTGCAAACGGCTACTATCATTTTTACAGTGTCTCACACAACACTCTTCTTCCAAAACTTTCTCCATTTGGCATGCAGAATTCCCTTTTTATCTTTCCTCAAATATTTTTTAGCAGAACGTAGTCAAATCGTTCGCTTTGGATCTTGCCACTCTCAGCCTGTGTATGTAAACAATGGGTTTATACAAGGAAGTGTGGATGGCCCATTATTCTTTCTTCTTTTGATCAACGGCATGTATTTACTCTTTCAATGCACTAAACCTTTCCTTTTTGTCGATGACCTAGAAGTGGTTTATTCATTCTCTTCTCCCACCAAAGAAAACTATATTTCAGAGGTAATCCAGGAAGAAATAACTAAGTTGTACGAATGGATTGTTTCGTGGAATTAGCCAAAATTAGACAAAAGTGGATTTATTCACATTGGCCTCTGCTTTAACCCAAATCTGGCTATACATAAACATACACTGAAACCTCTCAACACTGTATGTGACTTGGACTTGAGATATAACAACACTTGGAAATTTTCCGAACATATTGCATCTCAAGCATCCGAAGCTAGAAGGCCCATTGGATCCATAATGCTAAACTCCCATAATATCGAATCGATATTATTATTATACAAAAAAGTATCTTACCCATTATTGAATATGGTATTTTAGTTTGCAGTAATTGGAGGCATAATGACTTAATTAAAATTGAAGGTGTTCAAAGAAAGTCCAGTAAAGCTGTTTTGGGGTATTCCCACAACAAGGATTATCACCAAAAATATCAACAACTCAAAATTGGAACCTCTCTGGATCAGGCATATCTACCAGCTTATTAATAGTATTTCTTACTTTTTGGTATCCACCCCTTCGTACTCACTGACATCTTTCCACAATCTACGCAACAGCGAAAATATTCTAGCGATTCCAAGAACCTTAAGCCAGAATGTTTTTGTCATTCGCTACTCAACCACGTGTAACAGACTACCAGTGAACCTCCGTAGCAGAGACACTACAATCCGGTTCAGAAGCCTCTATGATGATTTTCTTTTCGAAAGTGGATTTTGTCACCCATTGAATGTCAGTGTGTCTAACAATGAATCATTCAAACAAGGTCTGTCGTCTATCTAATTGACTGAAAGGTAAAGTGAACTTTTGAAATTTTTCTATTCGTCTTATTATCTGAAATTTGCTTATGTTCATATTCATGATCATTATGATTAGAATTGGCCCCTCGACACATTAGACACTCTTTTCGTCCCTTCTTTTCCTTATAAACATATTATATTCCTAAACATCCAAAGTCTCTGACTAAAAACAAATAATCTTTCCACACTTAAGTAAATTAACTTCTCAGATTCGTTTGATCCTCACCACATATATATAGCACATAGAAATTTATATTTGATTATCCTTTGCAATTATTTGTGACTTTCATGACATCATTCTAGATTATTATTGCACAAAAGTTTATACCAATACCAAGTTTTACTCTGTATCCTATAACATACATTTACGTGTATTTACCCGAGTGGACTGAAATAATTTAAAAAATTTAATCGTTCGCTTCAAAGGTCGTTATTCATTACACTCTCATTATCATAGTTGACCCTTTCACTAGGTGTTCATTTCTCTTATATTTCTCTTTTCTTCTAAGTAAATATTATCCCTAAGTATCCAAAGCTTTAATTGAGATAATATCTTGTGTTACACTTAAATAAATCAACTTTTTCAAATTTATTTCATCTTCACCACGTACATAAGTCTCACACATATTGATATTTGGTTATCCTTTTCACTTAATTGTGACTTTCATAGCATCACTATAAACTATTACTGCGGAGAGTAAGTGTCGTGGTGGTTACAGACTTGTTGCTCCATCGTTCATCCTACTTTAACACGTATATATTAGTTTCCAATGTTTTATTCTGTTGATTTCTCTGATATTTTTCTTGCATTTGTAGACTCCAAAACCATTTTTATGCCGAACGAATAACGTCCGTAATGCAAACACATGCATGCTTTAGTTGTAGCAAGTACGACAATTGCTTTTGCTGCTTAAAGATCTGAATTCGCCAGTTCAGTGAACAAACTAGGGATCTCTGAAAGCAGGCTCTAACCACATTCTATAGATGGATGCAGTACAAACGAATTGTCTCTACACAACGTTATTGGTCATAAGTATTGAGACTTTGCATAAACTTGACCATTAATTTTCCGGTGATTTTAAATTTAAGGAAGAGCTTTGTTCTAGTAACAACATATAATACGTCAATGAGCAAAACCACCTCAGTTGGCCAGCCCTAGTTAGGCGTAAATAAAATTTCATTGATAAACAAAGTGAAACAGAGAATATGTTGTCGACACAAAATAAGATAACGAATGAACACGATCACGCCCTCAAATATTTTTATACGTATGATGACTTGTCAATAAACTATTAGTTGTCTACTTTAAACCACTAGGAAACCAAAGAATGAGGGATATGCCATCGAAAGCCTTCCAATCTTGTAGGAAATTTGTAATGCCTCTAGTAACTTCTATGAATACCTGTTCTATGTGCCACTTATTAAGTTAGAACCCTTCTGGAACATGAAATCCAAACAGTCAATCCCTCTACCATGTCTTCCATATGTGAAATATACATTTTGGAACAGACTGAAAGAGTGATGACATTTAAGTGGCCTCATTCGTGGGAATAAATTGGTGAATAGCCATGTTTCCGCTGTTCTACCACAGGAGAAAGGTTGACGTACCTTATTTCTTCGTCTGGAACTAACCATCTGAAAAGACGCTTCATTAAAGTCGGACAAAAAACAAAACCAGATCGTCTTCGTTTATAGTTGAGATTACCTGTGAACCCAAATGTATACATAATATTAGGTTGTTCCATAAACACTATTAAGGCTTAAGGAGATTATATTATTGAACACCCGATCTTTTCATCTTATTTCTGAGGAACGAATGAGCACTTCTTTCTTCAGTTCTTCCGTAATTTGGAGGGACAAAATATTCAAGGGCTAAGGAGGAGCACATAAGTATGCTGCATACTTGTCCACTATTTTATGTAGCGAAAGAGATGGGTAATTTTATTTTAAAATGGTGGCATCATTATGTCCTGTGGGAATGGATTCTGTACAATTGGCTCCATAATCATGAAGACAGTTTTTGTGCGTAGTCTTTCGTCTTCTATATCTAGATAATGACATAACAAATAAAGCTAAGAGCTAATCTGTGCTAGTGGTCCGTTATAATGAGGAACTTTATGGTCAAGATGATGCTTCATGATTGTTGCCTTAATTTTCCTGCCATAAAAAACTACTTGAAGGTTCAGTGCTTTGAAGTGAAACAAGTGAAATTTACTCACAACCAAAGCAATCCATTCAAGCTCGTATCTATGATCTCACTCCAGGAAAGCGACATCACTCATCTAGTGAAGAGGCACGATTAGTGAAATCTTCCCAGTTGAATTTTAAAGAGCGTACAGAGATCAGTTTTAGAAAACGTCGGGTTCGGAAAGCCTAGTCCTATGGAGAGAAACCTAATTTAAGTGCCCCATAAGCTGTAGAATAGACACATAAATTGCAAAAGCCACTGTCAGTCCTTTTGATTTATCCCTACTGTAGTTGGACGAAACTATCCAGTCTTTTTCTTAACCAGGAAGTCACCACAATCGTTAAAAATGGTCGAAGGTAAATCATATAGAACTGTAAATTTGTGACACCTCGAGAGTTGGAGTTCCTTGCAGACTTCCGCCTTCTTAGGTGGATCAGTCGCCACCGGACATCCAGGGGAGGACAGTATAATCGATGTTGTCTGGGTAAAAACCTAGTTGAACTGCACCTCGAAAAACTCTGACCATCGACCAAGATGCCGTTAGATATTAACTACTGACATCCCGTCCTCTTCACAAATCTTTTCAGCCACACCATACTCCTTGTTGCCAGGGGGAGCACTGTTAGTAGATACAGTCCGCTGGTGACCGGCGACCAATGATGGGTTCATTCACCATTTATTACCTCAAACTTCTGGAGCCGATGTGCGCCATTTGTTTGGAATCAGGGTTTTCCAACTCCGCACACACCACCCTTGCTTGAGCAGTGGATATTCAGTTTTCTACCATCCAAATTCGTAAGCCAATCTGTAAGCCCGTCATTGAAAGGCTGTACACTTTTGATAAATGCCAGTCCTATCAAGCCGATTAAAAGTAATTGCAATGTCGGTAAATTGTATTATGCAGATGACCCAAAAGTATAACAACATTAATTGGTACGATCACTGCACAGCAAAATCGGATATCAGGACGTCTACAAATAAAAATCAACAACTAAAGTTTGTCTGTTTCTTTAAAGTTAGACGCTTTACCACACTAATTGCCAAAAACCACTAACAAAACTTTCCTGTGCCAACTAACGAAATTTTGAAGAAGACACAAAAGTGTCATCAAGTACAAAGGAATCATTAATTCATACAAATGCCATAACCGCCACAGCTTCAATGGGAATTCAAATTTTTACAGTCGATTTTAATTCTTATTAAGTTCATCATGTGTCTGTCCGAGTTCGTACTAGATATAGGCTATGAATCATCTGGGGTGTACTCATTAGCATTAGAATTAAAGGCGAAAATTGTAGCGGACCCACGCGGGTCCTTGTGACGTATTCGGTTGCTGTGACTTTCGCATGAACCATAGATTTTTTGACGTGTTTTAGCAAACCTTCTGAAAATTGTGGAAAGGGAGTTCTTTATCGAGGAGATTTTTTTCAAATAGTCTGAACCTTGTTTGTTTTGCATACGGCCTCGTAACTCTATACTGAGGCCTTATCTCCTTTCCGAATCTTTGAATTTTAGAGCAGTATTATTATTGGCGTCTGTCTTCAAAGTTTCAAAATTTCTTTCTTGCACATCGGAATGAAATGGCCTTGAAGTCGTGCGTGATTTTTCGCAGTTCAATTCTGTAGTTAGAAAGTTATCAAGCACTTCATTATAACCGTCCACTGTGGTCAATAAAGAAAGCTGTCCCTGAAGCGTTATTAAATCTTCTGGACCAGGATAGATGGTCCATAATTAGTGATGAGGAATTCACAATTAAGGATCGAAGAGTTATCGTCTCTAATTTGCAAACTACAGCACCCAAGAATATGAAGTTCATGATTAGTATTACTCGAAATATAAACTTTGGTAGGCTTAGTTATAGCATCAGGATTTAATGACTTCAACTTTCCAACCTAAACGATGGACGTGATACTGCAAATGTCACCAATAAAATCATCAAAGACGCCACTGGACAAATATAATCGTTTTTGAATACAAAGTGAACAACTGGAAGTTGTCGATGAGGTTGGTATATGACCGTTTGAATCACTCAAGTAATTAGGATTCTAAGTAATATCACAGTTAAAGTATTTGACATGAGGAACGACACGCGAATTAACTAGGTGAAATTTACCACAGAATAAGCACATAACAAACCTGTGCTCAACTCGGGAACCTGCTTCGCAACTCCTCAATGGATTGTTATCCATGTTTTCAAAAGAACGAGAATCGTTGATAGTTTAACGTCTACGTTTATGATCTTAGTATTCATCGGATTGAGAAAACTAGGTAACGTAGTAGGATTCTTTATATCCTGAAAGTTAATTTCATGCGCTGCCTCATAATTAATGCACACAATTCTAGCATCTTGAGAGGAACACTCCAGCATTTATTTAAGCTCTTTCCAGATATGGTATGCTATTCCCTGTAACTAATCGATTATGAAACTGCACGTGAAGTTAATCACCAAAATTACACATAACAGCTTGTTTCTGCGATTTGAGGTCAAACCCCCTAACCTTATGATTGTCCCGACAAAGCATTTCCTGGAATTTCGCTCTTTTGTGACATTAGAAATTTTCAAAATTTACATGATTTAGTAGTACTTCGTTGATAGTTGCTCAGAGAAGTGAGATAGGCTTATCTGAAAATACCGAAGTTTTTAGTAATCTATAGGGCATTCTCCCACAGTGAATGTGAGGAAATGAGCCACAATTTCATAACCCTTAACATCTTTCCCGGTCATAATTCAGATTTCAAAACCTTCTACTTATTCTTTGGAAACCCCAAAATTTGAATGTACAGCTTTCCAATCACAGGCTCCATCGCAACGCCAATATGATGATTAAAAGTATTGGAATTAATGTACTAACTGAGATGACCGAAGTAGCGAAATTAAGGGCAGGTAGAGCCAGGTGAGCACAAAAATATGTAATCAGTAGAAAATTAGGCACAAAGGAATCATTAGTTCGTACTGTAGTGAACATTAACACAAGTGCGGACAACCACATGTATTTCAACACAGAATTACAGAAGAGCCTGGTTAAATCTGAGAACTATACAATAAGTTCTCCATTTGAAAAATATCAATCAACTGTCTCAGACTTAGCCGTACCTTCGTTTCCACACCAATCACCTTCTGTTCTCGTCTCGTTTCTTTGATCCTCTTAACCTTGTAGTGTGGCGTCGAGTCGCGGTTGACTATGATCACCACTACAGGAAGACCACGTGCCAGTTAATCGATAACATCCCCCGTAGGCAAAATATCAGAAGGCAGTTGATAGCTGTAGTCGAGATGTATTCGTTGGCGATCTCGTGGTATCGAAAGAATATCAAGATCGTGCCAGGTTGCAAGTGTGGTTACTGAGCGTAACCGAATTCGTGCAAGGCCACAATCAACGGGAAGGAGGAATGGAATAATAATGGATGTCTTCAGTACAGTTAAACAAACAAGTGCTGTAAAACAATGACCGGTACAATCGGGTATAATAGTAATTGTTTCCATTACACCAATCGCAATCTTTTGATAAAAGTGGGTCACTGCAACCTTCTGATGCCAGACATTGGTGACCCACATTGCTTATATCTGTCGACATCAGCAGTTCACACCACAGTAAAAGTACCACATTATTCTATCCCAAATTTCTTGAAGAGCAGTGATATGAGTGGGACCTCGTACCATCCACGACTGTTGAGGTCAGCTGTACTCAGAAGAATCTCATAAAAAAAGAAAATGGGTGCAACTTATCTCAAGATTATTAACGAATCTGACAACAAATCATAAAGTAGGAGTCTTCTGTTCGGTGGTGGTGTATTCTCTGAATTCGCTCTGCACTACCACTCAAGATTTACAGGTTAAAATTTAATTTAAGATCGTCTATCAAATATCTTGTTGCCGATCCCAAAAGAGCTATGTGGATATTACGGCAGTTCCGTGAACATCTATTTCTAATGTTGAGTGGGTTGGTGTCAGGCGGTCTGCTTCGAGAAAACTTATCTTGACTTCCGGACAGTGTAGATCTCTAAAGGCAATGATTTGAAAATCTCCCACTGACTTCCAGAACAGAAGAGATTTAAAACATTGAACCGTGTTCATGAATTTCGTTCCAGTCGCACTCAGCTATTTACGGATATAAAAGGGTTTTTCCAGCGGGTAAATAAATTATTATCAGCAAATAAGCATCTTAAAATAATACTAAGACGGAAACATTACGGGCCTGGGTATTCCTCTAGTACCCTACAGCGCATTTCATGCAAAACTTATAATTTTCCCACATTCAAGAACCTTAGAAGGTCTTGCATAGTCGTTCGAGTGTAACTGATCCACTAGCCACAGATTTGATGATCGCACGATATCCCTAAGTTAGACATATAAACCAATAAGTTTCGCTTCAGTGATCCACAGAGAAGACCGTAAGGTGAGAGACTGAAGGCACTTAGCTCCATACAATTGTAGTAGCTAATAAATCGACATTCATGTTGGCCTTTACTTGATGTAAATCTATCTGAAAGCAGTCGGTCAAGCATTTGCATCAAATAACGTACAAGTAAGCCGTGGTGCATATTCCCTAATATAACTAGGGAGCTTATACTTATTATTTTGCAAAACATTGACCTTTAATTCTAATAACAGTTAACGTCAATATTAAAAAAAGCAGGTTCGAAAGTAATATAGCAATCCATCTAGTGACTTTCTTCAGTCATTCAAATGATACTCTTGGAAAGCTTCAGGAAACAATTGTTAGGTGATGACAAAAAGTCGACTTTGAATGGACATATCAACTTCATATCCCTATAGCATCCCCGGAAATTTATCTCATCATAAATACAATGCTGCTGAAATTTAATTACTTATCAAAATAAAAAAACAACAACAATAAAGACCTAACTTACTTTAGGATTATTTGAATTATCCAACTGTTCACGTTTAGGCTGAAAATAGGATTAAATGTGTACCACTCAATTAACTGCTATTCCATATAAAAATTCTGTGGTCACTAGCTAATCGGTTACTGGGTTATATGATCAGCAGACAACATTTAAGCAAATTATGTTTGTTGGATGTTCTTATTAAAGAGAAATTAACTAGAGCGTTGTCATGTTTGGCTGTGAATGTACAAGTCTCGTTTTCCCAAAAACCCGCTGCCATCAGACTTCTGAAGGTCGGTCGCTTTAAGTCTAAGTAAGTGCTTTCTAACTTGTTGCTTCTACTCCGCTTGATTCCCAATAGAATCTTCTGCTTTTTCTAGGACACGTGCACAAGTGCACCAAGTATATGATACACATATAGATAATATTATGTCTATGGATTAATTGTAATTGCCTGTACCAACTAAAGGACTGGTCTGAAACGTCCGCACGTGTATATGTATCAGACAGTACGAAGATTCTCAAAGATATTTTTACAAAACAATAACAACTTTAGTAAATAGCTTTTTATATTATTGCCTTTTAACTTTTATTATATATCTTCTGTTCCTCCCTTGGTATGGTGTTCACTTTAAATATCAGAAGGCAAACTAATTTGATAAAAGTTTAGTCTTTAACACAATAGACTATTGCTAATAAACCATTGACGCCATTCTTCTCCACAGTAATACATGTAATAATAATAAACTTACAAGCTAAATCCTAAGTTTAATATTGTTTGCATCTGCTGGGATCACTGGATAAGTAGGCGATAAGTAAAAGTGAGGTTGGATGTATGGTATTAGAGAATGGTGATAAATCAGTTGATGATGTTGTGAATCTCCATCAATTGGGATAGTTGGGCCACGTGTTACGTATGCCCGACCACCGTTTACCACGGCGCGCAATGCTGACTAGTGTTGGGGATGGTTGGAAGAAAGTTAGAGGCGGCCAAACCAAAACATGGCATCAGTCCATAAAGTCACTAACTTCTGGTCTGAGTCATGTTGGTAGATGCAGACTACTTGGTTGGGGTCAGTGTGACTATCATAACCAGTGGTTAGAGACTGGGTGAAATGGCTTAGAATCGATCACAATGGCGTAAGTGTATACACTCTTTGTCTTCTCTTAAACCGTGAGATTAAAATCGCTTTATACCTTTCTTTCTACAAATAATTCTTTCTTCCTGTATTGTATCGTTATGCACAATCTTGTATACATTACTACGACTGATGTAACTAATATGAATTTGGTGTTCATCTTGTTGTGCTAACGAGGTATAGCAACGTGAACCGACGTATATATGTGCCTGGTCCTACGTTGTAGCCGGCTGACTAAGTCTAATGTTTCAGCAACATATCTTGCAAATTTAAGGCTTTGTTTTCCATACGCATCGCTGATATCCAGTTCTATATGCAATACGAATTATTCACAACATGCTTTCTTGAAGTTTTTACCTATGAAATATATTGACATTTCAAAGTCAGGCACAATAAAATGAGGATCCTTCATTTAGAAAATCCCCACTATAGTAGCGAATTACCAACTAATTTCTAACAATTCGGGTTGTAATTGATCTTTGAGAATGTATTGATCTTTTCGTAATGACATCTCATTTCATCTGTTCTCTCTAATACGGCACTATTCTTATAACAGGATGTGGTTAATAATGTAAAACCCAATTTAATCAGCCCTAAATCCCTGTTTTCATGTGTAACTTTTCTCTGCTTTACAAGTGTTTTGTTTTTCGAAGCATATAACATGCAATTTGCATTTTAATCTAGGGGCTTAATGTCTGCTGTAGTTACTAACTTTTCTCCGGTCTCCAACAAATTTACTGTTGCTCTATGTGTACTGAATCAGTGGGCGCTTGACTTTAGTGGAAATACTAGACGTGTAATCGAAAGTATTAAAACTGCTAAACGCTTGGGAGCTAAGTATAGAGTTGGCCCAGAACTAGAGGTCTCAAGTTACGGATGTGAAGATCATTTTCATGAATTGGATACCTATACTCATTCATGGCAATGCATTGCAAAAATATTGAGTGAAACAAATGAAAATGTTGAAATGCAAGATATTGTTTGTGATATTGGAATGCCAGTTTTACTGAGAGGTGTGGCTTATAACTGCAGAATTCTTTTATTAAATGGGACTATTCTATTGATACGACCGAAATTAGTCCTCGCAGATGAAGGTTTGCACAGAGAGTCTCGTTGGTTTACGCCTTGGCCTCATCACCAGAGAATCATTGACTTTGAGTTGCCCGAAATAGTCCAGAAAGTAACCAAGAATTCGCAGTCAGTAGCAGCTTTTGGTGATGCTATTTTACGATTTTCTGGAAATGGCTATTCTGAATGTGTACAGATAGGCTTGGAAACATGTGAAGAGCTTTGGACGGGAACACCACCTCATATTGATATGTATGCAGCTGGTGTGGATGCTGTGCTCAATTCCAGTGCCAGTCACCATGAACTGAGAAAACTAAATAGAAGAATAGAACTAGTGAAATCTGCTAGCACAACGAATGGTGGTGGATTCTATGCGTATACAAATCTTAGAGGATGCGATTCTGGGAGAGCTTGTTACGACGGTTGTGCATTAGCCGCAGTTTCCGGTCAGCTAATTTGTCTGAGCCCACAGTTTGGATTTGGGGATGTCTCTGTTGAAACTGTCACTGTTTGTCTGAATTCACTGAGATCAAAGCGAATTGCCAGTCGTTGTTTTGGGCGTGCGGCTGCAGCCAGTGCAGCTGCGAAATCCGATGCATTTGGCATTACACACAGTTGTTATCCAGTTGTTAAGGTACGATTTTCTTTCGTTTAACGCACTGGGCAAGATACCAAAGCTCTGTTGTTTTTAATATATCATTCATTTATTTTTATTATGAATTTGATCTCTATAATTTGCTATAAATTATAGTAATGTTAACTGAATAAGTTTCTAAAACCTTTTTGCAACTGATCTGCCATCCATATTATGTATGTCCATAAGGAAGGAGCTAGTGGCTGTCTAGCTTCCTAGATCTAGGGACCTACATAACAATATAAGTATATAACTTAAAGGTTATAATTTGAATATCTGTATCATCTGCGAAGTAAAATACAATTCAAGAACGGTAAAACATTAAAAGAGATATCTCGTTAGTTATAATTGCTTAGACTGGAAATTCATTGGTCAGTTATCAGTGATTAGTAGTATCATACCGATTAGATGTATATTCTCTGCCATTACCGACCACAAGCCATTTCGCCTATATTCTTGAACGATCGATCGCACTTACTATTGGAAAATATTAGATTAAGCAGTAATTATAAGTTAATGAAACATTATAAATCCAAATAACTAATCAAGTACAGGATCATGCACTTTAATTTTAGCCATATCTTTATATGAAAGCCGAAGATTCGAATCCTAGACATGGATTGTGTTGTATTTGGCAAGAGTCAAACTTGTGAAAGATAATGATCAGACCACCGAACAACAACTCCGAAGCAATTATCGGGCTTCTGGAATTAATTCAGATATCTGTTTCATTAAAAATCGCACATACATTAGTGTTCGAAGTTTTCATAAAAATAAACTTCTGGAGAACACTAAAACTTCAAGAACAGTCACAACACGATATAAATTATTTGACAGCTTGTAATTCATGTAACGGAGTTTACATATTAAGCAAGCCAATTGTTTATCCATATTATTAACTGGAATGTAGCGTTTGCAAATGGTGAACAACTTTCTGATGCTCATCATTAGTTTATCCCTAACTTTTTGTCATTCAATGTACCATAAATAGCTAGGTTGAAAATTTAGTTGAAGAAATTAGTTTGGTTGCCTATATAATGCTTTTGTTTATCTACAAAATATTCGATCTCCATACAAGCAAATAATGCTCTACATCGCTTTTCATCTATAGCTGTTTCTTCCATCAGAACACTTTATGATTAAGCAAAAGTGTGAATTCTGATAAATTTATTCTTTAATTTATAACATCTGCCTAGATCATTTTCATTTGTAGGTTGATTTCAATCTTTGCCATATTGACCATTGGCCTGATCAGTCCTTACAGCCTCATGTTGATACTCATATTCCCTCACCTCCAGAAGAGATTTCTTATGGTCCTGCATTATGGTTATGGGACAATTTACGCCGAAGCAAGTCTTCAGGATTTTTTCTTTGCCTGAGTGGAGGTTTGGACAGTGCAGCAGTTGCGTGTATTGTGTTCAGTCTTTGTAATCAAGTAATTTCATTAAAAAGTGTCGTTTTAGTAAAAGCTATATGTTTAATCATTTCTATTTCACTATCACAGTGTGGAGATATACAGTGATTCACTTTGTAGCAGTGTTATGTTTATTTATTTATTTGAACACAAACATTGGTACAAGGGGATACCAAATACTTATGCGCTACACAATAACAATGAGGCCATTAGCAGTTATCATTGATTTGTGTGAGGGCTGTAATACTGTCCGGGCGCTAAAATCGAAGTAGGAGTAGAGTGTTATGCTAAAAAGGTAGGAAAAATAAGCCACTCTGAAGTTCCATCAATGTGCAGTTTGCGGTAAAGTTATCCCAACTGTAACTGCTACTTTAATGCGACGTTTTAATCTTTCTGTTATGACGATCCAGTGGGGTTATATTGGCTAAAACATTTATTTCTTGAGGCCCTAACGTACCTAGCAGGTAGTCAGCAAAACAATAGGACTAAAAGTAGCACATTTAAAATCCGACAGTAGAGTCGTACTCCCTATTGTAACAAGATATGGCGAAAGGAGTGTTTTTCCAACGCAACCAGCATCTCTAGCAATACTATTGTCCCACAAACAAACAGATGTATACAGAATATATCTATCATCATCTCTAACTTGGTTTGTTTGTTATTGTAAGTTTTGTCTCAAATGTAATCTGAGATATTTAATGACCATTATATACTATGATAATCGTGTTTGATTCAATAAACCGTTGACCAACTTATTAATTTGAGGGAGTTTAATGATTAACTTAAGGACTTCTGATCAAGGATATTCGTTTATATTATTCTGCTGTCAAAATTCAACCAATTGATCAAGTATTTCGCAGTATGGTTGTTTAACAATAAGTGACAAACAAATCCATAAAATGATATTTGAAATTGCTTCATTCTTACTACACGTAATATTTCCACAGACTTTAATTCAAGGGATGTATTATATTATTGTATATACTACTATAGTTAGTATTATTATTATGCATTTGCTGAAGTGAAATACATATGTTTATTTTTTCTTTCATTTTAGATTTTTCAAACTATAAGACAAGGTAATATGTCCGTTACGCACGATTTACGAACTCTGTTGAATGAGTCGGATAAATATATCCCTGACAGTGGTCGTCAATTATGTTCTCGTCTACTAACAACTTGTTTTATGTCAAGTGAGAACAGTTCTGCGCTTACAAGATCACGTGCTAATCGCTTAGCTAAACTTTTAGGTTCAAATCATTTAGAAGTAATTAAATTTCAATCTCTTTTACATTACTCCGAAAATTGATCCGATAGTTTTAAAATATCTGTCATCTTAATGAGCTTATTTTTTATGCAGTGTATTTTGAAACAAAAAACACCATTATTACCTGTAGAATTAAATTAAAACGAAGGAAAAATGGTGATACAGCAAAGATTTACATTACATGCCTGAGTCAATCGGAGAACCAATAAAAACCTGGAAGGAGTGGACATTTTGTTTATTTCGTACCCTCAAAGTCTTCAGGAGTGGGTATCACATACTCAGGATAAAAACCAGACCCTTCAGATCACTCTTTCAACCCGACTTTTTAAGACTAGTAAGTCGGTACCCAGTGCTTTTCACTTTCTGGAGATCTTTGCTCCAGCTTCATGTGAAGCTGTATCTCTCAGTTGCTTCGAATCAATTTAAGCCAGTTATTCTGGGCTGCATCATCACCACCTTAAAATTGAAAAATTCCCACAAATAAGCTGTTTAAATAAGATTTATATCTTGTTACTGAGTGCTATTTGCTGGTAACTGATAACGAAGTTCGGTTAACGCATTTCGTTTTATTTAAAAACTCACCAACGGGGTGTATACATCATCTCTTGAGTCTTAATGCTCGTATTCACACTTGAATTCAAAACCAAGGTTTTACCCACTAAGTTATTAGTTTGTTTGAATTAAATGGTTTAACTAGTCACCATCAACGTCAGTTAATAAGGTAACCAACTATATTATATCGTCATTATGATAAGCAGGTCGATAAATTAGTCTTTGGTATTGATCAGGTTTGTATAGGTTAAAGAATGTAATGTAATCACTTAGTCAAGTGATAAAGTTCCATTATGCAAACCTCTTTATTATTATGTAGCCTTAAAATTGCTTGATATTAAAATTTATTTTTAATTCTAACATTATGTATAATTCGTAGTCCGATATTACACCACTGGTAAAAGAATTTGTCCATATGGCTTCCAAGACTTTGAATCTTGCTCAACCACCTCGTTTCACTGTTCATGGCGGTTCAAGTAAAGAGAGTTTAGCTCTTCAAAATATACAAGCTAGAAGTCGCATGGTTTCAGCATATTTACTGGCTCAGTTAATACCATGGAAATGGAACTTGCCGTCAGGTCTGTTAGTTTTAAGTAGTGCAAATCTAGATGAAGGACTAAGAGGTTATTTAACAAAGTAGGTTACCATTTGTTAAACTTTCACCTAGTACAAATGCAGTTTGACAACTTTTCAGTGAGAAATATTCATTGTTATTTAAATTTTTCGTAATAACCAGTTAATATAATGGTTTTCACTGCAATAAGTTCATGATGAAAATAATTACCCGATTAACTTTACTGAGTTCTGATTTGGTCAAGTTTTTGGCTGTCCCAACAAAAAAACTTGAGTTGAACGTCCGGATAAGGCACAGGACAAGTGGCTAACTGACTTACCATGTATGTGAAACAACAACTTATTCATTTGATACAACACATTAATCGATTAATATCATTTCTCTCGAAACCTTATTCTTGATCGTAAGCTGCAAGTTAAACTACTAGGTAAAAATTCTACTCGTCGTATGATATTGGAAGTGAAATTCTGTGTTACCAAGTTTATCTGAACTTAATATAAGTTAGCTTTAAAACAGACCATCTTAGTGGTTAAAGCATTTTTTGCTATTAAGTTGTGCGCTTAAACCCCAATAACATGTACTTTTTTCTTGGCATCCGAGAAGTGTCATTAACCTTCAAATAACAGGGTCATATCCAATATGAGAGGAAAAGATTATCTTTGTCTCCAATTTAAAACGAATGGTCAGTAATTTATTCGATAACTTTCATGTTTTGCAATTATAAGTAACAGTCCAAGGAAATGCCGTAGATGAAGCCAGCTGCATCTTACTAAGATAAATTTATTAATGTACTTGACTTAAATTTGGTTATTTTTTACTTATAGCTATATAACCTGGTGAGAATTTACTAAAATTAAGCGCATTTATCGTCCACATATCTTTGTTTCAGTGAAGTAGAAATCCCTTAGTTCTATGAAGTTATCACTTCCTTGATGTTATCCAAATAATCCAGTTAATACTGTTGTCATCGATAGTTATCCCCTCAATACGTTTTGTTGCAACTCCATCTTTGTATCTTAATCGGTCAACTTACGAGTTACTTCCACATACAGTGGGATGTTTTGTTACTGAGATATCGAAATGATAACTTTTAAAGGTTTAGTTAGTTTTTAAAATTAAAATTTACGGCACAGTAATCACTAAGAGGTTTGTATGTCTTATTTTCGAATCTAATTGACTTTCCGGTTCCCATTATTTTTTTAAAACCGAGTTTAATTCGTGGCTAGATGTATATCATATTGAGCAAACTCTGGTAAAATTAGACCGATTACATATGGGTTTACACTCGTGTTTCGTGAAATCTCGAAGAACACTGGTTTCATGATAATTTTGTAAGTTATCTCTATCACAGTCCATCTCCTTAGGCTGTTACAAGTATCGACTTTTCTTAGTTAATCATCAGCTGAAAGAATAGTGTGATCAAGCGGTTTTTCGGATTATTTAGAAAAATCGAAAGTATCATCAAGTAATGATATCGACTAAAGGACTACTAAATATCACAAAGCGCTCAACAGCTGTTCCGTAAAATCACCGTAATAAATAATAATTTTCCCGCTAGTCATTAGCGTCGGTATGGATTTACCAGTTTCTAACTTGTAATAAAAACGAATTCAATAAGGGATTAAAAATGGGCTACAGCGCTAATTGACTAACATTGGAAATGTGGACTATTGGATTCGATCCAATGGAATGAAAGTACTGAACCCGGTGGGATTTATCAAGTAAGCGACATATGATATCTCAAACTGCATGGTAATCAAAAGCTCCTGGATTCGGTAACTTGAGGGAAGTAAACATTTTGAATGGTTCGCTTCCCTTCCTTTATTATGGTAATTTCTCAAAACAAGCTCGGAAAAGTAAGTAGAGGATCCTTCCAATTTTTAATATGTACTTTTTATGAAGCATTAAGATGTTATATTATATCAAGGTAGTTGGCACAACTAGTAAGTAACTGCGACCCTTCTCTTGTGATAAGAAATTATTAGACAGTAAAGCAATTATGTTAAGAAAAAAACCACTATTTTACTACATAAAGGATTTTGCGGGTAATTTGCTATCTTGTGTTTTCAACTTTTTTTCTTAGGTATGACTGTTCCAGTGCAGACTTAAATCCTATTGGAAGTATCAGTAAGTCAGATTTACGATTGTTTATTGCTTACTGTGCTCAAACGTTCCCAAGTTATATGGATTCTGGAAGTGGAGTTGAACTTTCGGAAGTATTGTTAGAAATCTTATCTGCTCACCCAACAGCTGAATTAATGCCACTTCAATCTAACGGTGAAATTAGTCAGACAGATGAATGTGAAATGGGATTGACCTATGACGAATTATCATTATTTGGTAGACTTAGAAAAATATCCAACTGCGGACCTTACAGTATGTTAGAATCATTATTGGACGGTAGTTGGTTACTGATTAAGAAGGTTCTACCTGATAGTTGTTTTCAAAAAGATGGGAAACCTGGTGCTGAACTTGCTCAATATCTTAGCGAAAAAGTGAAATTATTTTTTCGTTTTTATGCTATCAATCGTCATAAGGCTACTGTTTTACCACCAGCTTACCATACTGAGGCTTATAGTGCTGATGATAACCGGTAATTTGATCTTTTTCTTCTTTGTTAATTTAGTCACAGAGTTACTAAATACCCTTATCATTGTGTATGCGCTTATCACCCTGTAGAACAGTCAGTCAGTCAGTCAGTAAGCTACAACGTAGGACCAGGCACATATGTGCATCGGTCCAGGTTGCCATACCTCATTAGCACAGCAAGATGAACACCGGATTCATAAAAGTAGTTAATTCAGAGGTGGTAATATATAGGAGGATTGCAATAAGGATATAGTATAGGAAGAAAGAATTAGTTCGTAGAAAGAAAGATATGAAGTGATTTTAATCTCTTAGTTTAAGGGAAGACAGGGAGTGTATACACCGACGCCATTGTGATCGATTCTGAGCCATGTCACCAAGAGTCTCCAACCATTGGTTACGAAAGTCACGCGGACCCCAACCAAGTAGTCTGCATCTACCAACATGGCTCAGACTAGAAGTTAGTGACTTCAGGCACTGATGCCACGTTTTGGTTTGGCCGCCCCTAACTTTCTTCCAACCATCCCCTACACCGGTTAGCATTGCACGTCGTGGTAATCGGTGTTCAGGCATACGTAACACGTGGCCCAACCATCTCAGTCGATGAAGATTCATAACCTCATCAACTGATTTACCATCATTCCCTAATACCCTGCGTCTAACCTCACTATTACTTACCCGGTGATCCCAGCAGATGCCAGCAATATTTCTAAGGCATCTGTGGTCAAATACTAGTAGCTTACGGGTGTCTTCTACTCTTAAGGGCCATGTTTCGCTGCCGTAAATTAAAACAGAACGAACTGCCGCGCAGTATACTCGTCCTTTTATTGATAGACGGATATCTCGCCTCCGCCAAAGGTGACGTAAGTTGGCAAAAGCCAAACGAGCTTTTCGAATCCGTGCTGAGATTTCGTCAGACACCAACCCATTAGGGCTGATCAGACTTCCAAGATAAGTGAAGTTGTCAACGCGTTCGACTACTTCACTCCCTATCCTTAGTTCAGGTGTTGACGCAGACCAGTCCTGAAGCAACAACTTGCATTTAGAGGGAGAGAAGCGCATCCCAAACATTCTGGCATTGTTGCTTAGTGCTACCAGAAGACTCTGCATTTTGTCAGCGTCTTCACCAAACAGGACTATGTCATCTGCGTATTCTAAGTCGATAAGTGGACCTCCTGGAAGGAGATCAATACCCGAGAATTCAGTCGACGAGAGTGTTATTTCCATCAATAGGTCTATGATGAAGTTAAACAAAAATGGAGAAAGTGGGCAGCCTTGACGGACACCACTTGAGGTTGCAAAAGTAGATGACAGTTCGCCATAAGCCCTGACTCGACTAGTAGTGTTCGAGTAAAGAGCCTTCACAAGGTTTATGTACTTCTGAGGTACGCCTTTCAATGACAGACACTGCCACAGAATCTCGCGGTCTACAGAGTCAAATGCTGCTTTTAAGTCAAGAAAGACCACCATCGTCGGACGCCGATAAGTATGCCTGTGTTCTAGAACCTGACGAATGGTGAATATGTGGTCGATGCAGCCACGACCAGGTCTAAAGCCAGCTTGGTTCTCTCGTGTTTGTAGTTCACGAGTCTTAGTTAGGCGCGTGATAATTATCGAGGCCAGTATTTTAGATACTATGTTTGTTAAACTAATCCCTCTGTGGTTGTCACAGGATGATTTTGACCCTTTCTTATATATTGGGACGATAAGTGATTGCGACCAGTCAGATGGGATAACGTCTAATTCCCAGATCTTAGCTAAAATATTAGTCAACCTAATCGCTAAAATTGGACCACCATCCTTAAAGACCTCTGGAGCCAATCCATCTGGACCAGCTGCCCTTCCTCGTTTCAGATTAACTATAGCCTTCTCAACTTCAGCAAGAGTTGGGGGACCTACTTCAATGTTCCATTCACATTGTCTGGGAATGGAGGGTAGTTGTAGAGTAGCTGAAGGCCAGCTGAACTGTTCTCTAAAATGTTCCGCCCATCGTTCTAAACGTCTGGACTGGGAGCAGATGAGAGTATCATCTTTTTCCGAAATAATCTCACTTACACTTGACTTATTAATTCCAGTTTCTTTTATTAGTCTGTAAAGCTGTCTTGTGTTCCCTATAGTCGCCGCCTTTTCCATCTCTTTTGCTTTCGTTACCCACCACTGCTCACGGTCGTTCCTTAGACTTTTTCTTAACCTAGATCTGATTTGTTTACGCTCTTCATCATGTTCAGAACCTGATGGGACGAGTTTGCGAGAATCCATCAGTGTGACAGACCTTGAAGAAATCCACTGGTTCCTTGTAACTCTGTGGTTTAAGTCACTAATAGATGTCACTGCTGTTTCCACAGCTGATTGTATGCCCTTCCAAGCAACATCTGGGTCAGCCTCGTCTTCACAACTACCTAAGTGTGACCTCAGTTGTTCCTGGAACCTACTTTTGGTTTTCTCGTTACTCAACTCAGTTCTAACGGGTCTTTTTAATGTGGCTTTTTTGCGTCCAGTGAGGCGCAAGCAGATGCGTGCCCGTATTAGGGCATGGTCGGAGTCCAAGCAGGTACTCCAGAATGAGCGACAATCTTCTACCGACCCTCTCCAACGATGACTGATGGCAATATGGTCTATTTGAGTCCATCGTTGGTTTGGTGTAGGGGGTCGCCATGTTAGACGATGTCTCTCCTTATGCTTAAAATTTGTGTTTGCTAAAAATAAACGATTGTCTGAGCATAGCTGCAGCAGACGATCACCATTATCTGTTCGCTGTGTCGGAATACTAAAATATCCACCTAAATGCCTTTCTGTTTGGTTTAAACTGCCTATCTGAGCATTAAAATCACCTGCTACGAGTACTATGTCTGAGCGTTTAGCTTTCTGAAGAAGTTCGGACAGCTTTCTGTAAAATTCATCTTTCACTTCATCTGAGCTGCAGTCAGTGGGAGCGTAGGCAGAAACGACAAAAAGGCAACGACGTGTGTCCCTATCCTTCCGAGTTCTTACGTAGCCGTTCAGCCGAACAGCACATAGACGACTGTTGACGGGGATCCACTCTAGCAGTGCTTGTTCGGCCCTCATGCTTAGTGCTATGCCTACACCTGCCAGTCCACGAGAACTTGCCATCGGGTCACCAGATACACGAAGGGTGTATCTCGTTGGCTCTCCGTTTGCCGAGGTGAGGTCAAGTGAATGACCACACTGGAATCCTGTATGCGTGTTTCGGAGACACAGCATACATCAATGGAAAGAGACTCTAGGGTTTTAGCCAAGGAAGCCTGCTGACCGATTTGACATAGGGTGCGTACGTTGAAGGCTCCAATGTGTAGTTTGGAGCGAGGTTTCAGTAGACCTGGGACAGTATTTTGCGCACTAGAATCGTTGGCTATGGTGACACTTGAGGTGGAAGCCGAGAGGGGAAATTTAGAGTTGAAAGTCGATGTAGGAGGAATAATAGGAATTGAAGAGGGAGGTTGATTATGAATACAGTGGTCTTGAGTGCTGTTAGAAGTATGAGGGCGGTTATCACTTCCCGGTTGCCCACACCGTGGAAGGGTTGTTCTGGAGGTACCTGAAAAGGAAATTGGATTAAAGGTGGTCTTAGTGACCTGAGAGCGTGACCGCAGTGCCCAAGGGACAACTGCTTGAGGTCGGTCACACACGACCTTGTTATGGGTAATTTTTGTGTTAGCTCCGTACTTATTGAGACCTTACCGCCGGAGACGGATATCCGTGGGATAAGGCGAGGTGTGCATTTTTAGGGTCGACCTTTTCTAACCCCACCCCTCCTTGTGGGAAGGCAGCATCGCTGTCATGCTGGTTGTCTGAAGGAAACACCTTACTGCTGTCACACCTCTGTACAGTCAGCAGTACGACTTCGCCTTCGGACCTTGGGTTTGTTGCTTTTAGTCTTACCGCTCTTCAACCGACCTGTCTGACATGGTAGGACCTTGAGGAACGGTTGTTCCAGCCAGTATAGCTCGGTTGCTTCATCACGATAGGCAAGCCCGACCACCACGTCAAGGTAGCAACAACGGTCGGGACCCTGTAGAACAGGAGATATATACTGGAGTCACTAGATCTTTGTTGCGGGAATGAGCATATTTCGCGAGTCAAATGCAGTAAGATCAGTTATTTTTTAAATCTCCCAGATAACTAGGTGATATCTGTAGTCATAGGAACTTGACTGAGATGACCGTCCTCTCATGGGTAGCAACTAGATCACAAAACTTCATAATTTACATATTATGAATTCCGTAGATATAATTGCTAAAACCACTAGCTTTTCCTTTCTGACAAATTAAAGTTTATCTAGGTTTGGACCTAACATTATTGTTGCCATCAGAGGTAGTTAAAATCTACATCGTAGAATGTTTTAGCAGAACATGTTTATAAGGGATATCGTTCACTTGGTTTAATATCAGCATCACTAACACTTTTAAGTGGTTTTTCTAAGCAAGTGGCAACATAATACAGTTCATTTCATTTGGGTGTAAACAATCACACACCAGATACGAAGTTGCATCATCCAATGAAAACACAAACCACTCTTGATTGGAAAGTCTTTTTTAACTACGAGGCAACAATAAATTCAGCTAACCATACTGGAGTAACGTGGAGAACCACATGAACGGAAAATTTTAAGGATAAATATCAATATTTCCAATTAATCATCTGAACCTTGATGAAACTGTTCCCACCTCACTATATATAATTGTGTTTAATTACGAAGTTCATGGCTATTTCATGATGTCTAGCCTACAATATGAATTTTATTACAATTTTACTGCTTTCAAAGTGCGAGTTCATACAGTGTTTTCGAACTCAGCCTACGCACCACCTTTACATAAATATATTTTCTCACATAGAAACGCAATTTCGGTAGGTTTCTAATCAAACACTAATGGTTAGTTTGGACGTGAATTAAAACTCGATATTGTATTTTCATCTTATTATCTGTCGGCATAAATCTCATGATGATGAAACCGCACTATGGATTGGGATCTGTGTACAGAATCTGTTATCAAATATCCTATTTTAAAAGCCACCATGTTATACACATTCACCCTCATTTCGTTTTCTGTCCTCATTATGAACAGATAGGCAAATATGTTTTTCTCCACAGCACATTTTGCTGAAATGTTTGCAAGAGTGGTCTTTCAAGACCTACCTCGCCATATGTGTTCAAGCACACATGCAATTTACTTTGATAAAGAGCGGTATTTGGTGCTGTCATTCATGTCCTGTTTGGTTTTGTAATAAAAAACGGGTTAAATTTTGTTGGTTATGCTAATCTCGTCTACGAAATGAGTTCTGATAATCTCAAACTAACGTCATATCCTAACATGGTTTTCCTATTAGTCATCTATGTAAAGATTTTAGATCCTAAAATCCGGCCAATAAATCTTGATAGGTACCCATTTCATATCCGCGTTTTGTCTATCGGTTTGAATTCATTTTCATTCATATATTTTGTCTACATACGTCTGACTATTAAATAGACCCACCATCAATCCCCTCTTTGTAATGAACGCATCAAGCAACTATGAGAATGCGATGGGTTTTTTCCAAAGCAGGAATTTCGTAGAAGGAACGTTTGGTCGATTTATCATCTTTATTATTAATTATTGGATGAAAACACAAGCATGAAGACATTTTTTCCGTTCTATAACATTCTTATCACTATATTCAGTGTTTAAAATTAGTTACGACAATCTGAATGCCCGATAACGCAGATCATCTCCAAACGCTAAATGATCGCCAAGCACCGTCTTATCATACTAATTCCTGTGTGTAGGAGTAATATAATCACCAAAACCCTAGATCATGAAGTTTTGGTGTGACGAGTAAGACCAGTAGAGACATACTAAAAGGATTAAGCTATTTCCAAGATGTCAGAAATTAGGTTGATTGTGATGACGAATTTAGATGTGCAGCTATGGACAATTCGATCCTTACATCATAGAGTATATTTATAGCTCATTATAAAAAGTTTGTAGGTGTTGTGTTGCGTGGGCAGAGTGCTATATTCGTGGGGTTTTCGCTGTCTTCCTAAACATCAGCATATTTAAGAAAGTGGGTTATCAGGATTCGATTCCAAGAGAAAATCAAATCAACTAGGTATAATTAATTATCTGTTCATTCTGCTTTGTTAATAATAAAGCTATATTGTATGTTTACTAAAGATTTTGCATCAAATATCCACGCTGCTCATTTTAGGTTTGATTTCCGTCCGTATTTGTATCCTAATGACTGGAATTGGCAATTTACTTGTCTAGATTTACTGGTAAAGAAATGGATAGAACAATTTGAGTGACTCTATCCGGATCGTTTTATTTAAGGACCTGTTTACTGGAACATTTTTTTTTATCCTAGTCAACCTATATCATTTAGAATTATTTACATATTTTTCCACAATCACACTGCAGAATTATTCTTTAAAGTGATACTTCCATAAGTTTTCTTATGTGATAGTGTAATTTCTCTGAACATTGTGTATCATAACTTTATTAAACCTCAACAAGTGATTTATCAATGATGATTCTAAGACCTAGCGATGATAAAGTAAAGTTATATTATGATTTCCGTGTGCTGCGTTGAGATAATATGGGTGAGGTATATCATTGCTAAATACGTTCTTAAAAAATACGACCATAAAGGTCGTACCTTTTTAGAGCTACCCATGACCCTTCACACTGCCATTTATTTTATCAGCATTACAACACCTAAGTACTGTTATATGTGAATTAAAGTATTTAAAGCAAGTAATTCTTAAATGGTTTATAACCCCATTTTAAGATAATTGAGTAATCACCACAAGGACTTCCGACTAGTAAACAATGAAGATCTAACCCACCGATGTATTCCATAAACTCCCAATATTCTAGTGTATCATTGATATTGTACTTCTTATGATACTGAAAAAGATATCCTGAAATTAATCTGCTAAGATATCATTCTCACTTTGTAGCATAAGAGCACGTAACCACTAGATATCATCTTCATAATCAAAAGTATATCTTCAGGAGTAACAGTACCAGACACACTAGCAGTAGAAAGTTATGGTCGAATCAAGGAGTATATTATATATACAAATAGTTGCTTCATAGTAACATCATCGTTTCTCACCACAGGAATTCTGGATTATCGCGTTGAGCCAGAAAATCGCTCATTTTGAACACTGCCACTTCAGTTTCATTCACTGTCAATTAGATCAAATATATATATATATAATTCAGCTAAAATGTCTTTCTGGCTGTATAGTCGTAGTTATAATTAATTAACACACAAAGCGGTCCATTGATAAATAGGAAGATTACATCATTCTAAACGCCAAAAGGAAGTTCCATAAAACTATCGAGAATTTTAAAAAAGAAAATACGATAAAACCGAATCTGAAAGACAACTGTCTACTTAGGGAGTATGGGAAAGGTAAGGAATAAACTATACACGTGGTGATAATAACAAATAATTAAAACAGGAGGTGTATTAATGACCAAATTACCGTCCATTAAATTAGGTGTTAGGGCTATGGAAGATAGAGGATAGTTCGCACATGTCACTTTTGGACAAAGAAACTAGGTTTTGGAAAGATGCGCCGCTAGCTCCGAAAACACGATAGACACGGAACTGTTTGGACTTCGACAAATACCAGAAATGCTTATCCATCAAGTTCGATTGAATGAAATCCAAACTACGATCTCCAAGACCTACAGTTCTAAAAAACACTATGAACGCTGAGCTTGGGAGTGATAATGCCTAATACATTCCGAAAGATCATCCAACGGCATCGTTGAGTAAAACTCTGTAGTGCTCAGATCTTCACAATCTTTTCTAGCCACCCAGTCGTTCGTGGATGCATAAAATATAAGTTGTTACGTCATTGTGTATTTGAATTTACTTTCTACATCAGTGACACAAAGCCAGTGCACTTCCAAACATGCGTGGCTTTTGAGAGACCTAAAACAATCAACAGCTAAATACCAGAGCATCTTATTAGATTGAATCACACGGCCTCGTCAGGTATCTTTCAGAATCACCTACATTCAAACGACTGGGTTCGAGAGAAGTACAAGTCGATTACTTGTGCACTGCACAAACGTAGGCAGCTCGTCTTTTCAAAACCTGATTTCTTTGTCCAAAAGTGACATGTGCGAACTATCCTCTATCTTCCATAGCCCTAACACCTAATTTAATGGACGGTAATTTGGTCATTAATACACCCTCCTGTTTTAATTATTTGTTATTATCACCACGTGTATAGTTTATTCCTTACCTTTCCCATACTCCCTAAGTAGACAGTTGTCTTTCAGATTCGGTTTTATCGTATTTTCTTTTTTAAAATTCTCGATAGTTTTATGGAACTTCCTTTTGGCGTTTAGAATGATGTAATCTTCCTATTTACCAATGGACCGCTTTGTTTGTTAATTAATTATAAATACGATTATACAGCTTGAGTAAATCACATCGCTAAACTCGGAAACTCTCCATTGGTGACACTTGATTATTTTAGTCTATATACTCATGAGGTGAGCGTACGTGCATAAATACATCTGGTCCTTTCATTAAAATTCGAACGCGACACCGATTTGCATACATTTCTAATCAGTTTCAGATAAGCCGGTCAGCCATAATCAGGGTAAATCTCACTTGAATACATCTAGATTTTCCCATTGGGATATTAGTTGTACAAGTAGATGGCATTGTTGATTCATGCGAAAGTAATGCCCCCAAGCCTGACACACAACTTTTAAGTGGTTGACGGACTTATTTTTATTAAACTCATGCTTTACACAACCTTTGAATCCTTTGTTCACCTAAAACAATTAATAAGACTCATTGCGAAACTATAAATCATTCCAGGTCTTTGTACCTCATAGACTCTGCGCCTATTAAAATACACTAACGGTTAGCAAGTCAATATTTCCTCAGTTGATTACGTTTTTTTTCACATAAATATAAAAATTTTCTTACATGAAAATAAGAGCGTTGACATAGCTGTAATAAACATACCTATTCCAAGAGATTCTAGAGTTAAGTCTGAATTGCTCGGAATAGGATCACCTTCTAAATCAATTAACAGTTCTCCAGACTGGTAAAGAGAGTATTATAAGACATAAATCTTACCTTTGTGTTAAAAGCTTTGTGGCGAACTTTCAGCGCATCTTCGAAAGAGCATAGAATACATAAAATGAGCAATTGAAATAAATCTTTAAGATTGGTTGAAGTAGATACATCGAAAGCGGTGACAACAAATGTTTGGATGTTAGTTAACTAAATACTATTAGGAGAGCTTTAAAAAGATATCGAAAACTCTAAAGGGGTCAGGTTTATTGCGTAATTCTGTTTGGTATTTGCACTGGTATTTTACAATTAGGTTATGACTAAGGATCTTTTTTCAAAATGGTATTAACGTACACTAGAAAATTAAAATAGCTAAAGTGGAACTAGTTTTCGCTCTTACTGAGCAAGTATATTAATACACTACGTTATTATAATCTTAGTACCTAGGATACGTAATAATACATCTTTCGAAATTATCAAGCAGGTTGGGATAGTGCGCCAACACAGTAGTGGATTAAAGAACCTACATTTGTCGTCATTGGGAAATAAAGTCAAGTCGGGTTTTATAACACGACAAATACACCAGTCAGATTACCAAAAGACTAAGAAGCCTCCTGAAGCATGTGTTTCCCTGAAATCAAACCGAATTATGTAATTAGTGAATAAATGATTGAGTACCAATGGGTGTTTATTAGGTTTCTATTATGAGAGTTAAATTACTAGATATTAGCTTACCGTAACAAAGGTTCTTGAAAGGAGGAGGTATAACCGAAGAGATTTTTACTTCTAAACATGAATATTGTAAAGTATATCTAATGTAATGTTTACCATGATGTATGCGATCGAAAAGGTCTTTTACAGTCGCCGACTGAGGAATGTTCGACAAAGGCAAATAACACGTTGTACGGTACTTGAATGAACGTATAAAAGTCACAGGAACAGTTATACTCTGGCTCATTTGAGTTAAAGCTTCTAAGATCTCTGGGAAATGATATATTGAAAATTTAGTGACAACTGATTGGTGATAATAATTAATAGTACGTGACTTCATAAATTAAGGGTACTTGTATCGATTTTTGAGCTTTTCAAGTCGTATAAATGTTATGTTCATAGGGATTCGCTTAATCGTGGTAGTAAGTATCAATTATATCGTTGAGTAACTCAGCAAAATGTCGGGGAACTCACTCCGTGATATGCAGATTTCGAGTCACTACTACGTATCAGATTCACACCAATGGCATCAAAACATGCTTTTCTATCTAACAATCCTTAGTAAACTATTCCACTTTAAGAATACAATTGGTGTAATTATACTGCAACACTTAATACCCTGATGTGAGCGGATACTTCAAAGTGTTTCTGAGCTGATAGCTTGCTTTGAGCCTGTCTTATAGACGATAATGACTCTCATCTGAAGGACATAAAACTCTCGTAACATGGACACAATTTGAAGAGCATTAAGACCAATTATTGAGGATTTAAGATTTGACAGTGAAAGTGTACTGCTGACTTTACAAAAGCTTACGGGGACGATATTGACTACCAACAATCCAAAGCACCGGCTTCATAAGAATGTGAGAACGGGTTACAAAAACTAGATCTTCAAAAAACACTGCCGAGTCAAATACTAAATAGCCAGACGAACCTGAGCTCTTGCTTTACCCCAGCCAACCAAGAAACAGCAAATACTAGTGAATAATTTATCACGCCAGGATATCAACTTTAGGATTCTCACGTTAAGGTTGCAGGATGTTCATGATGAAATCCTTAATTCAGTTTCATTTCTGAACCCTATGTGCCTCGTTACCCTGAGGCAGTCGTTACATCTAACATAAGCTTCGTGGCATAGTAGTTTATCATATACTGGTTTCCCTTACCCTGATGGAGTTAAAACGGATGACTACACGCGAAATGTTGCATGTAGCTACCTTATAAGCTTCCCAGTTACGTTCTGTGTTCAGCAAGACTACCACTAACGCAAATTCTCCAAGTGTGAAATAAATATAGTCTCAGTCTATGTAACCAGAATATCCAAACTGCGTGTTCACCGCCAACAGCACTACGGCTCCTTGAGTCTTACCATTTATTATTTTCGTACTAATCTCTTTTCTGGCTATTTCTTCTGGTTACCTATTCAAGAATGTTCAGAACTGACACAACTCGTTACTCTGTACTCCCACTTAAATATCTCGTACGACAGGACTATTCGTCAGGTGGACGACGACACCGCTACGAGATGGATGTCTGCCTGTGCATAGCGAATTATCTGGAACATCAGCTGCATTCCAGTGATACAAATTTCAAATTTGAGCTAATCTCGGAAGCGTTGTAGCTTTTAGTATTATAAGTTAGATATAATTAGGGTCAGGAACTAGATTTGGAGTTCTTATCACGAACTGACATCATCTATGGTGCCGAATAAATAATAAACAGGTTTCGCGCCAAAATCTAAGGCCTGTTATCGTGAATCCGTTTGGTTCGCCTAAAAATAATAGTCTCGCCGACACTCAGTCTACCAATTTGGGAGCCTATGAACAGAAATATGATGCAGTTGTAGTCTTTTTCGCTTCGCCCACGTACAATAGTTTGTAGATATATTACTAATCGCATAAAATCAAAGAAGTTCGACCTACTGGGAGACTCGCGCCGTTTCGCCTCCACGACCTTGAACGGGCTGACATGTGACTGCTCTTCTGCGTTTCGATCGCTGTGCGTCTGTTGGTTCACACGCATTTTACGTGTTTTCATATTCAAGTAGTATTCCGCTTCAATAAAATCACAAAATCATTGCAAAAACAATAATGGGTATTCTGTGTTTTGTAGTCTATATTTTGGCTTACCTATTGCTCTATAACTTCGTCTGGGACATCAATTGCTCCAATGAACCTCACCGTCTTTGTTCAAAAGCTGATAAAGTCTAAGAAACAGCGTATTAATAATAACTCAGCAGTTCTAGATATGCAAAATTTTTGTGAATCGATGTTTTACGCCAGGATTAGGACGAGATATCAAATAATCGGTCAACTTTAGACATAAGTAACACTTTCTTTAATTGTCAAAGTGTTATTGCAATAAGTAAATTTTTTAAAATAATTATCCAGTGTTCCATGTTCAAGAGATACCTCAGTCGAAATAAGCGAAGCATTTTAACCAAAATTACTGGAATGACGTTTCGGAAGCTAGGGTAAATTCGATAGTGCGCAAAAAGAATTTCAACAAATAGGGAAAATATAATTTCATCCGTTTTCAGACTGCTCATACCCATTACATTCATGTTGAGTGTAAATCAGTGAAGAACATGAGATTTAAATACATATTTGCTGTGCTTCAGAGTACATTTGGTCATAAGCGTAAACCATAAGGTTTAAGATTATATGAAAAACTGTTAAAACTTTATGTAATGTGTGGCATTTAAAGTCTTGGTTTTTGAAATGCCAATTAATGCAGACAGTGTGGTGTGACTATGAAAATAGCTGATTCGTCACACCATCCCAGTACAACTTGAGTATGCCCCCAATCATTCACTATGGATCACCTAGTTAGTGATCTACACGTGTAACTTTGAAAGGGGAGAATAAGTCATAAAATAATTCAACTTGTTTCGTAATCATCCTTGTAGTAGCTCATGGATGGTTTGTAGTCCATGGACGAGAAGATAATGAAAATATTGGCCGGCGATGCTGAAATCACTTATAGTGACTCATGTGCAATTGAGTTTAGCTCAGTCAAGGTCTTTTGTTAACCTATTTAATGGACAAAGTCATCCATGCTATAATAACTTGTTGCATTTTATTATTACTGTGCTTGTATGAAATACGTATGCTTGAACAATGTTTAGCGCCTACTCATGTATTCATTCTGCTAGCTTCATTATTAGCTGCTTAATCTATTCGACGACTCATCCATCTCCCTATATATATATATATATATATATATATATATATATATGTACATTTACACTACTACTACAACTGCTACTGCTACAATCGTAGTTCGCTTGCTCATCCATTTTGCCTCTCTGTTGTCTGATCATAATTATCTGCTAAATAAACTGTAGTAGCTGCTTCTTCTTGCCTTCTGATTTCAAGCACCGTCTAAGATTATTTGGTAACGGTACGAGGGTGATTAGTTATCGGAGCACAGCCACTACACACTGTCAGTAGATGAAGTTGTAGAAAGTATTAGGGATTGAGCTGGTAAGCAGGTCACTCCTGCTGATGTGAAAACTATGAAAGCTCAATTCTCTACGGGTATATCTAATAAAACAACAAATTCCTCAGGCGAAGCAAACAGTATGTGCAGATTCAATACAGAGACAACATATTGTTAAGAAATGTGGTGAGCGCTTTGCGATGCGAGTGGAGGGAAGAGTCGAAGACTTTTACTTAGGAATCATTATTAACTATGTAAGATATCAGTTTTCTCATCTCTTATCTTCATTTAGTCTGCACTAACATAGAAAACGTGACTCGAAATATAACTGTGGAGAAGTGACATGAACTGTTTCCCGTAAGAAGTTCTTCTTGGTTGCATTTTTAACTTAATTGTATATACAAATCGCAAAATTATTTTCTGCATCAAATGCTGTTCCCCCTTTATAAGTGAAAATGATGTTTTGATAAACTTTTGCACAATTCTTATTATTTGTCTTTATCATAGTTTCATGGGGAGGTGCGACGATGATCTAAGCTTGTAACTGTTTGTGACAAACAATAAACAACTAAGTCCCAGCTTTATAAGCACCTGATTCGTCATGAGATCTAGTAGGTACATAAAGTCAATTCATCGAACAGTAAGCATGCACTCTGACTGATAAATACGTACATCTATAGACTCATGCTGCTGCAAAAGGAAAAAATAATTACCAACATTGTAAAACAATAATTGAGCAACAAATATCCGATCACAAGAATGATAAGGTAAAGAACCACATCGATCCACAAGTTTCGCGACAACGTTTCATAGTATATTTAGGTTATTTCACTATGACAGCATCTTCGGGTGAATACTAGTATGATTTGTGGTACAAATGAACACAAACTTTCGCCGAGCTTTCACGGGATCTAAGACGATACGCATTCCTCACTTTTAGTGTGCTTTTGCAAAACACTTTGAAAGATTGCGCATAGCTGTCATATTTATCTTTAAATAAATCGTTAAATGAATAAACGTGAAAGTGATTGATAGTAAATTCGGTTATCGTTAACTTGTAAGTGGTTCGTTCACATAACATCCTTTATTCAGTGATCTGTTAAGTTGATCTTTGGTACAAACTTGAGTGTTAGAGATGCTTCAGCCTTTTAATTAGTTTACAGAATCCACTTGTTGTACATCACAAAAAATATGGATAGCTTTTCTAGTTTAATCAATGCAATTCTGAAAAGCAACAAATAACTACTAAAACAAACGGTTGAAATTTTAGTCCATCTGACTCAATACATAAATAGAATAACGGCTAACAGAATGTAGATAGGTGTCTCTCATCATTATCTAACGGTTCTTGGGGTTTGTCTTGCTACTTGATATTTGCAGACAAATTGTAGGCACCCATTAAGTGAATTACAGACTTTAGGTATTGCTGCTAAATCTGGGAAGAATGTACTTACAAAGTCTATAGTACTGATATCAGTTTACTGTAAGCGTACAATTAGAACTCATCTTAAAATACAATTTAATTAGTAATTATAAATATGCACTAGATCTGTGGACGTGATTTCGTCGGTAATTAAAGATTCTATTAGCAGAAATTCATTTTCCATCCCCATAACACATACATTATAAATAAGTATTAACTAACCACGTAGTTCAGCTACCTTGTTCAACACAAACATGCATCATTTAACTTGGGGATAATATGTGATTTATCAATGAGATACCAACAACAATGCTATATGCAGTATCTCGATGTATTCAGAAAGCGAAAACGTCGCTTATTACCAATATAATTTTCTTCTCTCAGATTATTACACACTGGTATGCCGTTTCCGTCAAAAGTGATGATCCTTATAGCCGGTAGTATTAGTTGTATTATCGAAACTTATATGACACTAATAAATAGTTTGCACAAAATAGCTATAACCTGCATTTACTAAATGACTAGCAGACATCCATGTTTGTCAACATCCTTTAGGGTGGTAAATTAAATATTAAAGATTATGATAGCTCACTTCTGTTAAAAAAATTGACTATGATTTATCCCCGACTTGGTAAATACTGCATTGAAATTGCTTCAGCTCAGATTAACACGAATAACCACATTAAGGTGACTTGACATACACCCAGATGGCGGACAACGACTACTTCACACCATAACTTACAGTAATGAACGCTTTAACAGGCACAAAAAGTTCACGGCCAAAATAATGTCTGGGGCTTAGAGAATGAGACACTTGAAATACTTGATCACATGCATGACAACCCTTAGCTTGACTCATTTTCCGGTGACAAAAATAATTAAAAATCGTTTTATTTGGAATCAAAAGGTCAGTAAGTTGTTCAGCTGAACAAATCGATGGGAATAACCATTTAGAAGCGAGGTAGTATGTTACATTACGGAGGAAACTTGCAAAAAGACCTCAGAATGCCTCTAATAAGTACTGCTTCTGACCATCGCGTAAAACGGTCGACATATGCTGAGGAACCAAACTATCCGTTTGATTCTGTTGAGAACTGTACCAGACTAAGATGGACATGGTCAGAACTAACATCAGGAGTTGCAGAATAACCTTAAAGACATTTAGAACCAGTCACTCTGAACTTTTGGGAGTGCTCATATGGGCGTTCTCTCTCCCCCATGTCTTCATTCGTAATAGATTGCCCAAATCATTCTGCAGTGGACTTGTTCGTCGCCGTAACTTTACGCCGATATAGGTCAGTCGGCATTATTAGGAACATGACGTTAATGCCCTTATGTTTGGCGGTATATTTATCAAACAACAGGGTTTCATTACCTGTTCCAAAGTCTTTGGATCGTAGCTTGAGGTATTTTGACGACAGCTCAGGACGAACGTCAGTATCTGCTTTCTGTGGCTGTACAATTTTAGGAACATCGATTCTTAGGAAAACAAGTCGTCTATAATTACATTGTTTACACCAGCGATGTGTTATGTAACTATAGTAAACTGATAAGTGTAACTCAGAAAGTAAAGCTGTTTAGGAGAGTATGTATCCGGATAGGAGTTATATATGAAAGCTAATAGTAGTGAATTTCCAGTCATCTACAGAGTACCACAGTACATAGCTAAGGGTTCCAGGTTGAAAGTGCTACATCACTATTCTGTATCTTGAGCCTATCCTGACAAAAGTAACCATCATCTTGTTTCCCAGTGTAAGAATATACTGAGTAGAAACACTATGCCTGGAAATTTCCATTCGGATAACTACGATTTAGGGTTTCTGAATGTTCATGGTTGTGTCGTGATGTTGCTGTTGAGCGACGATTTCGTTAGGTTGGGTACGGAATTATCGGTGTAAGCTTTCGCCGAGACATTCCTCAATGTATGCGTACAGAGGAGAGATCCTCGTACTCGTCGTTGGTGAATCTTGGAAGGAGGATTCTCATAATATTTTATATGGTATTACCACTAGCCGTCTATTTGAGTGTATGTTTTGACCAGTTAGACTGTCGAAAAGGCGGTCATATCTTTAAGGGTAACCACAAAATGTACATTGCGAGGAAAAAGATGAAGATTTTAAGTGTTTTTTATGTTGAGACACAGATAATCGATATTTGAACACCAATATCCGTTCTCAACTTTGCGAACTACATGCAACTGG